ATTTAAATTTATAAATAGAAGACTAGAAATTTGTTAGAGTATTGCTGTGATTCCCTTCTTACTTGATTTTAGTAAGGAAATATCCCAGTTCCTGTTAGGCGTGTGTCTTCTCTAATAATTCTGATTTAGAGATATCTATTGAAACAGCTGTTGATAACATAAGTACTTTTATGTCTGTGTATTTACATGTGGGGGTATACATTTGTGATGGCTGAGTAAAAATTTATTTTTTATTATGCCGCTACAGTTGTCTCCACTTTTTCTCCTTTTGCCCACTTCCACCCAGTCTCCATACTGTTGTTCGTGTACCCCTGGAAGCCATCACCATAATGTTGTCCAGGTCCATGGGTCATGCGTGTATGTTACTTGGCTAATCCCTTCTTTCTTCCACCCTGTGTAATATTTTAATTAAACTAAAAAAAATTTAGTGAGTTACATTTTAATACAATGACATATATATGTGTGTGGTTGGTTTCAGTTAAGTGTTTTGTAAGAATTATCTAATGTAAAATATGTAACAGTCCAGTGAGGTGTTGCGCGTGGGTCACCGGCCAGCAGTGACCACGGAACGCTATGGATGGCTTGACGATAAACACGCGAGAAAAAACACCACATGCACAGAGACAGACTAGTTTCTGTGGGGAAGTAGGGACAGAATGGCCACCCCCCCCAGTGGGGAGCGCGCTGATTTACCGTCTGTACCTGCTTTTATTAGGCTCATTTTGCATAATAATTCAGGTAAAGTATAGTACTCATTAGGGGGAAGTAAGGAACTATAGAAAACAAAGAACTCTGCCGGTCTATTGAGTTGGGGGTCAAAGAGCTGTAAGACTGAGGAACAAAATAACTTCCTCCTAAGACCCTTCTCATTCAACTGAGAGCATTCTAAACAAAGAAGGTTTCACAGTAATTTACATGTTCTTTCTTAGGCCTGATCACCCCGGGAAATCCGCACTTCTCAGTACCGAGCTGCACCACCCTGTCATTGTTTCAGGCTTAGGTGGAGCAAGGGAACTAAGGCAACCAAGAGATAAGGAGATTTTCTCCCAGACGCTGAGAACTCAGGCTATGTCAGAGCCGAGGAGCGAGGGTCCATCACCCCCCTTTTGCTGCAGCCCCCCCCCCAAGTCCTTTTTTGGGGGCGCCTCCCAAAGTGATCGTGCCTGGCTTAGGTCGTTCCCCCCGTGGGGAATCTTACCCGTCTTTGGCTAACCGACCAAGCTTTTGGGGTTCAGTTATGAATAAAGCAGCAGAAGCAGCATTCCTGCCAGGAAGACAAGCTTTTATCTCCTTGCCAGCTTACGGTTCCAAGGGCGTTCCCTTAGCCTTAGCTAGGCGGGGGTTTCAGCCTCTGATACCAGTCAGGGCGGTTCCCAACAGTGAGGGGTATAGGTACTGTTAATCTTTGAATGGATGAAGAGGTTTAAAGAGAGACTGGGCATTTTTCCCAAGGTTACTTAGCTATTAATTGTGCAGTTGGGTTTAGAATTTACTTCACAGTCTGCTCTTGGCCATCTCATGTCCTGTATATTTAGTGTCTTCTGTTTAGTTTGAACTGAAGAAAATATATAAAAAATGGGATAATATAATTCTAGCTTTAATTCTAGTTAGATGCTATGGTGATCACAGAACTATGTAAGTGTGTAAAGTAGTATATAACTTAAGATTCAGGATCAGAATGGACTTGTCCTTCATAGAGGAGGCGGAGTTAAGTACTAGATACTGGTAAGCTAAAAAATGGGTAAAATGCAGAAGCAAGTTAAAGTTTATATAACAGCAACATCTGCTTGATTGAAGGGTTTTCTGAAGTTTGAAAGTGATGTTAATTGTGCTGTGCTTCAAAAGCTAGTCTTGGTTCAGAGAACATGCAGTACACAGTTGACAGTAGGAAGCTATTAAAGAGTTTTGATCGAGGTTAAATGACATTTTAATTTGGCAATAATATGTAGACAGAGCAGAGGCTCAGTACAAAAATGCCAATTAGGCCCTTGCAAATATAATTAGGGAAGGTCTTTAATATTAGACAGTATGTTGTGTTTATAAAAAGGAGTAATATGAAAAGTGAGTTAGCCACGTAAAAATTTAGGTAGCAGTGTAATGAGTTGATAAACAAATATAGGCTTAAATCCTAGTCCTGTCACTTAATGAATTGTGTATTCTGCAGTTTTCAAAATTTTTCATGTGGAGAGTGAGTCTCTTTTATCTGTACAGGTTGTTAAAGGACTTAAGGAAATTAGCCCATTTAAAGTGCTTGATAATGAGTAAACATTCAACCTGAAATTACTGGTATGAGCAATTTTATAGCCTGTTGAACATTTAGGGACCAATATTGTAAATATTATTAAATTTGTATATATGCAAGAGGCCTAGGGAAGTTGTATAAGCATGTAAAATATCAAGGTCATTTCTACATAGATGTTAATTATCTGTGTTCAGGTTTATGATTACTATAAAAAAATAAGGTCATCTTATAAAAAGTAAAAAAATAGAGAAAGAAACTAATAAAAAGGCCATCTTTGTCTTTTAAAAAATATTTCAGGAAGTTATAAAAGCAAAATGAAATCATGATTTTAAAGGCAATTTGGCTTCAAGTGACATTGTTTATAAAGTTCTAAGTTATATATGTCACATCACAGCTTTATTAAAATTTTTAATCAATAACCAGTTGTACTGCAGTTTTATATTGTTTTATCGCATGGCCAAATTTTAAATACTTTATCTTACCTGGTGGCAGGTGTCTTCAATAACATTGTTAAATTAGATTCAAAAGTATACACATTGTAAAATTGTCAAGTCTCATGTTGCACTGGACAGAAATATCAGGGTCCTTGTCTTAGTTGTGTCATAGATTCTAAGACAGGTTCTCCCCATGTTTTAGAAGTGATAAAAACAGGTAGCTCTTGGCCATTATCCCATCAGCTTGAGCTGACTGTAGTTCATCAAAAATTATGGGACTCCTGGTGTGGGTCATATTCTCATCTCTAAACCAGTCAAGGGTATAATGTAATTAGCTAGGATTGTATCTTTGAACCACCCAGAGTGAGAAGGAAAGTACATGGCAGTGTGTTTTCCCAAAGGAAATAAATCAAAAAAGGTATGTGGGGACAGGTTTGCCTGCTGGCTTATTTAAAAAAGGAAAAAAAAAAAAAATCAAAGGATGTTCTTTTGTGTTACTAATAAATAATTTAAAAACTTGAAAAATTTAACATTTTGGTTTTTGTATATTCCAATGGTATGTTATTTTAATTTTCTTAGGCTTCTGAATGCTTATGATGAACACCAGACACTCCTAAAAGAACAAGATTCATTAAAAAGGAAAGCAGAAAATGGGTATGTACATTTTGTTGAATCGGGAAGGGATGCTTAAAAGAAGATATTTCATTGTGGAAATGCCTTTAAATACAAATATTTTTAATGTTACCTTACGTTGATAATTCAGATACTTTCATGATTTAAAAAATTTGCATACAACTGAATGGTTAAGAATGTCAGTAAAACAAATGTACACAAGTGATGTTTATTTATTTGTTGAAGTGCTTATCTAAAGTTTTTAAATTTTCTTTTTACCTTTTATTTAGATCAGAAGAACCAGAAGAAAAGAAAGCACATACAGAAGATACAACTTCATCATCTACACAGATGATTGATGGTGATTTACAGGCAAACCAAGCTGCATATAATTACAGTGCCTGGTATCAAGTGAGTTTACGGAGTCATAAATGAGTTTTTTGTTCATAGTTGTTATTAAAAAGGCATAAAGTAGGATAGTCTTTTTTTTTAATAGAAAAACAACTCGGCTTCTGTTTCAGATTTTATCATACATTATTATTTTGTGGTTAAGTCTTGAAATTTCAGCAGTGAACACATACTTGTTTTAGTTATTTTTTATGGACTTAGCCATAGTTCTAGTATGCTAACATGTTTGCTTTTTCCTTTCAGTACAATTACCAGAATCCTTGGAATTATGGACAGTATTATCCTCCCCCTCCAACTTGATGGGAAAATACAAATATCAGATGGAGTGTGCAAAAAGTATGAGACTTTTTTGTTTTAATGAGGGATGTAAACATAGCATAAGCTTGTTGTATTTGATAACTTGTCTTCCCTGTTTCTGTTTAATATGATTTGTTTAGTAATAGGGGAAAATGTCACTTAGTAGCAAACCACAGATACTATTTCCTACCATTTATAAAGTTTACTTTTTATTGGAGAACTATTTTTTGATTTTTGCATTAAGTGGTCTAGAATTCTTTTGCAATGCATTTGCAACAGAGTTTTGTAGCCTTAAGGGTAGGAAAAAAACTGACTGCAAATAACGTCAGTGTAGTACAAAAATTCTGAAACTACGTAAGGGCTGATTATTAAGGATTTACATCCTCTGTAAAAACAAAACAAAAAAACACCAAAAATGGATTTTTAATCTTTCCTGACCGGGTTTTGTCTGTGTGTTTCAGTTATCCTTGTCAATTTTGATCTAACTGCAGAAGAGATACACTATTAAAATATTCTGTCTTGGAGTAGAGATTTCAAATCAGAAAATGGAATGTTTGCATCCCTTTAAGAAAAATGAAAATCATATCAAAAATGTTGTTTCAGGAGACTTTGTATGTACAATATTCATGTAAACTTGTGAGCAAGCTTTCATTTTGATCAAACTGATCATCTTCATTTTTGTAATAAAATTGAAGACTCATCTACTAATTGTTACGAATTTATTTGTGGGATCACCTAGGTAATATTAACCATGGTTGGTGTTTTACTAGTTTTGATAATTCAAGAACTATGCTCTTCTTGAATTCAACTATTATCTTCTTGCCAGAATTTCTTAGACCCTTATCTTTTTCATTCCTCTTAATCTCTGCTTTTGCCTTCTCACTGTATAGGAATACTTAAAGATTTTAAGATGAGTATCCTTGGAAAATCCATCTAGACAGTGACTATTACTCTGTATTTAAGTCTTAGTGATCCTAATCAGAACATTAATGTTAACAGCAAACAAATCAAAGTATGGGTAAATTTTTATTGAGCCTTTTACCTACAAGATGAGGTAAAAGGAAAATGAGTTCTCCTTAACCAGTATTTTACACAAGCTGTAGTGAAATATTTTAAACTTAAGGGATTTATAATGGATTACATTTCTTAAAAGTTTGGGGAGAAAGTAAATGAGTTCTAATACAACTCCTTGAATTTTCCAGTTGACTCTACCTTTACAATAGTAACCAACTGTAATTAATTACGTAAGTTTCTTCAAGGCCATTGCTGACATCTTTAGATCTGAAGCATTGCTATTTCAATCAATATCCACTAATTCCACTTCAAAAATGAGTTTTGCATTTGGTGGAATCCTGTTGAAGTTGTCAAGGTATATTTGATAAAAGTTGCTGCTCTCCTCACTTCCAACAACTTTAGTCTAAAATTAAAATTATTTAGACTGAATATTGGCAATGAACTCCAAAAAATATGGGCATTGTGGCTCAGAGGTGAATACATAGTGGTTCCAAACAGAGGTATCTGCATATGGAGATTATAGGCTGACTAGCTAAGTTTAGCTTGTACTAGGATCTTCCTTAAGTGGATGTTTAACTACTACTCCCAAATTAGCCACCAATTAATGAAGACTGTTATATTAGTACTCAAAAAAAGATACCAATATAGCTGGGTATATATTAAATCAAAGTTCCTATCAGGTGGTACTTGATATCTGCTGTGAATCTTAAGATGCTGACTTTACAGGTGAGTGTGACTTTTATCTGATTGATCTTAAGATGCTTCACATGAGAGAGGGAGCTGCAGCTGGCCATCTTATTTTGATAGGGTTAAAAGAGATTATATTCCCAAATACTTTAAATTGGTAAGAGTAGAGAGGATTTCCAAAAAATTTTTTTAAAACTTACTCTAACTGGTTCAACTAATCCAATGGGGATGGAACCAACAATAGAAAAGACTACTCTGCCACATAGCTCTTGGATTTTTCTGCTTTAAAAAAAAGAAAGTTCATGAACTGGGCCTATCAGAAAAACAGTTGTTATTAGTACTAATCACAAATATTTATAGTATGTTGGACCCTGATCACCTTCATTTCACAACTGGTAATCCCATTTTTAATTTCCTAAAAGTATACTATAACAAAAAAATTACCATGAGCCATATCTGCATCCCATGGTTAATTTGCTATAGTTGTCTGTATTGAGCATCTCTTTAACTCCTTCAAGTAAACCCATCAAATATTAACAAGTGCCTTCCAAAGAGGAAAACTTAAACCTCACAATTTAAGTCTTGAAAATTAAGAGCATGAATGACAGGGCAGATTCCAGCTCAAGCTTGAATCACAGAAAATATTAACTATTGTCTATATTGGAGGTGCTGACACAAAAGCATCTAAATATCAGGAATACTGATTTGAACAGGATTATTGACACTGAGGTTAACCTAAACATCTTTTATATCTTCAGGTGATCTTTCTTTTTTTTTTTTCCTTTCTTTAATTACAAAGTAAAAAGGATACTTGGCATCAGGCTGTCCTTTCTTTCCATAAGCCCATTCTGGTTCAATCTCCAGTCGAGCCTTTTCTCCTTTACTCATAGTCAAGAGTGCTTCATCCCACTAAAAGCAAGAATATCAAGTCAGAATTAATGATTCTCAAAAATACATGCAAAACCAGAAGACAGCAAGAGTCTATACAAAAAAAAAATGTTGCTGGATTTTATTATGTCCTAGGGTAATATCCTTGGGTGAGTCCTCAAATCATTGTCCTTTATTTCAATGAGAAAAGGGTATCTCAAACAGTAATTTTTCAGTGTAACACCTCAATGACATAATATGAAAGAAAGTATTTGTGTAAACTGTAATGTGGAAACATTATGGAAACTAGTTTATTGGCATTATCATAAAACTTTGCTCCACTTTTATATCATGGGGAAAACTTCTGAATTTATTTTTATAGGGAAAAACTAACAAGTACTCACTGTAAAAACTATCTTAGTTGAGTCATGCTGGTGCTAAAACAAACTATATGCTACTATATGCTAGAGCATTAAAAAATTTGGAGAAGATAAAACTACTCAAAGAAATGATGGAGGTTTCTGGGTTGCCCCTACATTTTGTCCAAGCTTGGATCTTAAAGCCATTGACCAAAAATAGGTAAACACAATGAAAGGATATAGAATATATGACTAATACATACTCTCTTGGAATTTAAGTCACGTAACGTTCAAAGGATAATTTGGGACATACTGGAAATTAGGAATATGGTTAACTAAAAGAAATACACCGGTAAGCAAATTTAGTTATAATAGAAAAATAGTTCAACTTGACAAGTATTTGCAATCAACTTAGTGTAATCAGGTAGTGGTAAGGTTAATTTCAATTAAACCTTAAGGTTCAAATTGTATTTTGGGCTCTGGAAATTACTAAACCATATTTTAGGTCTTAGTACAAAGAACAACATACCAAGGATTCTCGTAACTAACATTTAAAAATGTGTTTCAGTTATTAATATTTGATGTCCTAAGTGAAGACAATTCAAAACAAACAGTAAGTGGGCCATAACATAAACCGATTCAGTGAAGCTGATAGTTAGCTCTATTATTTTACCTCTTGTACACTGTAATGGTCTGGTATATCGGAAGCCTAACTTCCCTTTTTCACCTAAAGTTTCCTTCTGTTCTCTCTCATAGGTAAAGGCATACTTAAGTTTGAAAGGTTTTCTGGTATTTGGACCTAGGTAGCGAGAGGTGAGGGCGACAGAACACTCTTGCTTTTATTAGTACTTTGGTGGAACAGGTATCTTACTTTTCTTGATGATGTTGTAAGTGGTACAACAGCCGAGGAACACCTTACAAGAATCTTTTTTTTTTTTTTTTTAAGGGAGAGAAACACTGATTGGTTGCCTCCCATAAGTGCCCTGCCCAGGGATCAAACCTGCAAATTTTTATTGTACAGGCTGAAGTTCCAACCAACTGAACCACCTGGCCAAGGCACATCTTACAAGAAATGTTAAAAGATAAATTTATAAAGCCAAACATTCTAAGAACTACTTTACGAAGAAAAAAGTAATAAAGGGGTAGGCTAGAGGGAAATATTTGAGTGCTATATTACATGGTTTAACTGATGTTTATATAGTCTTTGAACTACCCTGTGAGTAGTTCAAATACTGTATTCTAGAGGTGGGGAAACCGAGACCCAGAAGATCTTACTAACTTGTGCCAGAACAGTTAGTGATGATGATGCTAATTTGTCAGACTCCAAAGGCTGTTCCATGATATCCCCAATCTTAATTCTTTTTGGCACCATGCCACAAATATCATGTGCCAGAATCTATCTAATGATACATTACCACTTTTTACTTACACCTCTGATAACTTTGCCTATTCCAACCTTAAAGCTTAAAGGCTTGGCATTTTTCTTCTTCTTTGAACCTGTAAAACAGATTTTCCTTATAATTAATGATGAAGTTCCAATGAGAAAACATAGAGATTTAAGTCTTTTCACTTGATTTCAGAAGTATCATACTATGCATTTGAAAAAAATTCAGAAAGCTAGGTAATTAAGAAAATTCTGAATGCAAAAAGGGTCTAAAAGGGAAAGGGTAAGGACCTATATTTACACCAACCACTAAAATGTAGAGTCCTGCCTTTTACATTAACAAACTAAAGGCTTTACTTTGGGGAGCATTATTAACCAAGTTTAGACTAATTTTTTTGCCCTTTTAAAAATTTTATTTTTAGAGAGGGGAAGGGAAGGAGAAAGAGAGGAAGAGAAACATCAATGCATCAATGTATGGTTGCCTCTTGCACGCCCCCTACTGGGGATCTGGCCCACAACCCAGGCATGTGCCCTGACTAGGAATCAAACTGGCAACCCTTTGGTTCACAGCCTATGCTCAATCCACTGAGCTATACCAGCCAGGGCTATTTTTTGCTCTTCAATGGCCAAGAGGTCTTTACTTATACAGCCAATAAGCAGTGAACTGAAGACCTCCTCCAAGTAAATCCCAGATGCAAAAGACTTCTGGAAAAAAGTGATAGCTGAGAAAAAGGTACTGTGAACTATTCATCTACAAATACAGGGTCCGGCCAAAGTGACGCCTGCTTGAGTGTGGTTGGTAGGGTGATAATATGGGTGTAATAATTTATAGTTTTAATTTGAATATTTCACCTAAAATATCATGGTATGCTTGAGTATAATACTGTTATATTACAGAATTACATGTTTATTATTTTATAATAAAAAAGGGGTGTTATTTGTGCTGGACTTGTGTTTTGTAATGCCTTGAATCCAGAGAGAAATAATTACATTTAGACTTACTTGTTTGAATATTAGTATCAAAAACAGTCCCGTCCTGTAGTGTTCCTGTATACCAGCAGTGAACCACATCTCCCTTTTTGGGGAAGTTAGTTTTGTCCCCCTTTTTAAGAACAGATTTTGTATATTTTGGTGGACCCTAAAAGAGAGAAAACAGAGTTCTTAACTCATATCCTCCTTTTAGAAGGACAACAAAGGGAATACTTAATACAGCCATGTGATCTAAGTCTGGTCATGGAGTGTCACAGATGCAGTAACTATTTTGCCTTTAGCTCACTGCCAAGTTAAAAAAGGTCACTATCTCATTTCAAGTCTGTAGTGAGAATACTAGTAACTAATATATATATATTTTTATGACCAGAAATGGCTTTATTGGAAGGAAATGGGGGCTTAGGTGACAGATTGGGGCTGGAGGAGCAGGAAGCATCACAGATGCATTTTGAATTGTATTTTTTCCAGTATAATTTATCCCCCTTACACTATCTGCCACCTCTATCCATCCCTTCCTCCCATGATCACACTATTGTTCATGTCTATGAGTCTTTTTTTTTTGCTCCATCCTGCCATCCCCCCTCTGCAGAGCTGTCTGCCTGCTCTTTGAGTAATGATATTTATAATTTAATTTACAAAAACTTCTAGCTTCTTTGGAAATGTGCTTTTGCAAGATTCTGTTAATTATTCAACAAACTATAAAATGAAATCAATTATTTCCCAAGGTTAAAATATTTATTATTTTATTCCTAAAAAAATCATAAGGCATTAAATAAAGCATTGTGACATTTTCTCAAAGATGTGAATGGTTTTAGCACCAATAATTGACATTACCAAATATTTTTATTATACCTAATGAGAATAAATACAGTAATGATGCATTTGTTTCTCAACTTGAAGTTCACACAATAAATGGAATGATCTATAGACAGCACCATAACATGCATATTTCCTAGAACAAAGCAGGATAATATACAGACATTTAATAGTGTAAAACATTTAATAATGGGAAAGGAAGTAAGAGATATTAAGCACCTATTGTTTACCAGTCACTTAAATAACATTCCACTGAATCCTAACGATCCTCCTCTGAAGAAGGTGTCACTTGCATTTTTGCAGATGAGGAAGACACTTAGGTTCAGGGAATTTATGCAACAGAGCTAATGAGTAGTAGAGAATGAATATGGACTTGGATTTGTCTGAATCCAAAGGCCCTGTTCTTTTGACTAGACAGCATACCCAAACAGCTTAAGAAACAGTGACAATGATAATTAACCTCTACTGATCTTACTAGTTAATATCTATTGAACACCCTTATGTGTCAGGCACTATTCCAAATACCTTATATAAACTAACTTCTTTTGTGATCACTTTATTTTTCCCCCTTTTAAAAAATATTTAGTTTTTTAATTACAGTTTACATTCAGTATATCAGTTGCAGGTGTAGACCAAAGTATATAGACAACCACATCATTTACAAAATGATCTCCCTGATATTTCAAGTACCCACCTGGCACCACACATAGTTACTACAATATCATAGACTGTATTTCCTATGTTGTATTTTACATCCCTGTGAGTAGTTTGTAATAAATTGATTTTTAATTTTCACTTCTGCTTGAGGCAGGTACTGTTATCCCTACTTTGTGGATAAGGAAAAAAGGACAAAATGGTTAAGTAATTTGCAAAGTCACTCCTAGGTGACTGAACAGAATTGGAAACCAGTCAGCTTGGGCATACAGCCCATGCTCTTTACCCTTTTACTACAAGTCATTTTCTATGTCAATTCATTTAATTTAACAGCAGTCTGACAGTCTTTCCCATATCTTTTATATAAAAAGTAAGGCCTGGATAGGGTAACAAGCCCTGTCCACTCCAGAGTAAGAATTAGCACTATGAAGTACAGCTAGGCTGCCACCCCAGATCAAAAGTAAATCACATCTATAGCTTGAATACAATGTACATTATAAAAGTAGACATTAACTTCCCACTCTCACTGCAAGCTTGCGTTATGGTACTATAAATGGTCAGGTATCTAGTGGTAGCAGTGTGACGGTGCAATTCTTTTGGAATGCAGTTTGAAGATGTTCAAAGTGTTACAGATATGCTCAGGAAGTAATATGAAACTTAGGGAAAAATATTTAACTACCCAGTATGCTGTTATAATGGCAAAATAACCACACATTTTATAGTAATATAGTATTGTTTTTAATACTATGGGAAAATTCTTACATTATATGAAAAAGCAACAAAGTTCTAACTACAGTAAAATTGTAACTTTAAAAATATATGCATATAAGCCCTGGCTGGCATAGCTCAGTGGATTGAGCGTGGGCTGGGAACCAAAGTGTCCCAGGTTCGATTCCCAGCCAGGGTACATGCCTGGGTTGCAGGCCATAACCCCCAGCAACCGCACATTGAACTCTCTCTGTCTCTCTCCCCCTCTCTCCCTCCCTCCCTCCCCCTCTCTCTCTCCTTTCTCTCTCTCCCTGCCTTCCCTCCCTAAAAATAAAATCTTAAAAAAAAAAAAAAGAAATAAGTAGTTAAAAAAAATATATGCATATATATTAAAGAACATTCTGAATGTTAAATATGTTCATTTCTAGGTGTTAAGTTATTCTATCATTCTGTTTTGTATTTAAAAATAGCATGTTTTTGTATCAGAAACATGCTTATTTTTAAACAAATGGTTTAAAAATATATAGTAATGTGACAAAAATCTAGTAACGTTATGGTCCCAAACTTGAAAATAATTTTAAATTAAAAATTTAGAAGCTACAAAATAAGAATGACTACATATATTTATGTGAGAATATCTTCAATAAATTACATATAATTATATGAATGCATAATATATGATTAGTGAACAATAACCACATTTAAATATTGTCATTCCATTTTTCCCTCTTTGTTGTCTCAGGCAGCATGGGCATATTGTATTATCTACATTAAAGGAGGTCCTTGAATAACAACTCAAACACACATTAAATTGGTGGTTTTGGTTCATTCTTAATGGTGAACGTGCCAGTCTGCCCACTGGTAGCCTCCATTTCAGTGTTTCACAAAGTGTCCTTTATGGATCATTCATTCCTTGGCATTAACATCGTTAGAAGAAAAGGAGTCTAATGTAATTACGTTTGGAAAACACAGATCCTTAATTGCAAGGATCTGGTTGGTTCATAGTAAGAAGTCACATCAGTTCCAAGGCTGGCCTTCCTGGAGAGTTATATGCTTAAACCCACCTTTTAGGTAACTTCCTGGCTTTGCAGCAATTTCTTAGTCCAAAGTGATGGAAAGAATTATATTCCCAAGATTGGGTCTGACCTAGGTACTTCTAGACCCAGAGATATAGAGACATTGAGAATAAATGCAGTGAATTGCAGTCATTCAATTGCAGTGAAATGGATTATATCATAGCCAATGAAAATGAGACTATATATAGTACATAATTATTATTAATTCAAGAAATATTTGAGCATGTTCTCTGTTTTAGATACTAGAGATATGTGGGTGAGTTAGCAGACTTGGTCTTGGCCCTCCTTCTATCGGAAAATGTAGATGGACGTGTATAATTACATATGTTATGAGACCTATAGAGGAAGCACAGGATGATGCTATGATAGGAATGAGACAGTGACAAACCAGTAGAGGCTAGAGGCGGTAGAAGTTACTTTGAAAGAATATTTGAACTGTATTCTGAAAGAAAAGAGGTTATTCAGGTGATGAGGGAAGGTTTACAACAGAGAACAGCATTTCCAGGGCAAGAAAATAGTCTGCAAGGAAGGAATGAAGAGAATGGTATGAGATGAGGCTGGAAGACAAGTAGTATATGTTAAGAATCTGGGAGTTCATCCTCAAGTCACTGAGCAGCCAATAAGAGTTTCCAAGATACCCTGGCTGGGTGCCTGGGTTAGTTGGAGTGTCGTCCTGTACACCAAAAGATTGCAGGTTTGATTCCCAGTCAGGGTACATACCTAGTATGCCTAGTTGAGGGACTGATCCCCCATCAGGGTTTGTAAAGGAAGCAATAGATCTATGGTTTCCCCTGCCTTCCTCTAAAATCTAATAAACATATTCTCTGGTGAGGATTTTTTAAAAAAAAAACCTTCTAAGAAAAGTTAGAGAATTTTGGGTTTGAATTTTAAACAGATCACTGTATCCAGTGTGAGGAACCAGATAGGGAATCAACAGTGGAAGTGAGGAAAAGGCAGTTAGTAGTCTAGGTCTACACTGGGGTGCTAAAAGTGAGGATAACAAAAAATGTATGGTTTTGAGATACATATATACAGAATCAACAGAATTTGGTGATGATTAAATGTGAAGGAATTCTAAAGGATGAATCTTGCAGTTTTCTGCTTGAATACTTTCACAGTCATTTGCAACTGTTGAGTGTGAGTTCCTCCCCCAACTTTTACAGGGGTGGGCAAAAGTAGCTTTACAATTTTGAGTTCACAAAACAAAGTTTATTCTTGTGTTATTATTTTATTAGAGCTGTAAACCGACTTTTGCCCACCCTTGTACTTTCTCTCTTGTCCAGTATTCATTCATACTTAACAAACTTTCCTCAACAATTTCTAATAATTTGTGACAAGGAATTGAGTGAAGGATACTGTAAAGGTTGCCAAATAGCACTGAAATTAGAAAACATGCTTGGCTGATATTAAGCATAACTTTATACCAATCCCATTACACCTATCATGATTATTTTTCTTCATAGTGCCTGCTCTGCACTCCCAAGGCATGAACAGAGGGAGCAGACAGCAGGAATCAGCAAGGTATTGGCCAAGAGGCTATGGAATCCAGGTGTTAGGAAGACAATGAAAGCACATAATTGGGCTCAGGCTGCCAGTTAAATGAAATAAAAGGATATAGTTTAGGACCCTCACAAGATCTCTCTAGGTTGTCTTCAGCCCTTACAGCCTTTTACTTTTATTTGTAACTCTCTTTTTCTTAACTTCTTAATGATATGCATACTATCTGCTGCCTCATACCTCCCTTATTCTAATATTCTGAAAGGTAGACTGTATTGCTTTTGCAACCCTTTTAGTAATTATTAAGCCTCTATTTACCTCACTAGCTGCTCAATATTTCCCTAGTATAACATTTATCAAATAATATAGTTGTGGTAAACCTCAAAATTGCTTTTTGTGTGTGCATACCTATAAACATTAATATGTACTTTTCAATCAATAGGAAGAGATCATGCAAATTAACTAGCTTTAGTCATAAAACATTTATACTTCTTTCCACTAATACCCAAATGTTACCTCTTATCAATAGGTTGTATCTCTTTACAACTACTATTATTAGATTATTATCACTGATACTAAGGCTGCTGGGAATGAGTGAGCTTAGTTGAGATATTATCAGAAGTGTCAAGATTGTAATCAGCTAAGCTCTATGGAGGCAGTTCTAAGAGCTGTCCTTAGCTGCACAAAGGCTGTCCATTTGCAGAAATGATTTTATCTGGTTCTTCAAACATTTGGGAAAGATGAGAAGATGAACCCACACCCTACAGCCAGGCCTGGACTATTCCTATTGCCAAGGACACCATGCACATTTGAAAAAGCTAAAAATAATCAAAATGAAGTTTCTTTCACTCAGTCCAACTTGGCTATAGAAGTAGGACCTTAAAATAGCTTTGACAGCTCATAAATTCTGACAACACACAGAGGCAATATAAAATACAAAGCTAGAGTTATCTCCCAAAAGGCTTCATAATGGTAAAGCACTGGTTCTTAGGCTTCCCTAACCCCCTTTAGGCCTTTTTTTCTGATTCAGTTACACCTAAGGGAGATACATTCCAATTAGCATTTAGCTCACTGTTAAGTGACCACACTCACCTACCTATCACTATGAGAATCAGCGCTATAAATCAAATACTTTTCTCATATTCTCATGAGAGCCAAATAAGAAAATACTATATACAAACCTCATCCAGAGTCTCTTCAGACTTGGTTTCCTTGGGTTTATCTTCATTAAGCTTCACATTTTTCACTTGCTCGGACACTTTACTTATACTTTCAGTACCCTTGAAACGCTGTAAGGGAAATATTTTAATGTTTTTCATATTCAGGCTAAAAGCTAGGAGAGACCTATAGATAAATTTAGCCTTTCAAATACATGGACATTTATCTGCACCAATAGGAACTTCGTAAGAACAAAGGAAGCATCTTATGTTAAGCATTTTAATCACCAAATTATAACCATCTCACAGTATAAATTCTGAAACGAACCTGAATATGAATACTGTTCAAATAACTCTTTAATAAAGATTCTTTTTTGTGGAAGGTGGTCATTTCATAGAGAACACATACTGGAGAATTTCTTAAAATTTATCTAAAGGCTCAGCATAAGTGTAACAAAGACTTTAAGCTCATTAATGAAGTGGAACTGCCCTAACTCATGTGGCTCAGTTGGTTGGGCATTGTCCTGCAAGGTGAAAGGTCACCAGTTTGATTCCAGGTCAGGGAATATACCCAGGTTGTGGGTTCAGTCCCCGGATGGGGTGTGTACAAGAGTCAGTCAATGTTTATAGCATGAATGTTTCTCTCCCTCTCCCTCCCTTCCCCTCTAAAAAAAAAAATAAATGGAACTTGCTTCAAATTTATAATTATTCAGTACCCTTAAGAATTTGTTGTCTTAAACTAACTAGAGAATTATTTTAAAAATCTGGTCCCTTTCAAAATATCAAAACATCCTGCTAAACTGCAGACAAGCCTCAATAGATTTGACTGCCAGCATTTATGGTTACAGTTATGAAAAACTGCAGGTGTAAAAACTTGCAACATATTCTGCAGATAAGTGCATTCAAACTTATTTTTGGGAATATCCAAAATGTGATATTCTGGCAATAATATATAACAATACTCACCTTACTTTCAAAAAGGTGGTTATAGGCTGTAACCAAATGGTCCTTGTTAGCTGTCTTGGCCACATTTTTAATATTTCCTAATAACTTATGTTCTGCAAGAAACTACCAAGAAAAAAGCTGGTTAGTCGAGATAGTTTCTCATATGAGGGTATAAAATTACAAAATGATCTTTTATGTAATTGTTTTCAATAACACTATTAATGACAGAAAAAAATGAAAGACTTTTATATCCTACTTCATAACAACAACAAAAAAAAGGTTTAAGGCCCTGGCTGGTGTGGGTCAGTGGATTGAGTGCCAGCCTGGGAACCAAAGGGTTGCTGGTTCGACTCCCAGTCAGGGCACATGCCTGCGTTGTGGGCCAGGTCCCCACTAGAGAACACACGAGAGGCAGTCACACATTGATGTTTCTCTCATTCCCTCCCTCCTCCTCTAAAAATAAAAGTTTTTAAAAAAGTTTAAATAAGATTGAAAAACCCCATTGGGTACATACAAGAATTGTGAGAGTGGAACTGTAATATTTATTTTGTAGGGGTCACACTGGTGTGTACTAACTCTTTTTCCATCATGGAACTCACAGAAAAACACATTTATACAGCAAGCACACTTTGGTAACTGGGTGAAGCTGCTCCTGGCATAATGGGAGCCTCCAGCAAGATTGGGCACAGCTATCTTGAAATATCTGTAACCCATTTCTGGTAGACTGAGAAGCACTGTTACACAATGCTGGATATACAGTGGTTAAGTTTATGGGCTGTGGAGTTACCTGTATTTTTCAGACCATAAAACGCACCTATGTTCTAGAGGAAAATAGGGAAAAACATTTTGAAGCAAAAAATGTGGTAAAGTATTTAATGATATAACATTTCACCAACGTGTAAATATAAACAGAACTCAGCAGCATTAACAACCATTATTTCTCCCAAATTGGGGCGGGGGGGAGGGGTCTTATAGTCCAAACAATATGATAGATTAGACCATCTGGGTTAAAAAATCCTAGCTGATTTCAGACAAGGGACTAAATTTTCCTCCAGGCTGTTTCTTTATCATAGCGGAAGATTAGTAACAGCATGTGCATCAGAAAGTGGTTATAAGGATAATCCACAACAGAATTACCTTTCTCTCAAACATAAGACTAAATTGGCAGATAGAAACCAAAATACTATTGGAATATCAATTCATCAAAATAACTTCAAGTCAAAATCATGTAACTTGGGGATTTTAATAATGTTATTATACTTCTTTTTTTGCCTATGGTCCTTGCTTGATCCCTCATTTTCTTACTTTCTCAGTTCTCTTATTTAACCTTTTGATAAAACAATTAGAAATTTTAACACTATTGTATTTCTTCTCTCCTTTTTCTCTACCACTTCTAAATGATAAAGGCTGATACCAAAAGACTATTTTGATTTAAAAGAATAAGCTACTTTAGCCCTCTTGTGATTTCTTTAGCACGATTCCAGATAAATATCCAAAATATAAACATCACCTTGACATCTTCAGAGCAATAAACTGGTGATTGCCAAATATATTAGGTTTAAGTATGTAAATGAACACTGGAGAATATGCACTTAAAAATGTAAAAATATTTTGGGCCCTGGCTAGTGTGGCTCAGTGGATTGAGTACTGGCCTGCGAACCAAAGGGTAGCTGGTTGATTCCCAGCCAAGGCACATGCCTGGATTGTGGGGCAGGTCCCCAGTTGGGGGCGTGCGAGAGGCAACCAATCTGTCTCTCGCACATCGACATTTCTCTCCCTCTTTTTCCTTTCCTTCCCCTCTCTCTAAAAACAAATAAAATCTTACAAGTGGTGACTTAAAAAAAAGTATTTTGATACTCTACCTTTCTTGAAATTGGTTTTACATTAGATTCCACATTGGGATGATTTGTTTCATAAGAATTCGATGGAGTATTGACATGTTAATAAGTGACTACTCTAATGTTTAATTGAAGTACGAATTGGCTTAAAACAATTCCACTAAAATGGTATCCCTGAAGCATGGTCTTTCCAGTTCCATCTTTGTCTTTCCATACACTGAGCGTAGTTCTTGCTATAGATATATAATTGTTTGCTGATGTCGACATGCTTATTCAGGAGCGTGGAGATGGAAGTTGGAGAGTAATTGTATCTCCCCTTCAAGACCCCTCAAAGTGAAAAACTACAATCTTCTTAAAGGAACCCAGAAACATTATTTCTAAATGCTAGTTTAGAACCTAAACTAAACTGTAGAGAACAAGATGCAGATTGCTGCTTCTATTTCTGATAGTGGGCGATGCCTTGGGCATAACAAATTGTACAATCGTTCAACAACTTAAGAGGTATGAATGATCTTAATTTCAGAAGGAAAAAACATCTCACAAAAATAACTTGTGACAACAGACGGATAGTTAAGATGGAGACTAGTGAAAAATACAGGGCGTACTATAAAGAATGCCTAATAGATTTCTTGGTTTATAATAATGAGAGCTGTACATGAATTGCTCATGTAACTCCCCAATATAAAAGTGAAAAGGTCATTTAAAGGGTTCATATTTTTAAAACGTTAAAATAGAAATCTACGGATTTAAACAAATCACACGCATTTGTGTTCAGTATTAGAATTGATGAGAAAGGCAGGGCGTGCACACATCTCTCCCACAGAAATCATATCCTTTCCCATTTCCCTAACAGCCCGCACCCCAGTCCTCACCCGCTCCACCCCTACCCCCTGCAACACCCCCAACCCTTCGCCTCAGCTGCCAGCATCTCCAGGGTTCCTTTATTTCATGGCCTCCATCCTCATTCAAGGATCCCAATGTGTTTCTAATTCTGCGAGCGCAAGCGGTAAAGCTGCTCCACTCGCCCAAGTAGGGCCAGCCCGAGGGGCGGGAGCGTGGCTCCGAGCGCACGCGAGGCCTCTCCGGCCTTCCAGGCCACCGGCAGCGGGACAACGAGGGCGGGGGATCCGAGGAATACAGAATGTACGGACAGCTACGGGGGGGATGAGGCGTCCCTTGGCCGCACCAGCCCGGCCGCCCCGCCGCCTCTGGTACCGAATCTGAACCGTGGTCCTGTAGAAACTTGATAATGTCCTTCTTGGGTAGCTGCTCGCTACGCAGCTGCTCCACGGTCCAGGCCCGCTGTGGAACGGCAGCCGCCATCTTCCCCCGCTGCCGCTGCTTTACTGAGCCAGCCCGCCTCGGTTTGGCATCGCCCCGCCCCCGGGGCGTGGGTGGCCCCCAGCGCGGAGCTGAAGGGGGCGGGGTCATAGCGCTACCCCTCGGGATTGGGGCCTGTCCTTTGAGTGACGGGGAGGCTGTGCTTTGAGGGCTTCTTTGTTAAGGCTGGGTGAAAACTTAATGTGGCCCTTCCCTGATTGGCCCTTGCCTGACTGCAAGCTGTCATCACCTCTTAATTGGAACCCTTGTAATGGTAGTTATATTTACCACTGATTACACACATTTGTTTTTTACCTATGGCTGTTATGCCTTTAAAGTCTATAACCTGTATAAACAAAACAAGAGTTCAGTCATCTAATCTCATTTTATCTAGTTGTAGCCTAATATTCACACCTAAATTGACTCAGTCCTTGTCCATCGGAACAACCCATATCCAACCATCTCCCTTCTGAGACTAATACAAATGAAACTAAAATACACCTGTCCCCTTCCCCCTAAAAATACAAACACAAGAGAAACACTTTGTCTAAAAGCAAATTTAGAACTTGACCAAATAAAACAACTTGGTAATGAGGGTGATGTTATTAATGTTCAAAACACCTCATAATATGTGTGTACTTTCCCTCAAAATACAAGAAAACAGATTTACAGAGATTAAGGCCTAGGTTTGGAGTGGAGCAGTCTGATATAGAAAGCTATTGCTAGAGCACTCTCACTCTGGGGAGCTGCCCTTGCCTTTTCTTTTCCCCTGCTCTGTCCATCTGGGGGCATTATCTTTACCTTTCTCTCTCCTGAGCTCCAAGGGCCCCTTCTTTTGCCTCTCTACTTTTTTCCTGAGCCCAATTTCTTCTACAGCTCACTTCTTCCCTCTGTGACTTTCTAAATAACTTTCGTTTTGTATTTTTGAGTCTTGGTTCTGAATTCTTTCTTAGCCAGAACTCAAGTATGAGGTTGCTGAACAGAATCCATCTGACTTACCAGATAGGAGGCCTGGGATTGAGCAGATCTGCTTAGGACCAGCTGGTAGCATGTGGGTTCTTGGCTTCATAAAGGAAAGATTTCACAACATGAGTCCAAGTGACTATGAGGATGTATTTGTTGAAACTGGGGTCAGTGAGACAAAGGGCCTAGTGAAGAAGAAGCCATGATACTTAGGCTGGCCTTCCTTAACTCACTGGGAAGTCAGAGAAAAACGAGGTGCCACTGCCCATTTCTCCCCTGGTTGCAAGTCTCATGGGATCCTTTAGAGCTTAGGAAATAGGATCCTGTGGAGGATGAAGAAAAGGAAGGAGAGAGAAAAGGAATTGGATTGAGAGAGAGAGAGAGAGAGAGAGAGAGAGAGAGAGAGAGAGAGAGAGAGAGAGGGAGGGAGGGAGGGAGGGAGGGAGGGAGGGAGGGAGGGAGGGAGGGAGAGAGAGAGAGAGAGAGAGAGAGAGAGAGAGAGAGAGAACGTGAGCGCTCACTAGGTCCTTTGTCTTGAGGCTTTTTTGTCTCTCTTGCAGGTGGGAATCTTAAGGAGGTCTCAAGGGAGGATTTCAGCAGAGTATTTATTAGTTTTCCAGGTGTGCTCTTTTAGAGTTATGGTCTCCACTGATTGGTCTATGACAGGGCAGGGGTCTTTAGTCATTGCAGCTGGTCCTGGCATTGCCCACCTGGTTTTTCTGCTTTTCTGGGCCTGGAGCTGAGATACAACTGAATTCTAGATGTTATCTCTACGGAGATGACCTTCTGTATGTGGCTATAAACTGCTTAGCTATTTTGTTCACTTATCTGTCTCAGTTTCCCTACTCTACTTGCCAAGGAATGTCTAGCCTTTTACCATCCTGACTCAATTCTACCTGTCTAACATGCTGGTGCTGTTTTTACAGCCTCCAGCAAAGGGAGCATGTAATCTAGTTAACATGTACTTTGCTTTCTCCCACCTTCATGTAATCTTTCTTGTGTTCCCTCTTTGACTCCAAATATGTAAAAAGAAACCACAAAACTGTCATTTTCTGCAGAATTTGAGATCTTGCTTTCTGGCATGTCATCAGTTTGGCTCACATAACTTAAATCCTCATTTAAAAAAAATTGAAAGAAAGCTATTGCTAGAGTAGACATACTGAACCATCCATAACAGACCATCTTGAATTCCATTTTTAAAATGATCCTTTTTATAAGGAGAACAAAGTGTAGGTAAGGAGTTTGAAATGCAGGGAAAAGTTAATTGGATTGAAAATAAACTGCAGCATTCTCAGTGTGGTCGGTGGTCTTTAGCTGGGTCCTGGGAGGTGGTCATCTCACTCGAATACAATGTCTCAGATGCCATCTCGATGGCTTGCAGTCCTCCTGAGGCACAAAGGTGGAACTGTTTATGGTCTCCTGCAGTCAGGGTGGGTCATAACTTCAGTTCCTGGAACAACAGCTTTTATATGCATTGATTACTAACCTTATTAGCTATTAATTAAAGTAAAAATTTCCAACTTTCGAGCCCCTCATCAATATCACACCAATGTAAAGGACGACCAGAATGCCTTTTTCTTTAGAATTTTTCAATGAATATCAGGACCAAACCGTTTAGTTCCCTTTTAACAATGAAAATATTAAGATAATGGGTTGCCCTCCTAATGATGTAAAAAAGAGAACTGACATTTTGTTTTCTCAGCCTGGACAGAAAAATAAGCTATTTAATTCAATCTAAACAATTTCGGGTTTCACCTAATCTTCCCATTTAAAAACACAACCAACAAATAATAAAGCACATTAGATGATCAATAACGTTAAGTTCACAAAAATATGGGTATCTGTTGTTCTGGGGATCTCAAGATTACTTACTTTTATTATTTTAAGCGTTTTGACTTTAGCAATGACGCCCTGACATGTAGTCATTGGAAAAGGAACTCAAACTTAGAGTCTATAAAAATCCGAATAGGGGACCAAATTTAGAGTAACTCCAAAACAATGTGCCTGCCTCTTCTGGAGGGCAGGGGAGGGTTTCCGGGAAGCCACCCAATCATATTCCTAACGTAAACTCGGTGGCGGCATTTTCAAGTGGCTAAACTGACCTCAGTCCCGCCCTCTGGTTCCACTGTTCTTTGCGGAGGTAACAGATGGAGATCGAATGGGTGGCAGTTCAGCTGCAGCAGCTGCTGGCGTCTGAGAGAAGCCCTTGGTGGTCGTAGGCTTAATGAGCGGACGGCAAAGAACGCTTTTCCAGACATGGGGCGCAAGCCTCTTCCGATCCTCTGGGGCTCCGGTTTGCAGCTCTAGAACTGAGCGACCTCACAGCCCCGGCAGCCCCGGGGCGTGTTTTTCTGCCGCCGCAGAGGCTGCAGACTCACCGCCGGAGTCGGACGACGACGTGTTCCTGGTTGCTGTGTACGAAGCAGAGCGGCAGCTGAATCTAGAGAATGGCGGGTTCTGCACCTCAGCGGGCGCCCTATGGATTTATCCTACTAATTGCCCAGTGCGGGACTACCAGCTGCACATCTCCCGGGCCGCTCTGTTCTGCAACACGCTGGTGTGTCTGCCCACCGGGTTGGGAAAGACCTTTATTGCCGCCGTGGTCATGTACAATTTCTACCGCTGGTTCCCGTCTGGCAAGGTAGTCTTCATGGCCCCCACGAAACCTTTGGTGACACAGCAGATTGAGGCTTGCTACCGAGTGATGGGTATCCCGCAGTCCCACATGGCCGAAATGACAGGTATTTCAGAAAGAGTGGGCTAATTTGAAATTAAAGAGCTGGGTGGGACAAAGGACACATTCTGTTGGAAACTGAGCCAAAGAAATTCCTGACCCATGTGGAATAGTCCCCAGATCATATCTTCGTTTTGCATCTTCTCCCCTAAAACATCATCTGCAGGCATACGTTTCATTGCATTTAGATTTGTGCTTCACAGATGTTTCACTTTTTTACAAATTGAAAGCAAGAGCCTCCACCAGCTAAAAGATTACCACTCCCTTTATTACCGTGGTCTGGAGCCGAACGTGCTATGTCTCTGAGGTACTCCTGTACATGTAGCAAGTCCAGCCCTAATAAATAGGATTGCTTGACTCAGTCTTCAGAGAATCCCTGTAGCTAGTTAGAGCATTTTGAAGCTACTGTGTATATATACCCCATCTGTTACCCAGTGTCATTTTTATTTGCAGGATCTACTCAAGCTTCCACCAGGAAGGAAATATGGTGCAATAAGAGAGTCATTTTTCTTACACCTCAAGTCATGGTAAATGATCTTTCTAGAGGAGCTTGTCCTGCTGCTGAAATAAAGTGTCTAGTTATTGATGAAGCTCATAAAGCTCTTGGGAACTATGCTTATTGCCAGGTAATATTTCATTTAAAAGTAATTTTTTAGTGTAAACATTGTTATAGAGTATTTTGGGGAATAATTATTAATGATGGATGTTATTGATTGATGAAGTTATTATGAAAGGCCTTATCTACTACTATCTTAGAACAGATTGTGATCTGCTATCTTTTAAAAAAAATGGTTAACAAAGCCATTAGTGTCAGATGTAGATGATGAAAGCTTAGTCATTATTGAGGTAGTGATTCACAGCAGGGTATGGGTGGAGTTTTGGAACTAAGGTAATCCCAAAATTGGTAGTGGATATGCAGTGTCACTTGTTGGCAGGTAGGTAAAGTAATACTTAACTGTTAAGGGTGTTTTAAGGATTAAATCACATAATGTATACAACACACCTAACAGTGCCTTCCAGTTAAGTACTACAGGAATACGAAGGACAAAGGTGAAGAGGTGAGCTATGGGCTGGTAAGGTGCTTTACAACCAGGTCATGAAGGCATTTGTATTTTGTGCTTACCAATTCAAATGCTCTTTGTAGAGTGTAAGGGATCTAGGTGGTGGAGACTCAAAAAATGTTTAGCTGGAAGATACCTAAGATTTAAAAAGGAGTAGAGGAGAGAAAGCTAAAGGCAGTGTGTGAAATGAGGGATAGGAGGAATTTAGGATGACTCCCAGTTATTTGACTATTGGAAGATTGTGAGGATGTTGGTGTTACTAGTCAAGATGAAGAGTTCTGGAAGCAGAGAAGATTTGGGGTATTATGGAAAGATAGGAAAGATAGTGCCATTTTAGATTGTTGAATTTGAGGTGTCTATGAGAATCTAGCTGTAGATGTATACTAGGCAGTAGGTGATGGAAGTGTGGATCTCACTGGACAATTCTGAGCTGGAGATAACAGATTTGGAAATCACCAGCATGTAGGAGGTAGATACTTAAAACTATAATGTTGGTGATACTAGGGAGGGTATCAGATAAGGATAGAAAGGAACATTGATTTCATTTAGTGCAAATGGATGAATTTCACTGTCATTTTGTGAATTTATAAAGCTGTTTCCTTGGGAACCTTTTAAGTATCATTGTATTATATCTCTGTATTATCTTCTGGAAAATGTCATCTTTCTTAGAGTTGATCCTAGCCAAGAAATGGATATATTTTTCTATTCATTTGTATTTTTCCACATTAAATTAATTCCCAACTATGTTAAGGTTTCTGCTTCAGGAGCATGTACAAATTTTTATTCTACTGTGGAATTCATTTTGTAGATTTAGCTTATATTTAGCAACTTTAACTCATTTATTTTCCTTCTCTTTATTTTAAAATATTTTATTTATTTATTTTTAGAAAGAGGGGAAGGGAGGAAGAAAGAGAGGGAGAAAAATAGTGATCTAAGCCCTGGCTGGCATAGCTCAGTGGATTGAGCATGGGCTGCGAACCAAAGTGTCTCAGGTTCGATTCCCAGTCAGGGCACATGCCTGGGTTGCAGGCCACAGCCCCCAGCAAGCGCATATTGATGTTTCTCTTTCTCGCTCTCTTTCTCCCTCCCTTCCCTCTCTAAAAATAAAAAAAGAAAAAAGAAAGAAAAAGAAAAATAGTGATGTGCAAAGAAACATCAATCAGTTGCCCCTTGCATGCCCCCACATGGGGACCTGGCCCACAACCCAGGCTATCCCTGACCAGGAGTTGAACTGGCAACTCTTTGGCTTGTAGCCTATGTTCAGTCCACTTAGCCACACTAGCCAGGCAACTCATTTATTTTCAAGAAATTTCTAGGCATTAGGTGATTTCTTGTTTCAATTACAAGGCTTATGCTTTTATTGAGTACAATGAGACATGCATTTACTCCATTACTACCCAATATCCCTGAGAGTTTATGCTACATTGAATGTTCCAGGTATAGGTTCCAACAGCTCCATGAAGAACGTAGCTTCCAGGATTTCAAACATAACACTATTTCCTCTTCTACAAAACGCTTGAGAATCCCTTCTGGAAAAAGTCAGGTACTAGGGACATTTTGTCTTACATCAGTTTTTAATTAGAACAATTCTATTTAAGTCTCCATTAAGTATAATGTTGTATCTTTATATTCATTAGGTATAATGTTTAAAAAAAAGCTCCAGAATTACATATAGCCCTGGCTGGTGTGGCTCATTGGGCTGAGTGCCAGCCTTTGAACTAAAAGGTCAATGGTTCGATTCCCACAGGGCACATGCCCGGGTTGCGGGCCAGGTCCCCAGTAGGGGGCATGTGAGAGGCAACCACACATTGATGTCTTTCCCTCTCTTTCTCCCTTCCCCTCTCTCTAAAAATAAATAAAAGCTTTTTAAAAATCCTCCAGAATTAATATTTTTTGAATATTAATTAAGATTTAGTGTGAGTCTCATTGAATTCATCCTTGACATGGGTTGAAATTAGAGTAGTTTTAAATAATCTAATTTTACTGTTTCCATAGCTAGTGGGAAACTGGGGTCTTAAGAGCTGTTTCTGCACCCCATTTTACTTAGCGGTTGTTTTGTCTTGTATTGAGGACTTGTGCAAAGGGGCATATGTGAATCTGCCAAATTATCCAGTATTAATCATATTGGAAGTGGTGTAGAACTTAAACTGGAGAGCTTAGACGGATACTTTGGTGCCACTGAGAAAACGTTTTAAGATTTAAAAGGAAAGTTAAACTTTTAAAATAACTCCCAATTAACCTTATTCTTTTATGAATAAACTTAATTGAAAAATTGTGAGCCTTCTAATACAATCTAACTTCTTAAAATCCTAAAACAATTTTTTTTTCATTTCAAATCTCCTTTTACATTAGTATTTAATTTTTTCCTATTTTTATGTTATGATGTATCTGAATCTGGTAAGTGTGCATATGAGTATGCTGTAAGGCTGGATTGTGGTCTAAGCAATGGAGAGTGCACTTTCTCTTCTTCCATTTGCCACTGTTAGGCCTGATGTCGTAGCTTATATATATAGAAGAAACCCTGAAGTCTTTTTTTAATGGTGTAGACTATAAACCTAAATTATTTGCTCTCTGGATATAACTAATGATAGTTCCATCCACTAGACCATCAGTATTCTAAATAAAGGAATAATGATAATGTACCAAATATATTGGTTTATTTAACAGAATCATTGTTATTTTTGTAATGGATGTATGAAATCAAGGAACTTTTTTTCTTTTTTTAAGGTTGTAAGAGAACTAGTCAAATATACAAATCACTTTAGAATATTGGCTCTTAGTGCCACACCAGGTAGTGATATAAAGGTAAGTAAAATGTTTTTCCATTTATTAACAGTTACAAAAATAAGAACTGTTGTAAGTGGCTGGATCAGTTTTCTTTTTTCTTTTTTTAAAAAAGATTTTATTTATTTATTTTTAGAAAGGGGAAGGGAGGGAGAAAGAGAGGGAGAGAAACATCCATGTATGGGTGCCTCTGAAACAACCCCTACTGGGGATCTGGCCTGCAACCCAGGCATGTGCCCTGACTGGGAATCAGACTGGTGATCCTTTGCCTAACAGACTGGCACTCAATCCACTGAGCCACAACAGCCAGGGAAGTTTTCCACTATAGTATTTACTTTGAGTTTAGGACTCCAACATTTTCTGTAGCATGCCTCCCTTGTGTTTGCAGGGGTTTTTCTACATTAGTAGTTTTCAGACTTAAGTGTGCATGAGAGTCACCTAAAGCTGTTCGTTAAATTATACTGTTTTCTTTAAAAGTTTTCTTTTAGCTCTGGCTGATGTGGCTCAGTGGATTGAGTGCCAGCCTGCAGACCAAAAGATCCCTGGTTCGATTCCCAGTCAAGGGCACATGCCTGGGTTGCAGACCAGGTCCCCAGTTGGGGCCGCACAACAGGCATCCACACATTGATGTTTCTCTCCCTCTCTTTCTCCCTCCCTTCCACTTTCTCTAAAGATAATAAAGTCTTTTTTAAAAAGTTTTTTTTAAGTTTTATTTTGAAATAAATTCAGACTTTCAGAATATTTGTAAAAATTGAAGTATCTGTGTATCCTTTGCTTAACTTTCTCTAATGTTAACATATTATATAACCATGGTAAAATTATCAAAAGCAGGAAATTAACATTGGTGCAATACTAGTAATTAATCTGAAGACCTCATTTGAATTTTGCCATTCTTCCTGCCAGTGTTCTTTTCTGTTCCAGGTTCCAGTTCAGGATCCCACATTGCATTTAGTTGTCACGTTTCCTGGGCCCTTCTTACTGTGATAGTTCCTCTGTCTTTTTTGGTCTTCTGTGACCTTGTTTTGTTTTTCATGCTGTTCTTGCAGGGTGGATACCAGTTATTTTGCAGAATATCCCTCAGTTTATGTTTGGCTGATATTTTCTTGTGAGTAGAGTTTTTGGCAAGGATACTCCAGAAGAGCTGTCTCTCTCAGCACATTTTATTAGAGAATACATGGTGTTGATATGCCTTATTGTTGGTGCTGTCAATTATGATTTTTTGAAGGTGCCAATTTCTCCATTGTGAAATTACAGTCATTCCTTGTATCTTCAAGAGATTTGTTCCAGGACCCCATGGATACCACAATCCACAGATGCTCAAGTGTCTTACATAAAATGTCATACACACATTCTCCTATATACTTTTCATCATCTCTGGATTACTTATAATACCCAATACAATGTAAATGCTATGGAATTAGTTGTTTTACTGTGTAGTTAGGGAATAATGACAGGAAGAATAAGTCTGTACATGTTTAGTACAAATGCAATCATCTTAGGCCTAAATACATAGTACCTTTTAGCAACAAGGTAAGTTTTTAAAAAATTATATTTTATTGATTATGGTATTACTGTTGTCCAGTTTTTACCCCTATGTACCCCTCCACCCAGCATCCCCTACTCCCTCAGGCAATCCCCACACTATTGTTCATGTCCATGGGTCGTGTGTGTAAGTTCTTTGGCTAGTCCGTTTCCTGTACTGTACTTTACATCCCTGTGGCTATTCTGTAACTACTTGTTTGTACCTCTCACCTCTTCATCCTTTGCCCCACACCCTCCTCCCATATGACAACCACCCAAACCCTCTCCATATCCATGATTCTGTCTCTCTTCTTCTTGCTTGCTTAGTGTGTTTTTTAGATTCAATTGTTGATAGATTTGTATTTATTGCCATTTTATTGTTCATAGTTTTGATCTTCAAGATTCTCTCTTTATCTTTAATCTTTGGCATTTTAATTATGATGTGTCTTGGAGTGGGCCTCTTTGCATGCATGTTGTTTGGGACTCTCTGTGTTTCTTGGACTTGCACATCTATTTCTTTCACCAAGTTAAGGAAGTTTTCTTTCCTTATTCTTTCAAATAGATCCCCAATTTCTTGCTCTTCCTCTTCTCCTTCTGGCACCCCTATAATGTGAATGTTGGAGCGCTTGGAGTTGTCCCAGAGGCTGCTTACACTATCCTCGTTATGTTACATTCCTTTTTCTTCTTGTTCTGATTGATCGTTTTTTGGTTCCTTATGTTCCAAATAATTGATTTGATTCTTGGCTTCATTCACTCTACTGTTGTTTCCTGTAAATTATTCTTTTTTTAATTTAAAAATTTTATTTATTTTTAGACAGAGGGGAAGGGAGGGAGACAAAGAGGCAGAGAAACATTAGTGTGTGGTTGCCTCTCATGCACCCCCTACTGGTGACCTGGCATGTGCCTGACTGGGAATTAAACCAGTGACCCTTTTGTTCTTATGCCAGTGCTCAATCCACTGAGCCACACAAGCCAGGACTTCCTGTAAATTATTCTTTATTTCAATCAATGTAGCCTTTGTTTCTGACTAGATTTTTTTTTATCCTTTTGATGTCTTCACTAAGTTCCTTGAGCATCCTTATAACCAGTGTTTTGAACTCTGCACCTGATAGATTGCTTATCTCCCTTTTGTTTAGTTCTTTTTCTGGAGTTTTGATCCATTTTTTCATTTGGACCATGTTTCTTTGTCTCCTCATTTTGGCAGCCTCCTTGTGTTTGTTTCTATGTATTGGGTAGAACTGCTGTGACTCCTTATCTTGGTAGTGTGGTCTAACGTAGTAAGTGTCCTGTAGGATCCAGTGGCACAGCTTCCTTTATTACCCAAGGCGGGTATTCGAGGTGTGCCCTTCATGTGGCTGAGTGCTCCCTCCTCTTGTAGTCTTGGTTGCTGTTAGCAGGTCAGTGGAAGGGATTTAACCAGGCTAGTCAGGTGCAAGGACTGGCTCTGTCCACTGACCATCAACCTCCGGTCTACGTGGAGGATCAGCTGTGCAAGAGCGGCGTGGTGGTGCTCCATTGTGGTCTATAGCTGTCCACTGGGTGAGCAGGCTATACGGTTTCCTGGGTGGTGCAGGTCAAGGTCATCGCCCACCTGTGTTTTACCCTGGGCCACTCTGCTTGAGCTATAAAGCAATGTAAAATGGTTGATACTTATGTTGGGTTTGGAGATTCCTGGGGGAAACCAAGCTTTGAATCTAGGCTGACTGTAGCTAATACTGGGCTTGGGGCCACTTAGCAAGAGATATGGGTGCTGAGGGCTTACTGAGACTGGACTTATGAGGCCTGCTGTTGCTTGTTTAATAGGATTTAGGGAGTTGTGATATAGGAGCCAAAATGAGCCATTCATATGGAAAAGTCTCTGTTAACAGCTTCAGGTGTGTCTGTAAGCTAGGTGGGACAGAGTCTCAAGGACCTCTAGGGCAGGGCAAACAGCCTTAGCCAGATTGATGGAGTCTCAAATATGGCACCTATCTGCTGGCTCTGTGTGGGGCGCGGGGTTCACAAAGGATCCATGGCCTCTGCCCACCTTTTTGTCTGGGAGAAAGCTGTCCCCCAGCTCTTGCCTTGATGCCAGAAACTTCAGTTCCCCCCTGTATGCCTCTGGTGCCTTTCAAGCTGCTACCTTGATGCTGAAGCTCAGAGGGAGTGAGTCTGAGTAAGTCCGTTTGTGGGTTCTTTAACAGGAACTGCTTGGGACTCTAGAATTTTCTTCCACCAACTCAGTCCCTGCTGTTTATTGCAGCCAGAAGTTATGGGGATTTATTTTCCTGGCCCTGGAATCCTGGGCTGGGGGCCCTGGTGTGGGACTGGAACTCCTTACTTCCAAGGTATCCCTCCCGAATTTTTATCCATCATGCCTGGGTGTGGGACCAGCCTATTCCGTGTCTGGAACAGTCCTATACCTTCTACCAGTCTGGATGGATATAGTTTCTGTAATTTAATAGTTGTTAGACTTCCATTCAACTCGATTTGTTACAGTTCTGAGTAATAGTTCTATATTTTAGCTGTAATTTTGATGTGGTTGTGCAAGGAGGTGAGCCATATTTACCTATGCTGCCTTCTTCACCCTAGTTCAGCTCTTTATGTTAATGTAGACTAATGGTTTTTTTTTATGGACTATAATCCAATACCACCATTAATTTTGTTGCTCAAATTGTTCCAGTTTTGACCGTTGGAATATCCGTGAGATGGCTTTTGTGTCCATTAGAAAGTACCTTTTTCCCTACAATTTTTTAGTTTTGTTAAAATTTTTTTTCATTTATTGATTTGTACACAAAGAGAGGGAGAGGAGAGAGAGGGCGAAACATTGATTAGTTGTTATTCAACTTATTTACTCATTCATTTGTTGATTCTTGTATATGTTCTGATGGGGGAATGAACACACAGCCTTGGTAAATTGGGATGGTGCTGCAATCAACTGAGGTACCCGGCCAGGGTCTAGAAAGCACTTACACACACACACACACACACACACACACACACACACAACTTCCTAACTTTCTGGCATCAAGATATTTTATGTTCATTTGGTATTTTTCCTGTTTTACCCATGGAAACAACCATTTGCCCAGGGAGTGCTGGTTTCTTTTATTGGAGGCTGGTAAAAATGCAGATTTTGGGTGCTATCCATGACATTCTGAGTTTGGTAGCTCTGAAAGAGCTTTTGTATTGGCTTTGGATACTTTCTAAGATAACTCTGCCAATCTGTAAGACTTTCTTTTTTCTGGGCATAGCCTTGATGATTTTTTGAAATTTTTATTTCTGCTCCTTCCCCTAGCTTTGTTTAAATATGCCTACTTTTAGTAGAGACTTGAACTTTTAAGTCTCTGCTTAATTGTCATCCCTTCAGAGAGATCCACCCTAAGCTATGAAAAGTCAGCTCCCCTATCTTGTGATTTTCTTAATATTTATCATAATCTGTGATTCCTTTGCCTGTTCATTTATTTGTTGACACTTTGATCCACTAAAATAGTAGCTACATGAATGCAGGGATGATATCTATCTCAGTTATAGCTCTGTTATCAGCTCAATACCTGGCAGGTGGGAGTTACTTAGACCTTTCTGGAATGGATGCATGATTAAAAATATTGAAGTATTACTCATGTTTATAAAATGGTTACAAATTTACTCTAGATTTTAAATTTATGTGAGCTTTCTATAACTATAGTAAAGTACCTATTAGGCCCAGGTATTGGGAATACAAAGGTGATTAAGACGTGATTATTTGCCCTTGGGAATTTTTTGTCAGAAACTAAGCCCATTAAGCTTTTCAAGTTTTTTTTTTTTTAAAGCTCTTAATTTTTAGATACATTTACAATTGAGTCTTTCTTTCTCCCTCTCTTTCCCTATCCCTTATGTCCCACCTCCTACCTCTCCCCCTCTTTAGTTTTTAATTACGTTGTCAATACTATAGTCTAATGGTATAGTCGTTCATGCCAACAGGTTTTATCTTTTTGCTCTTATTCTGTATTTTTACAATTAAGTTCCTTTATGATATTTGGGTGAATGAAATTCATTCCCACAAATAGATTCACATCATATATATTGATTTAAATGAAAAATATTCTGGTAATTTATCAATACTTGATTTAGTATAGGTCCTGTACTCTCAAATTCTTAACAGGTTGATTTTATGGTATTCCTTACAAATGTAAGATGCATTTTTATTCTTTAATAGTAACAAGACTGCTCTGTGTCTCCCACAAATATCACTGGAAAGTATTTGCAAGGAATCAGGAAATCTGGATTCTAGTTTTGGCTCTAAAATTTACTGTTACAATGTTTTAGGGATTTAGTTTGCTGATATGAAACTTCTGTTGTCTGTATCTTTGTAAAAGGTTGATGGAATACATCATTGTTATTGGAGAGTGCAAATACATTTGATTAACTTGTCGGGCATGTACTAGTTGTGTCACTTCTGATGGTTTTTATAGTTTTTTAAATAAACATTTAATGGTGTGAATTTTTAATGTTTCTTTCAAAATTTTACTATCTTATTTCTTTTGGTAACAAAGTAAAATATTTAATATGTAATGTAATTTATAATAATATTTCATTGGTTTTCTGTAGGCTGTGCAACAGGTTATTACTAACCTACTAATTGGGCAGATAGAACTTCGTTCTGAAGATTCCCAGGATATTTTGCCATACTCTCATGAAAGACGAGTTGAAAAGCTTGTTGTTCCCCTTGGTGAAGAACTTGCAGCCATCCAAAAGGCATATGTACAGGTAAACAATTCTCATCACAGTTCAGTGTTTCAAATAAATGAACTGACAATGTAATTACTGTACTTAATAGAATCTGGCTGTGAGACTATGTGGTTATCAGTTTATAATTAACATGTTGAAAAATTATTTGAAATTAAAATTTTTGGATATAGCACCATTCTTTACATGTACTGACAAAGAAGAAATACAAAATGATATACCATTTCTAAAGTCAATAATAGCTTTATATCATTTTGTATTTTTTAAAAGATTTTATTTATTTTTAGAGGGGAAGGGAAGGAGAGAGGGAAACATCAATGTGTGGTTGCCTCTCCTGCTTCTCCTGTTGGGGTCCTGGCCTGCAACCCAGGCATGTGCCCTAGCCTGGGAATCAAACCATGACTCTCTGGTTCACAGGCCCGCGCTCAGTCCACTGAGCTATACCAGCCAGGGCTCATTTTGTATTTTTTTAAGTAACTCTTTTAATTATAGTATGACCCTCCCATATACACACACAGCAGAGTGCTTAAAACGTAAGTGTGCAGCTCAGTGACTTTTCACGTAACGATCACACCCGTAACACTTACCTAGATTCAACCAGACATTTCTTTGTAAGGAAATATATTTTCAATATTTTCCCTGATCAACTGGAGGCAATCTTGCCCATCTGGTAACGTTTGCCAATGTCTTGACACATTTTTGGTTATCTTATCTGGAGCGGATGGGGAGTGGACTTGCTACTGGCATTTAGTTTATAGAGGGCCAGGAATGCTGTGTAACATTCTGCAGTGGACAGGAGAGCCTGCCCTTCCCCCCAACAACAAAGAATAAAGAATTATCTGGTCCAAATGCGAATATTATAGTTATTGAGAAACTTCTTACACTGTTATCACTTTCAGTGGGAGAATTTGAGGTAACACAATGTTTTTCCAGTAGTTAATAATTAGTGCCATCCTAGGAGAAAACTTTATTTTCATATCCTCATTGTCATGGATTAAAGTGGCTTCTTTGCCATTCCTCCCATTGAGAGACATGATACATTTTCCCTTTCCTAGAAACTAAACTGGCTCTGTGGCTGACTTTGACCAATAGATGTGATAAACCCAATCTAGCCATGTTGAGGAGAAGGGAGAAGAAGAAACCAGTAGATAAGTAACTAGAATTGAAGGTGCAGACATATGGCCCCCGTTGGGTTTTTTCAGCTACCCCCCAGCCATCTGAAGCTCCATCAGGAGTACAGAGACAAGCTATCAGCACAGTGCCCTGACAGACTTTTTTTATTTCTTATTTTTAACATTTGCAGCAATTGTGGATGTCAGGAAATTTGCAAAAATAGCTTAGAGAGTTCCCCAGGGGAGATACTTTAAGAATATGAAAATATTCTGTTCTCAACATATTTTGCCCACTAATTTTAGCATAATAATGGTGGTGCTTGCGTACAACTATTTCTGTAGTGTTTACCTAATCAGTGTTCCCTCTTTCCCTTATTTCTTTTACATTTGTTAATTTGAATTCTTCAATAATGAAGTTGTTTCTTCTCTTATTAATTCAATTCTTTATATCAGTATAGACTAATAGATATTTTTTTGTGTGGGTTAAATCCAGTACTATTATTAATTTTGTTGCTCAGATTGTACCAGCTTTGGCCATTGGGGCCTCCTTTAAGATGGCTTGTGTGTTCTTGAAGATGTACTTTTGGGGGAGTGTGGTTGAGGGGGAAAACTTCCTGTCTCTCTGGCATTACAAGATATTTTATGTTCATTTGGTATTTTTCTTGTCCCAGCCATGGAACCAACCATCTTTCCAAGGAATCTTTGTTCCTTTTATGGAAGAATGCTGTGTAGAAACCAAGATCTAGGCACTAGATGTTCTCATTGTCCTTGTGGTGTCATAGCTCCTAGGCTGTCTCAGTGAATCACTTGAATTCTTACCCACAGAATCAGAATCATGAGCAAATAAAATTATTGTTTTGACCTATGATGTTTTGAAGTAATTCTTGATACAGGAATGTATAACCAAAACATTCATCTATCATTTAACCTTTAATAAATCTTTCTTAAAGTGAAGTTTTATAGGAATATGGTTTATATTTTGTCTTTAAATTATTTGTAACAAATTTCTAAGCATAATTAATCATTTAAGGCAAAGTCTTTCCAACAATCATCCCCTAAATACTAATATATTTGCTTATGATTAAAATTATTTTACTTACACCCTGCCTGGTGTGGCTCAATGGATTGAGTGTCAACCTATAAACCAAAGGGTCTCTGGTTTGGTTCCCAGTCAGGGCACATGCCTGGGTTGTCGACCAGATCCAAAGTGGGGGGCACATGAGAGGCAACCATACATTGATGTTTCTCTCTTCTTTCTCTCTCTCTAAAAATAAATAAATAAAATCTTTTAAAAATAAAATTATTTTACTTACAGGAATTTAAAAATGGTAATTTGTATAATCGCTATAATAAGAATTTAATTTTGTCAGTATTTTTCAAAGTGCTTTTTTTAAAAAATTTGATTTTGAGAGAGAGGAAGGGAAAGAGAGAAAGAAACATCAATTTGTTGTTCCACTTAATTATGCATTCATTGGTTGATTCTTGTATGTGCCCTGGGCATGGATCGAATCCTCAACCTTGGCATATCGGGCTAATGCTCTAACCAGCTAACCTACCAAGCCAGGGCTGAGAGAGTGCTTCTTTAGGCAGTGTGATCAGCAAAGTAGGAAGGGAAGAAAAAGAAAAATATACTAAAATGGTCCTGGCTGCATGGCTCAGTTAGTCAGAGTGTTGTGGCATGCACCAAAGTGTTGCAGGTTTGATTCCTGGGCAGGGTACATACCTAGGTTGTAGGTTTGATCCCCAGTGGGGGTGCCTACCAGGGGCAACTGATCAGTGTTTCTGTCTCTCTCTTTCACTTGCTTTCTCCTTTCCTCTCTAAAAGTCAAACATATCCTTGGGTGAGGATTAAAAACAAAAAAACTAAATAGGTCTATTTTAGGAAGTAAAAATCAGGCAAAAATTTGACTACTTTATTATATATTACTATAGTACACCTTCATCCAGAGGTCTCTTTTTTCCTTCACTATGGCATTAAGCTCGTTCCTTCATCAGGGCCTTTTGTCTTCTGTTTCCTCTCTCTGGCATGCTCTGTCCTCAGATCCTCTCATTCTAGACACACCTCATCATTCAGATGTTGGATATTATCTTTTTAATGAGACTGTCTTTGTCCACGTTATTTGATAGTGACTCCTTTCCCCTCAAAGACTCCAACATTACTGTATTTTAGGTTCTTAAATGCATTTATCATAATTGAAATTCTCTACTTCCTTTCTTCACTTTTAAAAAATTTTTTTAAAATAAATTCTTTTTTTTAAAGATTTTATTTATTTATTTTTAGAGAGGGAAGGGAGGGAGAAAGAGAGAGAGAGAAAGAGAAACATCAATGTGTGGTTGCTAGGGGTCATGGCCTGCAACCCAGGCATGTATCCTGACTGGGAATCGAACCTGCAACACTTCTTTTTTATTCTTTACTTGCTTCCATTGTATATAAACTTTATGAAAGTAGAGGTTTCATTCGTCTTAGCCACAATATCCTCAGTGTTGAGAACAGTGCTTGATATATAATAGATGCTTAATAAGTATTTCTTAAAATAATGAATCAACAAATGAAATTAAATGTACTCAAAGCATTTGACTTAGTCACCAGTCTGCAAATATTTGCCTATGTGTCAGACCTTGTTCTGGGCACTGAAGATGCAACAGTGAAGAAACCAAGGCCATCCTTTCATTGTGCTTAGGCTGAGGAAAGAGAGAGAGTTAAGAAATAAACATAAACACCTATGTCCTTCAGTTATAGTTGGGCCTAAAAAATGGTTGTGCTTACTCACACATGAATGTTAACTGGGGGTAAATGTCAAGTACTTTAAAATTTTTACTTTAAAATTTTATCATGATCTTTTCTGCGTTTATTTAAAAATTCATTTTAGGATAAACTTTAATATATAGTTTAACATATAACTCTTGTGTTAGTATGTGATAAAATGATTATATTTGAAAAAGGACTTTAAGAAAAGATTAAACTAAATTTCTTTGAAATTTACAGATTTTGGAATCATTTGCCAGTTCTTTGATTCAGAGGAATCTTTTGATGAGAAGGGATATCCCCAATCTAACAAAATACCAGCTAATTCTGGCAAGGGATCAATTTAGAAAAAACCCACCTGCAAATTTTGTGGTAGGTATTTTAAAATAAATTTTCATAATAGATTTAAGTTTTTACTGAGCCCCAGGATAAAATGGAAATAATGATTTTTTTGGTATATATATTATTAGTTTATCAAGAATTATGATATGATTTATATACTTCATAAAAACTGAAAAATTGAACAGGAATACAATTTTATGATTTCAATTAAGATAAATTTATCCTGAAACTTTTAATTAAGCATTGGTCTTTAGTTCATTTCTTTTTTGCAAAGGCCAAGGGCCATGCTAGAGGGTAGGTCCTAACTAACTTTTAGTCCCATAGCATTTTGTTTTAACTGTCAATGCTGAGGTTGGATGAAGCATCATGGTAAGCTTCTTATTTCTAATTGCCATAGAAAAAATAGCCAGGCAGGAACATAGTCATCAACCTAGGTCCAAAATCAAGAGATGTTTGCAAGCACAAAAAGGAGTCTTTCTTGGAACTGAGAAGAAACTCTTGTGCAAAAGAACAGAGGTGAATGAATGAAAGTAAGAAGACAGTGAGTAAACCAATTTGCCGCAGGTAAAGGACTGAGGAAGTCAGAGACGATAGTTAATCTAGGCGTGACCACTTGGGAGTAGCTCTAAATGTAACACAAGAAATGTGGACTTCATAGTGTCTGGGAAACCAGGAAAGGAACCCTTTCTAAGCAACTACAGTGTAATACACTAAACTTTTTTTTTTTTTTAAGATTTTATTTATTTATTTTTAGAGAGGGAAGGGAGGGAGAGAGAGAGAGAAACATCAATGTGCAGTTGCTGGGGGCCGTGGCCTGCAACCCAGCCATGTACCCTGACTGGGAATCGAACCTGGGAAACTTTGGTTCACAGCCTGCGCTCAATCCACTGAGCTACGCCAGCCAGGGCTTAATACACTAAACTTTAATAAATGTTTTAAAATTTCTACTAGGAGTTGACGATACATTGACATTTTAAACAGTAAATCTAAAACCGCTGAACTGTATTTTATTGACATTTTATATTTTACAGAAAGCTGATTTTACACCTTTAAGTAATTAAGCTGCCATTGTAGGGCATTTATCACTATCATGGAAATGTTTAAAATAATTATCACTGATGTTAAATGCTAGTAAAAACATGAGCCAGAGAATAATAATCTTTGTCTCTAGTAAAGGAAAATAATTAAAATACATTCTCAATGGTCTTAAAACTATCTCACTATATAGATATACCTATTCTATGGTCCCATAAACAGAATGTGTACTTCACTTTTCCTTGAGGTTAAAAGCACAAGAACATGGCCAAATTCCCTGGGTTCAAATACTGGCTCTATTACTTACCACCTGTATGAGCTTTTTCATCTGTAAAATGGGCATAACTGTAGTACCTACTTCCTAGGAATTAAGAATAAATATATTTGTATAAGTAATATGCTTATAACAGTGTCCCCTCAGTGTCATTTATTATTGTGGTGTGTATAGTTGGTGTAAAATATTAGTGTTAAACAGTCTGATGAATTATTTATCCTGATGCTATAATATCTGTGAGGATAGGCCCCTATCTCACTTATTTCCATTCTATACCAAATGTTTGGTTTGATTGTTGACACATAGAAGATGCTTATTAAATATTTTTGAAAGACAAATGAAACGATATACGAGGTCTATCCGGAAAAAGTCCAACCATTGTTAATATAACTAGAATGGTTTGTGTGACATTCATACAACCTGGCAGCCAAGGAGAGTGGACTGGAATGCACGTGTGTGAGCAATGATGACTTCGCTGTTGTCATTGGAAGCAATAGATGCTTTTGAGTGAGCATGTGTACTGTGTGGCCATCAAATTCAAAATGACTGAATGAGTAGAATAACAAATCTGCATCAAATTGTGCGTTAAGCTTGAATATTCCTCTGAGGAAACTATTCAGATGATTCAGAAGGCCGCAGCTATGGGCACCTGGTTATTGGCAACTTCATCACAACAACACGCCCGCTTATGCATCATGTCTTGTGCAGAGTTTTTTGGTGAAACATCAAATCACCCAGGTGACTCAGCCCCCTACAGCCCAGGTTTGATGCTCTATGACTTCTGGCAGCTCCCAAAATTAAAATCACTTCTGAAAAGGAAGATTTCAGACCCTCAGTGAGATTCAGGAAAATACAACAGGGCAGCTGATGGTGATTGGGAGAACTGTGTGAGGTCCCAAGGTACCTACTTTGAAGGGGACTGAGGCGTCATTGTCCTATATACAGTGTTTCCTGTATCTTGTGTCTTCAGTACATGTCTCTCTTTTTCGTATTACATGGCTGGATACCTTCTGGACAGACCTCATGCTGCTAATAATTCACCTATAAAAAAGCAGTATATGATAAATAGTTCCCTCCTTCACCTGCTCTCTTTAAAATGTAAGTTTTCTATTGAATTAAACAAAAAAAATATGAACTGATGTGTTATATGGAAAATACATTGACACCTTTCCATAATAATGTCCTAGACATTGAGTAGAACCAGTAAGTTTTACATGGAACATATATCTTTATTTTTCTGGTTAAATTTGATATATGTTTATTTTTCCAGGGAATACAACAAGGTATAATTGAAGGAGATTTTGCTCTTTGTATTAGTCTGTATCATGGTTATGAATTATTGCAACAAATGGGAATGAGATCATTATATTTCTTCCTTTGTGGAATTATGGATGGAACTAAAGGTAAATTAAGGAAATACTTACATGTATAATTTTTGCTGAAGTTAAGTAGTTTTGGTACTTAAAAATGCTTTAAAAAGTAATGAAATAGTTTTATAAAAAATGACCATATTTGTTTGTTTGTTTTTAAGATTTTATTTCTTTTTTGTGAGAGGGGCAGGGAGGGAGAAAGAGAGGGAGAAAAACTTTGATGTGTGAGAGAAACATCAATCAGCTGCCTCTCTTACTCCCCAAACCCAGACTTGGCCTGCAACCCAGGCACGTGCCCTGACTGGGAATTGAACCAGTGACCTTTCCATTTGTGGGATGGTGCCCAACCCACTAAGCCACACCAGTCAGGGCCATATTTCTTTGTTTTTGATAAATTGCTGGAAAAAAGGCAAGCCATTCATATGCAAATGTGTAACTGGAAAAAAGGTGCTGGTTTTCATGTTTACATTTGAAAAACTTGCATTCATTACTAAAGATTAATTTTTTTATTTCTTTTTAAAAAATTTTTAAAAATATATTTTATTGATTATGCTATTACAGTTGTCCCATTTCCCCCCTTCTCTCCCCTCCACCCTGTACCCCCTCTTCCACCCACATTCCCCCCTTTTAGTTCATGTCCATGTGTCATACTTATGAGTTCTTTAGCTTCTACATTTCCCGTACTATTCTTGCCCTCCCCTTATCTATTTTCAACCTACATTCTATGCTACTTATTCTCTATACCCTTTCCTCCTCTCTCCTCCTCCCACCCCCCTGCTGCTAGCCTTCCATGTGCCCTCCATTTCTGTGGTTCTGTTCCTGTTCTAGTTGTTTACTTAGTTTCTTTTGGTTTTGCTTTAGGTGTGGTTGTTAATAATTGTGAGTTTGCTGTCCTTTTACTATACATGTCTTTTCTTTATCTTCTTTTCTTAGATAAGCCCCTTTAGCATTTCATAAAATAAGGGCTTGGTGATGATGAACTCCTTTAACTTGACCTTATCTGAAAAGCACTTTATCTGCCCTTCCATTCTAAATGAGAGCTTTGCTGGATAGAGCAATCTGGGATGTAGGTCCTTGTCTTTCATGACTTGGAATATTTCTTTCCAGCCCCTTCTTGCCTGTAGGGTCTCTTTGGAGAAATCAGCTGACAGTCTGATGGGAACTCCTTTGTAGGTTACTGTCCCCTTATCTCTTGCTGCTTCTAGGATTCTCTCCTTCATTTTTACCTTGGCTAATGTAATTATGATGTGCCTTGGTGTGTTTCTTCTTGGGTCCAACTTCTTTGGGGCTCTCTGAGCTTCTTGAATTTCTTGGAAGACTGTTCCCTTTGCCAAATTGGGGAAGTTCTCCTTTATTATTTGTTCAAATATGTGCTCAATTTGTAGCTTTTCCCCTTCCCATTCTGGTACCCCTATAATTTGGATGTTGGAACGTTTAAAGGTGTCCTGGATGCTCTTAAGCTTTTCCTCGATTTTTTGAATTCTTACTTCATCATGCTTTCCTGCTTGGTTGATTCTATCTTCCTTCTGGTCCACTGTATTGTTTTGAGACTCAGATTCCTTCCTTTCACTATTGGCTCTCCTCCGCGTATCTTCCTGCATCTCTTTTATGGTAACCTGCATCCTTTCATCTAAATTGCACCCAAAATCAACCAATTCCGTGAGCTTTCTGATCACCAGTGTTTTGAACTGTGCATCTGATAGATTGGCTATTTCTTGGTCGCTCAAAAGGATGAGTCCTGTGGGACTGATCTGTTCTGTTGGAAACATGTCTTATGTCTTTCCCTGTCTCTCCTTTTTTTTTTTTTCGGTCTGGTTGCTCTTGTTACGGTGCGGGGCAGAGCCTTAGGTGTTCACCGGGCCTGGGCACCCCAGTCGCTAGATTGTGACATTATCTGTGGGGGCGGGGGCGGGAGTGGGAGGGAACAATGGCGGTAGTTCCGTTCTCCTGGGCTCAGACCCTTCTCTGGGATCCTGGGCTGAGAGCTCTGCCCTGGTCCACAATCGCTGCCTCACTGGGTCTGCCAGCCGCAGGGATCACCGCTGCGTTCTTGTGCCCCGGATGGCTGTCGTGCTGATTTCGCGCCAAATTTTCCCCGACCTCCACGCACCTCCGACCTGCACCAGCCCTGCGCCCGCTTGGCTCGTCGTCCCCTACCAGTCTGGATGTATGGGTCTACTTCAACTTCTTGGCTGTCCGACTTCCATTCAGATAAATCCTCTGTCAGTTCTGAGTTTTATTCTGTCTGTAAATTATTGTTGTTCTAATCTTGGTTGTGCGAAGAGGTACGGTGCATCTACCTATTCCTCCATCTTGCCGCAAGTCCCTAAAGATTAATTTTTTAAACTACATTATAAATTTGATTGATTTTGCTATTAAACTTATTTATTGGTAAAACCTTTTCTTAATTTCTGAAGGAATGACTCGAACAAAAAATGAACTTAGCCGCAACAAGGACTTCATGAAGCTCTATAGTCATCTGGAGTGCATGTTTGCACGCACACGTACTGCTTCAGCAAGTGGCACTTCTCTTATCGAAAATGGTCTGGTTTTTCTTTTAAAAGTTTATATTGTGTTCTCTTCATCAAGGTGGATTGTGAAATTTTACTTCATTGATCCACATGTCTATACTTATATTTCTTTAGTAGTAGACTTGTTAAATAATTAAAGGGATAAGTAGAATAGAATAAATAATTAAAATACAATAAATGGAATGACATAGGATGAAGATATAAGCAGTATGTAATATTATAGAAGTTAGTAGTTGTCACTGGTGGTGAAAAAATTCTTAGAACTACCAAGAACCGATTTAGAGCTTGAATGAGTATTTTTTTTTTTCCTTCTACATTGCTGCTGATTTCTGTGTGGATCCTCCTTCAGAATGAAATTTTCATGAAAATTCAAAGTTTATTTTGCAATAAGGCTTATATGCTATCCAGATGCTACTGCGTATTTAAACTTTCAACAAATCTGTTTTGAAAATACATTGATGTAATTGAATATGGAAAAATACTGAAATACTATTTTGTTTTTTTATTTTTTACAGGAGAAAAAAAATTTTTCTATAGTCATCCTAAATTAAAGAAATTAGAAGAAATTGTAGTTGAACACTTCAAGTCATGGAATGGTAGGTCATATTGAATAGCTTCACAGCAAGACAGTTATTGTAAAAGTTAAAACTGACTCATTTGTTTGTGTTACAATTCTTATAGAGAACATGAGCTTTTAATTACTCTGAATAATGATTATAAAGAAACTCTGAGAATAATGAATATAAAGAAACTGAGAAATTTTGGGTGGATAGGTGGGAATTTTAAGAATACTGCAAGGTATTTGAAAAAGAAAAGTCAGTCTGGGGCACTGTAAGTGAAGCAGATAATAAAACAATAAATAATATGATGGTAAGGAAAAGTGAACTAGGTAAGGAGATAGTCAGTCATGAAGGAGGTTAATATTGAGTGTTAGAGAAAACCATTTGTAAGGTGATGTTTGAGGTCTTACCTGATGGAAGTGAGGGAGCAAGCCCTGTGGATTTCTGTGGGAGGGTTACTCCAGGCAGAGACAATAGCAGAATCAAAGGCCCTGTAGCATTAAGGTATATGGTATGATTAAGGATCAGTTAAAAAAAACAGATTGGCTGGAGTAGTGTAATGAGGGTACCAGCGGTATAGGAGGAGGCTGGAGAAGTAGCCAGGGGCAAATGTAGGGCTTGGAGGCCAAGTCAGGACTTCAGATTTTATTCTATCAATTTGCATGTTTTGTGAAACCATCACAAAGGCATATAGAGTAGCAGAATGACATGATCTTACTTACATTTTTAAAAGATCACTCTGGGTGTTTTGTGGAGCGTAGCTATTGATCAATTCAATAGGCTATTGCAATAGTCAAAGATGGTAGCAGATAACAGTGGCTTGTACCAAGGCAGTGGTGGTGGAAGTGCTCAGAAGTGGTCATAGATTCTACATATATTTTGAAGTTGGAACCAACAGTATTTGTTGATGGATTGGATGTAGGATATGAGAAAAGAAAGGAATCATATGGGGGAGTGTTTATGGAAGATTATATGAGCAAAGAGAAAATTAAGAACAACATAGAGAAGAAAAAGCAAACATGTTAGGATGCTTCTGAGACATCTAAATGGAGATGTGTGGGCATTGGAAAAGTGGATCTCAGAAGAATAGTCTGGGCTATTTTTATCTATTTACACATACTTGAATAAATTTTGGAGTCATCAGCATAAAGGAAGTATTTAAAATTTCAAGAATGGATGTGATGACGCCACCAGGAATACAGTTTAGTAACAAACGAGGGGCCAGAATGTAGTCCTAAAGAATACCAATATTTAAAGTTAAGATGAAAAAAAGCCACAAGAAAGATTAAGAAAGAAACTAAACAAATAGAGTGTCAGACAAGCTGAGGGAAGAAACTTTCAGTAGGAAGGAGTGGACTGTGTTAAATACTGCTGAGACCCATGGTGAAGTAAACTAGAAAGTGTCCGTGGAATTGGGCATTAGGGGGAAGTTGTTGATTTCGGTAGTGGAGCTTCAGGGGAATGAAGACAGGCAGGCAGGCTGCAGCCAGCTGAGAGACATAGGCATTGCACTGAAAGTAGCTCTAAGTGATTGGTGCATTTTTCCCCTCAACAACATTGTTAAGGCTATTGGCAGCACTTGAATAAGGCCTATAAATTAGATAGTAATAATGAATCAAAGTTAATTTTTTGATTTTCTTGGTTTATTGTCTTTACATAGAATAATACTCTTGTTTGTACAGTTTATACATTGAAGCATGAGGGGGTGGTGAGCTATCATGCCAGCAACTTACTCTCAAATGTCTTGGCAGGGGAAAGCTACTTGTATTAATTTTGCAACTTTTTGAAATAAGTTTGAAAATTATTTCAAAATAGAAATTATTTCAAAATAGAAATTATCTTTGATTAAAAAAAGAAGCTGTTGGTCAGATATAGAGGCTTGATGCTGTGGTGACTCAAACAAGGTATTTGTAGAATAATTTTCCTCTAACAGCTGCTTTTTCTTTTTCATGAATTAACTTTATGTGTATCAGGTAATTTAGTCCTTGGGATTGTTATAAAGACTAAATGAGTTAATCTATAAAATGTTTAGTGTAGTCCCTGGCACACACATGATGATTAATATAATATAACTCATATGGGAGAAAGAAGGATTGTCAAAGCCCCAAGCAAGTGCAAAAACAAAGGAAACATAATAACAACTAGAGTAAACCCTATGTAACTTGCAAATATTAACCCATTGCTATGTTCAAGTCTACATACCTTATATTTACTAGTTCATTTAGTTATCACCTCAGTCCATTGTGGATGTGAAGAAACTAAAATTTAGAGAAAAATCACTACCATGGCCACACATCACCGGGAGAGTAAGTGGCCCAGACTCAGAGATCGTGTTCTCATTTATGCATTCTACTACCTCCCAAGCACAGAGACACTGGGAGGAGCTTTATGATTGACTGTAGGGTGTATTCTGCAGTTATTGAAGAATTTGAAAGAATCGTAGATTTGGGGTAGAATGCCATGGCCTGGTTTAGGACAGTGATCAGAAAGGAAAAGGAAGATTTAAAAAATCAGTGGGAACTCTATAGTTCTGCACTTCTGATGTAGAAGGCAAAGTGGAATAATAGGCATCATGCATGAAATGAAGGACTAGTCAAAGTGACTCAGGTCATTGTTTTTTATTTGTTTAGGATTATATTTTAAGACAACTAATGAGAGATTAGAAGCCAAGGTTATTAAAATTATTAGGAAAGGTAGACAAATCAACGAAGGTTTAAGATGTCTTAAGAATTGTCTTTCATTAGAATATAATTTCAGGCTTGTCTTTTGAACTAGTTTTCATCTATATGCCTTTTTTAAAAGAATTGTAATTAAATATTTTTTGTTGTATAGCTCAAAACACATCTGAAAAGAAATGTGACAAGACCAGAGTTATGATCTTCTCTTCATTTCGAGATAGTGTTCAAGAAATTGCAGAAATGCTTTTACAGCATCAGCCAATTATCAGAGCAATGACTTTTGTTGGCCATGCCTCAACAAAAGGGAAGAGCATGAAGGGTTTTACTCAGAAGGAGCAACTGGAGGTAATTACTTTTGGAGATGGTGAAAATAAAAATAAAATTGATTAGCTTTGTGCTTTGTACTTAAGCTTTTTTAACTCACAGGTTAATTATCTACTTCTTTTTTTTTTTCCAGAAAAAAGTTGTATCGTATTTTTTTCATTACCATTTAGTCACCTTATACGGACCCCCCGACAATCACCACACTGCTGTCCATGTCCATGAATCCTTTTTCCTTTTTGCTCTACTCCTCCACCTCTGCCCTCCCCCTCTACCTTAGCTGTCAGCCTGCTCTCTATGTCTGTCTCTGTTTTGCTTGTGAGTTCAGTTTGTTTTTAGATTCCAGTATGAGTGAAACAAATAGTATTTATCTTTCTCTGACTAGCTTATTTTAGTACTTCTTAAAGATAATTTTACAGTAAAACTTAAGTAAAGGTAGGTATATTTTGAAAGACAAAAAAGTGTTTTTTGTGGTTTTGAAACTTCTTTTTCAAGTAAGTGCAAAGTGTAGTAGTTAAATAGAAAGGCTGTGGGATCATACTGCTTGGGCTGGAATCCTGGTTCTTATATTTTCTTACTCCCTGTGCCTTAGCTTTCTTTATATGTAAATGTACTTCATAAAGTTGTAGGCATTAAATGAAATTGTACTGTAGAGCCTTCAATAAATGTTTTATTTAAGCCATTATAGTTATTTATTACAAACAGTTAACCTTTTTTTTTATGTTATTTAAAAATCCTACTGTGTGCTCTAAATAAGAGGTCATAAATTTTCTGAGTACTGTAATATTTTTTTTTTTTGGAGGAAATTTTAGACTATTAATTTTCATAAACTGTATACAGGTTTTTGCAGATTAGCTATAGGTCTACTCACTGACAATTAGGTATATCTGTATTGTCTAATTTATTTTGATAGATACTTTCTCAATTCTGTCAACATTAGTAGATGAGGAATTCTATTATTTTTTTTAGACTTTATTTTTAAAGAGAGGGGAAGAGAGGGGGAAAGAGAGGGAGAGAAGCATTGGTGTGAGAGAGAAACACTGGTTGTTGATGGGTTTCTTCTCCTACGCGTTCTGACCAGTACCAAACCGGCAACCCAGGCTTGTGCCCTGACCGGGATTTGGGCCTGTGACCTTTCAGTTTGTTGGACAATGCCTCACCAGCTATGCTGCACCAGTCTATATTTTTATGTGTGCCACAGTAACAACTCTTTTTATTACAACTGTACATAATTGCTTTATTAACAGCATTTTTATTCTGAAATAAGCTTCCATGCAAATAGTTGTAATTAAATTATTCAGGTATTTAGAGACAGGAAGTGAAGTCAGAGAGGATGTAGAGGGTGAGTTTAGGATTCTGTAGGTAATTTCCATGTTAGTGATACTGGGTTTTACTCTGAGATGGGAAGAAGCCTTTGGAGACTTTGGAGCTGGGAAGGATCATGGCCTGATATATATTTTTAAATAATAACACTGATTGCTGTCTTAAGAATAAGCTACAGGGCAAAAAATGGAAACAGGAGGATTAGAGTGGAAGATTTACTACAATAATTCAAGCTAAAGATGATGTTGGTTTGTGCAACCATGTTGGCAGGGAAAGTTTTGAGAAATGATTGGATTCTGGATATATTTTGAAGGTCAAGCTGACAGGATTTATTGACAAATTAGAGTGGGATGCAAGCTAAAGGTGTGTGAAGGTTGATTCCAAGGTTTTTGGCCTGAGCAACTAAAAAGAGCTGCTGTAAACTAAAATAGGTATGACTGCAGGGAAAGCACATTTTGGAGAGAATATCAGGTACTTAGTTTTGGACAAGTTAACTTTGGCAGGACTGTGAGATTAGTGATTTTCAAACTATGAAAACTGATGGAGGACCAGTTTATTTTCCCTAATACAGACAGATACTTTTGAACATTGCAATAGACATAAATTACCTGAAGAGTAAAGTTACTGGGAAAGCTTACGTTCAAATTTTTTATTATTTGAGTTAATAAACAGAATTACCCTGTCAAGCTTCTAAACTCTTACTCTTAGTATTTGTACTTCTTGTTGGCCAGTAATAAACAGTTTGTGAACTAGCACCAGTAATAGACAGTTCATGGACTACTGAGTAACAGTATTGAATAAACAAGTAGAGATGTTGAATAAACAATTGAATATAGCTCTGGCTGGTGTGGCTCAGTGGATTGAGCACCAGCCTGTGAATCAAAAGGTCGGCCCGTTTAATTCCCAGTTAAGGCACATTCTTGGGTTGTGGGCCAGGTCCCCAGTAGGGGGCGCTTGAGACGCAACCACATATTGATGTTTCTCTCCCTCCTTCCCTTCCCTTCTCTCTAAAAATAGACAAAATCTTTAAAAAACAATTGAATATATACATCTTGTTTTATGGGTTTTAGGATTGGAAATAATCATATAAATGAGACTGGATAACTGAATGGAGATAGAGAAGATATCCAAAAACTGAGCAGCGGAGGTGGGGAGGGGAACTCCCTTGTTATGAACAACAGCAATAATTATGATTCCGTAGGGAACCACAATAAGTGGCTAGTGAAATAGGAGAAAGTCCAGGAGAAGGTGGTGTCCTGGGGTCAAGTGAGGAGGCAAATTATATGTGTAAATGCTGCTGGTAGGTCATGTAAAATGATAACTGGGAATTGACCATTGGATTAAGAGATGAGAAGGAAATTAAGCTTGAAAAGAACAGTTTGAGTGGAATGGTGGAGATAAGCCATCTGAAAGGAGCTGGAGATAACAAGCATACAAGCCTTTCAAGGATTTTTGCTGTAAAGGAGAGCAAAAATGAAAGTGGCTTTTTGTTTGTTTTATGTTGAGATGTATAACAGTGTGTTTGTACGCCGATAGGAATGATCAATTGATAAAGGAAATCAATGATAAGAGCAGAGAGTAGTATTGCTGGAATGATCTTTGAGTAGAGGAGGGAAAGGGCTGGGGTCAAGAACAAAACTATAGAGATGGATCTCAGTTAAGAACGTGGATAGTTTATCCAAAACAATAGGTGGAGAGGTAGACTATATAGGCACAGGTATAGGTGGGTGGTAGAGATATGGCTGTGACACCTAGTGGAAGATCTTTTTTGTTTGCCCAGTTTTTGCCATGTCATCAGCTGAGAGTGAGGATGGGGAGGAAAGGTTGGAAGCTTGGTGAGAGAGGAGAGAATAGGGTATAGTTATCCAGGAGACTGGAGACAGTGAATGGGTTAGGGAAATACAAAATGATTTTCAGATAATACCAGAGGCCCATTGAAGGTGAGAGATTGAGTTAGTGTGAAATCGGCATGGTTGAAGTTTTACTCCAGCCACATTCTGCATGGGTACAGGCTCAGACTTCCTGGAAAGTGGGAGATATCCAGTGCTGGAGTTTAGTCAGAGGAATATGGAGTGAGGAGGAGCAAGGGAATAGAATTTAAGCTAGGGTAAAGGGTAAGCTGTGAAAAAATGATAGGATCAGTAGGTTATAAATCCTGGTAGAAGTTACTTAATCACTATTCCTTTCTCTGGTTAAGTAAATAACATCTGATATGTATTTATTTTTCAAACTTTAGGCAAATTTAAATACCAATATTAGGCATATAAATAACAATTAGTTTATAAGTGTTAACTAACAGGGAAGTTGTTTGACATTCTTTATTAATCTGTTACTAGTTATATTAAAGAATAATAAGGAGATGTAAAAAAATAATTAGACAACCTATACAGTCATATTTTGGGGTGGCATATTCTGCTATCGCTCACTGGAATGACAGTATAAAAGGTAAAGTATGAATTTATTGGAGTAAGAGTGGCAAAGCCTGTAGAGAATTCTTATAAAAGTTTATTTGAGCCAAACTGATGCTGACAACAATGCTGACAATGCTGGCAAGTAAGAGTTTAAATACTTTGGAAAATGACAATTGCTGTTTCTTTTCTACATTGGAATGAATGAGAGGACAGTTAGGAGGATTATATGTAGGTGGGGGATTAGATTATAGGACAGTTAAGATCAGTGCTCTCTGGAGGGGTCTGAACAAAGGCATTTCAAAGGTGTGTTAACCTAGTGCACAAGAACAAAGGACAGGTCTGGCTTAATGCGAAGATAAACCTGTTACTAAAGCCTGGGGTGAAACTACCTACTCTGACCTACCCACTTAGGAATTTATGATCAAACACTTTGTGAGGTTACCTTTGGTTAGATTTCTTACTCCTTTTTCATCCACAACTTCTAGCAGTAACAAAACATTCTTACTTTAGATACACTTAACAATAATTTAGGTCGAGGGTATGACATATATATATAGTAGTAATTGTTCTGGACCACTAACTTGTCGATGCCTGTGTTAGTGATGCTAAAATAATATTTGGAGTTTCCTATTCATGTATAAATTGTTAACAGACTTTTTTGGATTCACAGCCATTATTAAAGCAAAGAAATTAGGACTGCCCTTTGTAGTTTACGACAATTTCTTCCGGTTTATGTTGCCATTTTGCCACTTCTTTTCCTATTCACTAGTATCCTAGATGCTAATTTTTAATCTGACTTCACCATTTTGAGGGGAGTGGAGTTTGTTTTGATCTATAATTCTTTTACATTTGCATCTAATTATTTTAAAATCATTTTTATTTTAGGTAGTGAAACAGTTTCGTAGTGGTGGTTACAATACATTGGTTTCTACTTGTGTTGGCGAAGAAGGTTTAGATATAGGAGAAGTTGATCTCATAATATGTTTTGACGCGCAGAAGAGCCCAATTCGTCTTATACAACGAATGGGGAGGACAGGCCGCAAACGTCAAGGCAGGATTGTCGTTATCCTTGCTGAAGGACGAGAAGAACGTGTAAGTGGACTTTTAGAAACATACTTTGTAACTGAAATTTGAGAAATACAGCCAAAAAACAAATATTAATTTGTTAAGGTTGAAAATCCAAACAACCTGGAAGGAATTGGTTGATTTTTTTGTCCCATTCTTATAAGATTCTGCGGGTTCTTTTTTTCTTAGGAGAGTTTTCAACTGGATTGTTTTTCAAGTTCTTATCCGTATAAAGAAACATTTGTACTTTAGTATTAATTTAGATACCTACACACAAAAATTAATATGTATTACTTTGTTTTACTATATCCTTGTGCTTTCAAGGCCTGTTTTTTATCTTTAGTTTTGCGACTACAATGAGTTGGGAATGGTTTTACATTTTAAAGAGTTCCCTAAATCAATCAACCAACCAACCAACAAGAATATGCAAAGACTAAAATATTTACTGTCTGGCTCCTTATGGAAAACTTTGCTGGTGCCTGTTCTAAGTGATAAGGAACTTGAGTTTACATTTATACTTTGCTACAGTCTTGGATGACAGACCTTCCTAAATACAATGTTGTGCCTAATATTTTGTGTTTATTACACTAAGAAGTATTAACTAACTTTTGTAACTCAGTGGGACTACTTCTGTGGCCAAATACATAGTTTCACATTAAAAACTTTTTCATTAATTATGTTAGTTTTTAAAAATTGATTTTAAACATTTATATACCCTTTTCAAATTACCTGACACCTTTTAGCTGAGTATGCTACATGGTGGTCGGCAAGAACAAGTGCATTAAGAACGGCGGCAAAAAGGGAGTCAAGAAAAAAATGGTTGATCCATTTTCTCAGAAAATCAGTGTGATATGAAAGCACCACCTATGCTCAATATAAGAAATATTGGAAACACATTAGTCACAAGAACTCAAAGAACCAAAATCGCATCTAATGGTCTCAAGGGTCGTGTTTTTGAAATAAGTCTAGTATGCTGCATGTGGAGATGGGACCAGGTTGTTGGTGGTTGTGAACAATGAATTGAATGAACTACACACACAGAGTAAAGTGAAGCAAGCAAGATTTGTTAAGAAAAGTACACTTCCCAAGATATGGGAGTGGGCCACTTCTAACCAGAGAATGGGCACCTTCCACTGAAGGGGTGTGGCTTTTATTGGGTTTTTACCCATTTGTTCCTATCAGCGGGCTCTTACAGTGCATGTGTGAGTGGTTACATAACTTTTATGTTTCTGCGTATGTGTTTTCCCATAATTCTTGATTGCCCACACAGAGGGTCAAACTATAATGCTAATCTATTATAATGATATTATAGTAGGGAAAAAGTAAAACATCGGTCACCTGGGGTCCTTAGGTATAGGGACAGCTTTCTGCCAGGCATTTTCAGAAAGCCAGAAATGTCAAAGGCTATCAGGGCACAACATTCTTGAAGAATGTGGTGAGCCGCTCTGTTGGTGTCAGCAGCCAGGTCCCAGGGACTTCCTCTTTCCTATTCTATCTCCTGCCTCAACTGGACCTGCAGAATGATGAAATTGCATTTAGAAAATTCAAGCTAATTACTGAGGATGTTCAGGTCAAGAAGCACTGACTTATTTCCATGGCACGCATCTTACCTGGGACAAAATGTGTTCCAAGGTCAAAAATGGCAGACCAGGACTGAAGGTCATGCTGATGACAAGATGACAGATGGTTATGTCTATTCTGTGTTACATCTATTCTATAACAAAAAAACCCTATGTGTGATTCACAAAAAACCCTATTTGTGATTTAAAAAAATTATCCTGAATAGTGAATTTTTCTCAATATTTTTCATGTGATCACAGTATATTCCTGTGTAGTATTTAGTTTACCTATGAAATGACCCCAATAAATGTTATGTGTGGTAGCTCGTACAATTTTTGTATTATCAATGAATCAGTCTTATTCAAAAACAGCAAGATACTAAAAAAGATAGATTTCCTTTGTGTAATATGATTACTAAGGTAGCACTTATAATAATAGATTTTGATCAAGAGTTAATTGACCAGGCTTCAAATTCAAGGCAACAGATATTCCGTTCTGTAAGTAAGTGGATCAGAGTTTAATTTACTGTTTAGAGTAAACCCAAACTAATATAAGTAATTGCTTATTATGGCTGATTATTAAAGAAATAATGTAATTTGATATTTATTTGTTTTTACAGACTTATAATCAAAGCCAGTCCAACAAAAGAAGTATTTATAAAGCTATTTCAGGTAACAGGCAGGTCCTTCATTTTTACCAAGCAAGTCCACGAATGGTTCCTGATGGAATTAATCCAAAATTACATAAAATGTTCATCACACATGGTGTCTATGAACCAGAGAAGACTTCTCGGAAATTACAGCGTAAGTCATCTATTTTTTCCTGTAGGAATGGTAAATAAAAATTTTGACATCTTAAACATTCATATTTTTCCTGTTGTTAGTTAGCAGATCATATATTGATATATGTATCAGTATATATGTATCATGTATTGATATATCATATTTCTTCTTTGATGAACTCAATGTGTATTCTAGGATGTTATGGGTGTTTTCTTTGGAAGGGATGTATCCAAAGTAAAGGGAAAGACGCATGGGCAGTACAGAGTGATTGCAACTCAGTGCTGGGAAAATTCAAATATCCTACCAACCAAGAGAATCCTTTTTACAAAATGTAGAAAAGAAAGAAGCTTTATTTTGAATAAGAATTAAACTAGATTAAAATATGCACTGTGGGCCATTTACTAAGATTAATATGAAGAGAAAAAGAAATTCTATCCATCCCCTTAAATCCTTACAATTTTTTTTTAAATATTTTATTTCTTTATTTTTTAGAGAGAGGGGAGGTGAAGGAGAAAGAGGGAGAGAAATTTCAAGGTGTAGTTGCCCCTCATGTTCCCCCAACTGAGGACATAGCCTGCAACCCAGGCATGTGCCCTGGCTGGGAATCAAACCAGCAACCCTTTGGTTTGCAGGCGTGTACTCAATCCACTGAGCTATGCCAGCCAGGGCATAAATCCTTACAATTCTTTACATACATATTCTCAAGATCAACTGTAACATGCTCTCACATAATAGGACAGTACCGTTTGCTATATGTTTTTTCATACTTCATCCCAAATTCACCTGGTAATTGAGGTAGCCACTTGTGTTAGCTACTTGTCTTTATCCAAAGAAATAATAAAATTTCTCTTATCTCTATGACAAGCAACAGGCAGATAGTGACAGCTAAGAGAACAGGTGCCTAAGCTAAACTCTTCTGATGACTGGGAGGTAGATATACTACCTTTCTTGATGTTTACATTTGATAGAGACAGCTCCTAGGCCCTTAAGAAAAACATTTCTGGTTGAAAAGCTGGCTAGAGGCTTGCTTGGCTTTTACAAAGATTTGCATGCACACCAAAGGGTTAAAGAAAGGATTTACAAATATTAGGTGTTCTGGAATTGTTCTAAAAAATTGAGGGAGAATGGTTCTTTCCCTTTCTGCAAAGGCGAAAATTCATTTTCTTTTTCTTTTTCAACTTGTAGTGAAGTTAGACCAAGTTATTGGTGATATTGAGTCAATGAAAAACACTTTGGTGCCAGGGAGCATAGTTAGTAATGAGTGTTGCTGGCTTAAAAACTGCAGAGATTTTGGTGATATCAAGAAACTATATTGAAATATTAACACTATGAAAAAATGAGCAATTAAAAAGTTTTCTTTTGAATTTTAGTCTTTAAGGAGGGCTTTTAAAGAATTGTAAAATCATGTAATTGTATTAAAAGATTTGGAAGGAATCTTGGGGATCCTGTGGTCCAATTACCTGTCAAGGTAGGAGTGCTTTCTGCAGCATTCTTGTTAAATGAATATCCAGCCTCAACTTGAATATCTATCTTAAAAGAAATTGTACCTTTTTATATGAGGATTCATTCCATTTTGAATCACCCTATATAGAAGAAATTTATTATGTTGAAAAATCTGTCTTTGTACCTTTTTTCATTGAATTAATTTTGTCTTCTAGATACAAAGAAAGTTATGATTCTTAGTTTAGCTATGTAGCAGTTGTTGATGTATTTGAAGAGAGTACCTCTCAAGGTTTTCAAAATCATACTGTTTCCAGGTCCTTTTCCTTCTCGTCATCTGCTTTGAACTCACTTTAATTTGTAATGTTCTTGCCCTTAATTAATGCTTTTTGGATATGCCTATTAAAGATAATACATATCCATTCAATAGGACTGTACCTGTCATTTTACAAGACTTTGCCAAATTTTTGGTTAAAATGAAAAGACGGTATATGTTTTGAATTCTCTTGAGTATATTAAACTAGTAATAGCATCAAAACTTGACTAGTTTGGCATAAATTATTCTTGTATTTTTATAAATGTTGATTAACCATAGTTTAATAATTGTTTTTAAAATGCTACTAGGAATGGATGGCAATTGTTTTTAGTATAATTCTTTTTTTTTTAATAGTAAACTCAGTTGTTTATTTTCACTAGTTTTTAAATTTTTAAAATTATGTATTGGTTTTGAATGTACAGCTTAGTGGTTAGACAAGCATATATGTGAGTAGTGTTATAATACCTGTCCTTTTTTTAAAAAATTGAGATATTAGCTCATGTTTATTTTTCTGTACTGTTTTTCATTTTCCCTGATTTTTCAAGTGTGTTAGTGATTCACTTTGCCAAGATTGTGTGTATAAATGTAATCTATATATTAGTATATAATTCATCTGAACTTAGAGGACTGAATTTATTTAAAAGCGACTAGGAAAGTTGAATTCTTTCCTATTTCAAAAGTCTTAGAGCACAGGTGGCAAACACAAGGCCTGTGGGCCAAATCTGGCCCTCCACCTTGTTTTATTCGACCAGGCACCTTGTTTCTATGTGGCAGCAGCGCTGAGCTCTCACTTAGCTGTTAAGGAGTAGTTATACTTATACAGTCCTAAAATTACATTCGGCCCTTTGAAGGCAACCATGAAGCTGATGTGGCCCCTGGTGAAAATGAGTTTGACACCCCTGTGTTAGAGCTTTGGATTGTTAGATCTAAAAGGGACCACCGTGGCTGGTATAGCTCAGTGGATTGAGTGTGGGCCTGCGAACCAAAGGGTCGCTGGTTTGATTCCTGGTCAGGTGTATGCCTGGGTTGCAGGCCAGGTATGCCTTCAGGGGGCATGTGAGAGGCAACCACATGTTGATGTTTCTCTCCCTCTCTTGCTCCATCCCTTCTCCTCTCTCTAAAAATAAACAAATAAAATCTTTAAAAATAAAAAATAAAAGGGACCTTAGTGATCACTTAGTTCAAACCCCCTATTTTATAAAAGCTTGTTATAATGTTCAGGAATAGCTAAGACTGAAGTTTCCTGTTTTGTAACTCAGTTGTTTTTCTTTAAAAAAAATTTTTTTAAGCTTCACCAGAAGATATGTTTATTGACTTTTAGAGAGAGAGGAAGGGAAGAAGGGAGAGAGAAAAATATCAGTGTGAGAAAGAAATATTGATCAGTTGTCTCTTGCACATGCCCCAACCAGGAATCGAACCCACATCTTTTGGTGTAAAGGATAACACTCAACTAATTTACCCACCCAGCCAGGGCCTAATTCAGTAGTCTTTCTGATTTTATTTCTGCCCCCATCTGTTTTAGGCCAGAGTTCTGCTTTCTACTATCCTTTCCAGCTTGGCAATTATTTTCCTCTATAGAGATTATGGAAATGAAAAAGGGTTAATTTACTGTTTTGTTCTTTATAAACATATATTATTATGTCATTTTTTAAAAAACAGTAGATCTTTTCCACTCCCCTCTGTACTCCCTCCCCCTACCTCCCAATTTAAGACAATTGAAAAGCCTTTGTTGTCTTTGCATCACTCCCCCTTACCCCCCCAAGCTTCAGATAACTTTTCTAATAACATGATAGAATCATGATACTAGTTTTGATTTGTAAGTTATCTGACTGTTTCATGCCAGGTTAGACAACACAATGAAGCGAGTCCAAAAGAAGCCAGGGCCTAGAGCCTGCCTCTCTGGCTCTGTTCTGTTAATGATGTCGTTACCGAAGGTTAGCTCTTAGACAGGAGGGTGTGCTTTCAAAGAGGTAAGAGAAGTTTGGTAGATATGTAGAAGCAGGAAGTGAAAACTAGGGTGATTATGAATACTGGCTGTAAGGAATAGAATCAGTGGTTTAGCAGAAATGAGTAGACAGTTGATGTATATTTTGTGTTTGCCTAGAACATGTTTTTAACCTCTTTTTTTTTTGTCTTTTTTTTTAACCTTTTTTCAATTTTCAATTTATAGGAATGAGGCAAAGTAATTCAAAGAAAGATTGTTTCTTATCAGAAGAAGAATTTGAATTATGGAACAGATTTTATAGATTAAGAGACAGCGATGAAATTAAAGAAATAACATTGCCTCCAGTTCAGTTTCTGTCCTTACAAAATGAGGAAAACAGATTGGTAAGTGGAACATGTTTTCAGATATTCTTTATGGTGATTATTCAGTAACTTTGGGAGTACAGAGATGTTTATGATCAGAATGTCAACCTAAAAAATTAAGAATGTAAACAGTTTTAAAAAGAATATTAAAATGTAAGTGTGTAAAACTTCTAATTTTCTTATATTCTTTATTGCATATACACACACATATTTTACATGACCATAATATATTTATATAACTTCTGCCTTTTCTTTGTTACTTTCTACCATATGAACATGTTTATATAGGCATAGTTTGATTGTTATGTTACCCTGCAGTTATACCATATTTTGACTTATTTCCCTGTTGTGTTTTAGTATTCTTTTCAATACATTACTAACATAAAATTATGCTGTAATGAGCATCTGTGTTCAGACTTGTTTCTATTTCTTTGTTTTGAAATTACAGTAAAACTATTTGTATTTTTTTTATTGTTGTTCAAGTACAGTTGTCCACATTTTCCCCCACCACTCCCCCCAATCCCAGCCATCCCCACCTCCCTCCCCTGATCCCACCCCCATTGATTTTGTCCTTGTGTCCTTTATAGTTTTTCCTGAACCCTCCCTCCTTTTCCCCATTATGCCCTTCCACCTCCCCTCTGGTTACTGTCAGTTTGTTCTTAATTTCAAAGTCTCTGGTTATATTTTGCTGGCTTGTTTGTTTTGTTGATTAGGTTCCACTTATAGGTGAGATCACATGGTATTTGTCTTTCACTACCTGGCTTATTTCATTTAGCATTAAAATTTAATTTGAACTTAATGAAAGCCAAGAGAATTTGTCAAAGGTTACTTTTGTACCCCAAAAGCTAAAAAAACAACCTTAGGAAAGATTTATTTCAGAGTTATAGTGCTTGAAATATATGGCTCTTCAGCATTTGTATTTTTTATTCACTAACAGGGAAAGTGAAGAATGGCAGCAGGCATGAAAATTTGGATTAGTATCACTGAGAGATTATGTATGTCTCCTTATTAGATTATAGGATATAAATAGTAGTTTTGAAACCAAACATTTTCTTTTTTTAAGTGTACTTTATTGATTATACTATTACAGTTATCCTATTCTTTTTTCTCCTCTTTATCCCCCTCTGTCCCATACCCTCATTCCCTCCAGCATTCCCCCTCATGGGAAGTGGGTTGTTCATGTCCCGCTTAAGGGAAGTTCATGTCTGTGGGTTGTACATGTAAATTCTTTGGCTTTTCCATTTCCTATTCTTAACCTCCCCCTAGTTTTTACCTACCATTTATGCTTCTTATTCCCTGTACCTTATCCCCTTTTCTGCCCTTTCCCCCTCCCCTCTGATAACCCTCCATGTGATCGTCATTTCTGTGATTCTGTTCCTCTTCTAGTTGTTCGCTTAGTTTGTGTTTGTTTTTGTTTTTTAGGTTCAGTTGTTGATAGTTGTGAGTTTGTTGTCATTTTACTGTTTATAGTTTTGATCTTCTTTTCCTTGGATAAGTCCCTTTAACATTTCATGTAATAAGGGTTTGGTGATGATGAACTCCTTTAACTTGACCTTATCTGGGAGGCACTTTATCTGCCCTTCCATTCTAAGTGATAGCTTTGCTGGATAGGGTAATCTAGGTTGTAGGTCCTTGTTCTTCATGACTTTGAATACTTTCCAGCACCTTCTTGCCTGTAAGACTTTTTTTTTTTTTTTTTTTTTGAGAAATCAGCTAATAGTCTTCTGGGAATGCCTTTGTAGAAACTCTTATTTTCTCTTGCTGCTTTTAAGATTCTCTCCTTATCTATAATCCTTGGCAGTTTAATTCTGTTGTGTCTTGATATGTTCTTCTTTGGGTTCAACATGTTTGGGACTCTCGTTTCCTGGACTTGTATATGTACTTCCTTTGCCAGATTGGGGAATTTTTCCTTCATTATTTTTTCATATAAATTTTCAGTTTCTTACTCTTCCTCTTCTCTTTCTGGTGCCGCTATGATTCAAATGTTGGAACATTTAAAGTTGTCCTGGAGGTTCCTAAGTCTCTTCTCTTTTTTTTGAATTCTTGTTCTTCATTCTGTTCTGGTTGAATGTTTATTTCTTTCTTTTGTTCCAAATGGTTGATTTGAGTCTTGGTTTCCATTTCTTCACTGTTGGTTCCTTGTATATTTTGCTTTATTTCACTTCGTATAGCCTTTACTTCCTCATTTTGTGGCTGCACTCAATCATTTCTGTGAGCATCCTGATTATCAGTGTTTTGAACTCTACATTTGATAGATTGGCCATCTCCTTGTTGCTTAGTTCTTTTTCTGGATTTTTGATCTGTTCTTTCATTTGGTCAATATTTCCTTGTCTGGGAGCACCTGTTATGTTGTAAGGGGCAGAGCTTTAGGTATTTGCCAGGGTGGGCAGCCCACTTCACTGTGCTGCCCTGTAATGCTATATGTGGTGGAGGCATCATAGAATAATGCTGCTTACTCAGCTCTTCCCGCACTTTGAAGAGACTAGCAGTTTCCCCCGCCACCACAACCCACACAGGATTTTACAGCCAGAGGTTTTGAGCCTTTATTTTCCCCATGCTAAAACCCCGGGTTGTGTGGTCCCATCTCACTCCCCAGTTGTTCCTTCCAGTTTATCTGTGCCACCTGGTCCTCCAGCCCCAGCCTCACCTGCCCTGTCCTCCAGCCTCAACTTGCCACACCTTCTCTCCGCCCTGGCTGCCCATCTCCACCCCTCCTTCCAGTCTGGATGAATGTTTCTTCTTTAACTCCTTGATTGTTGGACTTTCATACAGTTTGTTTTTCTGGCAGTTCTGGTTGCTTTTAGTTTTACAGTTGGTTGTTTCCTTCTTTTGGTTGTGCGAGGAAGTGAAGTTTATCTACCTACACCTCCATCTGGGCCAAAACTACATTTTCTTAAATATTATTGTTAACACAGAACTATATAAACAGGACTAAGATCAAGCAGTAACTCATATAACATTTATTTTTAAAATACATTTAAAGGGGAACTTTGTTTTATGAAATTCTTTTTGTTTTATGAAATTCTTTTTTGTTTTCCTGGGATTTTAGTTGATAGTATCTAAATGAATTCGAATTATTTATGTTAGGCTGATTTTCAGTGAATTGTGTGGTTTTTTAAAAAATCAGTTTGTGAAATCTGAGTGCTTTTTATCATTTTTGTTACTTTTAAAATAATTAATCAAGACTCAGGAACCAAGCAGTGGAATTCATCAACTCTCTTTCTCTGAATGGAGACTATGGCAAGATCATCCTCTTCCTACATATCAAGTTGACCATTCGGATCGTTGCCATCATTTTATAACTATTATGCAAATGATAGAGGGAATGAGACATGAAGAGGTAGGGTTTTATTGTAACTTTCTCTTGCTGGTATCATGGTGAAAGTAGAACGCTTGATCTTTATTCTTCTTAATTTGAAGTCATTATTATAAGAAATAAGTATTTATTATAAATAATGGTAGCTGGAATATTATTTTATATAGCTCCTTTCGCCCCAATAAGGAACCAGTTTACTGTTGTAGGAGGAGGAGACTTAATTAGAAGAACATCATCTGTAAATTATTGATAGACCAAAGTAAAATTTTAATATGTTTAATAATTTATATGAACTTTGTAAAGCTAATTTAGGATTTTTGTTAGACGGGATTTATTGAAATGTCTGTCACATGAGTCATTTGGTATATCTCTCATATTCTGGAGGTAGTTTGGAGAACTGTTGGTTCCTTGAGAGAGTCAGAATGATGAACTTATTATGAGGGTGAAATCCAAAATGCTTGAGTTAGAATCCTAACATTACTTCTTACTAATTGTGCACCTGTTAACCTGTTTGTGCCTCTGTTTCACGAATAAAATGGGGGTAATGATAATACCTTTTTCATAGGATTATTGTGAGGATTAAATGATTTTGATATGTGTCAAGCACTTAGAATAGTACCTGACACATAGTAAGTACTCAGTAGATTGTAGCTGCCTTTTTTATTATTAGTTATTGTTCATGAATACATGTAAATAAAGGAATAAGTTGTGAATCTGAGTAAAACCTGTGCCATCAAATTATTTTTTAAAAGGTTTTATTTATTTATTTTTAGAGAGAGGAAAAGAGAGGGAAAGAAACATCACCAGTTGGCTGTGTCTTGCATGCTTCCAACTGGGGACCTGGCCTGCAATGTGCTCTGACATGTGCCCTGATAGGAAATCAAACCAGAGATTTTTCTTTTCATGGGCTGGTGCTCAATCCACTCAGCCACACCAGCCAGGGCTGTACTATCAAATTAAAACATATTTATTTAGTGTCCTGTGTATGCCATGCTCTGTTCTTGTCCTGGAAGCTACATTAGTGAAGAAGCCAGATAAGGTATTCTATCAGTGGGAACATACATACTACCAAGGAGACAGACATTTTCTCATTAATATTTATTGTGTTCACTATTGAAAACGTAGAGCAGTAACTGTTTAAGTTCCTGAGTAGTAGAGGAATTGTGACCTAAAGTAACAGTTGTGGGGAAGAGGAAAGGATGAGCCAGGAGTGGTGGGGACTATAGTTTTTTGTTTTTTTTAAGATTTTATTTATTTATTTTTAGAGAGGGAAAGGAGGGAGAAAGAGAGAAAGAGAGCGAGAGAAACATCAATGTGCGGTTGCTGAGGATTATGGCCTGCAACCCAGGCATGTACCCTGGCTGGGAATTGAACCTGCGACACTTTGGTTCACAGCCTGCGCTCAATCCACTGAGCTATGCCAGCCAGGGCTGGGACTATAGTTTTGAACTTAGAGATAAGCAAGACTTGGAATTCACAGTAAGAGTTCTTGGTTGGGAAATTTGTTAAAAATACTAGCCAGGGCTAGTATATACCATTAGCTCAGTGGATTGAGTGTGGGCCTGCAAACCAAGGGGTGCTGGTTCGATTCCCAGTCAGGGCACACGCCTGGGTTGCGGACCAGGCCCCCAAGGGTGCATAAGAAGCAACCAAACATTGATGTTTCCCTCCCTCTCTTTCTCCTTCCCTTTCTTTCTCTCTAAAAATAAAAAAAAAAATCTTAAAAAAAAAGTATATACTAGCCTATAGCCTGGTAGACAGACAGGTACCATTATTTCAGATGTTCTAAAAATTGTTCTTAGTTTACCTTCAAAAAGAGAAGAAATTTAACATGGAAGTGTGTCTTACATTTATATAGTCAATATATAAATTTCATAAATATCTGTTTTCAGTTAAGTATTAGAAATGAGAAAATGTTTATAATCTTTTGTGCATTCATTACATTTGTTCTTTCTATAAATAGTCATTATGGGTCTTCCATGTATTATATTAAGTACTGAGCATACAAAAATATCAAGTGATTAATTTTAAAAAATTATGGTAATTTCATAGTAGTGTCATTTATAATTTTATTTGGTTTATTATAATAATTTTTAAGGTATAAAAGAAAATAATTTGAATAATATAATATTGTTTGGAAAATATTTTAACATAGAGTAAAGCTCATCTCTTAGAATTGAATTTTTTGGCCCTGACTGGTGTAGCTTAGTGGATGGGGTACCAGCCTGTGAACCAGAGGGTTCCCAGTTGGGGCACATGCCTGGGTTGTTGGCCAGGTCCCCAGTAGGGGGCATGCGAGAGGCAACCACACATTAATGTTTCTTTCCATCTCTTTCTCTCTTCCCTTCTCTCTAAAAATAAATAAATAAATAAAATATTTAAAAAAGAGAGACAATTGGCTTTTTTGTTTTATTTCCTTGTGACTTTTTCATTTTCTTTCTTTATAGGGAGAATGCAGCTATGAATTGAAAGTTAAATCTTATTTACAAATGGAAGATGTTAGCTCAACATTTAGTGCTCACAGGAACAAATATAATCTTCTTGCCAATGGCACCTTTACTAGTAACAAGAAATCTTCATTTACAAAGAATATAAATGAAGGCAATTCATTTTCAATGACAGAATCTGATGAAGAATGTGCTGAAATTTTTAAACAAAATCATATCAAACCTACTAAAATTGTTTCTCTAAAGAGAAAAGCTTCTAAAAAACTGAAAAAAGACCAGCCTAAAAAAGAAAATAATGATGTGGGTTCTTTAGCTCCTGATGGCAATTCTACTGGTGAAGATATTTTTCAGGTAGACCTCAATGGTAAAGGGACATCAGGTACAGATGAAGTTGCTGCCCCATGCGCTGTCAGTGCAGATGTTGTAAACCACCCATGTAGGCCATTAACTGAATGTCAGATTACAAATAAATCTATTAGTCCTCTTGCTGGACAGTTTTCAGATTCTGGTTATAACAGTTTTAGTGATGAGAAATCTGTTTTATCTAGCTTCTTTCTTTCTTTTGAAGAAGAGCTTGCTATAGCTAGAGCAGATGACCAATTTTATAATTGTTATTCACCAACAAAAGAGGTGCTAGTTAAGGTAGAGGAATTTTTATCTCATTCTCCTCCGTCTCTCAGTGCACTCTCAAATTTGGAACATGAAGTTACTAAGGGTTCTGCACTTGAAAATTTGCTTTACCTACCCCACACAGAGTATTTACAAAAGAATAAGTCTACCTGCTTGATGTCACATTCAGCCATAAGTTCTAGACAGAATTCAGAATTGAATTCACTTAAATTTAGTAATCATCCTTCTGAAAAAAGTTGCATTTATAGTACAACTAATGATAAGATTTTTGATGAGCCAAGCTTCTGTGACTATGATGATAAAGCGCATAAAGATGTTAAAGATGAAAATTTAGTAGCCAGCAATCATACTCAAATAAACATAGGCCCTCCACAGTATTTTGTTGAAGAAAACAATCATGGTGTTGATAGCGGTGAGCTCCCCATATTGCTCACTGATCAGAATGAGAGTTTACAGCTATTTGAAGATACAGAGTTTAATGATGTGAGCCTTTCTCCCTCGAATAATGAATGTAAATCTTCATGTGTGTCAGACAGCACTTGTATAAACAAAATAGCACCAGTGTCTCAGTTCTTAATTTCTGATGAACTCTTGTTAGACAATGATTCTGAACCACAAGATCAAATTATCTATGATCCTAAGAGCTGGAAATCCCATGAAGATTTGACAGGTGTACATGAGGAAAAACTAAAGAGTGATGAATATGTTTATGACTGCTCTAAGGATTTATTTTCTATTACCTTTGATTTAGGATTTTCTATTCCAGATTCTGATGATGAAATATTAGAACATGCATCACATACAAATAAGAATAAAATTTTAGATGCCCTATCTGGAAGGTGTTTAGATATCAAGGAGATAAGTGATATAAATTATGTTTCAAATCAAGCCATAATACCAAGAGATCATGTTGATAGTTCTAAGAGTAGATCTGTTGCTATTTCATCAAGTGAAGATAAGCAGAGTCCAGCTTCTGTGCATTTTCCACTGAGTACAGCCAAAAATGAAGAATTTATGTCTCCTGGTTATTCTCAATTTTCTTTGCCAGTAGGGGAAAAGGTTATGAGTACACCACTTTTTGAGTTAAACACATTGAACTCTAAAAAGAGAAAGGAAATGCCTAGGTTGCTAGATTCTAATAAAGGAAAGGAAAATCTACAAAGTTTCAAAGAAACATTGAATTCAACTTTTGATGATTCAGGACTTTCTACAGAAAAGGCTAAAGATGAGGAACAAATCAGTCTATGTCAAACCTGTAATTCTGTTGGAGGTAAGAGTTCATCTTTATAAAACATACATTTTTCTAGAGTAATTACTCTGTATAAACTTCTGTAATTTTTCAAAATGTAATTTATCAGCATATGGTGTATTAAATTAGATAATTGATATATGATATATTTCTTTAGTTGATTCTTACTGACATGAGATTTATTTTATCTACATATACATGGCATGCATGCTATGGGAAAGGTATTACACTGTGAAATGTAGAAGTGTAAGATTTGGCCTTAGCCCTTGATTGTAAATCAAACATTTGTGTGATATATACACTTGAAAAGATATCAGTAAAAATTCATAAATAAGTACTGAAGGAATAATAACATAGTGGATTTTTTTTATTGTTGTTCAACTATAGTTATCTCCATTTCCCCCCTACCACTGCCCGCCGCCCCCCTCATTGCCCTCCTGCCCTCCTTTGGCTTTGTCCATGTGTCCTTCATACATGTCCCTTGATGACCCTTCCCCTTTTTTCCATTATTCCCCTACCCCCTCTCCTCTGGTTAATGTTGGTGTGTTCTTTATTTCAATGTCTCTGGTTCTATTCTGCTTGTGCTAAGTGAAATAAGCTAGGCAGTGAAAGATAGTGGATATTTAGGAGATATGGAAAATGTCAAAATTTTGAACTGGATAAGATGTAAAAATTTTTAGATTTTTAAAATTTTGGCTCCTTAGGAATATAGAATATGTTGAAAATAATACAGAGAGAATTTATAAAATGGTGGGGAAAAGTGTAAGAAGCATAAGATTTTGGGGGCATAGGGTAAAGTAGAGGGTTTAATATATTAAAGTAGTTGAGAAATAAGACTGTATTTGGAGGACTGAGACAAGACTACAGAATATCTAATTTTACATGGTTACAGAAAAACTGGAAAATAAGGTAATAGATGCTTAATATTAATATTATTAAGGTAGCCTTTAAGTCCTGTTATAAAACTGAATTCTAGTTTATGTATAGATTATTACAGCAGGCCATTTATGGATTTTACTCCTTATGGCTGTGAAAAATGTACTTGGGGAATAAAATGAGAGTTCCTCATAAATCTTTTTCTTATGCTATTCTCAGTAGCATTGAGGGCATGATTTATGAATGTTTTATTTAAGATGAAAGCTTGTTAAAAGTAAGTTGTGGAAATATGTTTAATTTCCAAAAATTGACTAGTTTTGGATATACTCTGACACATGCATTTTTACTAAGTATATGTTGCCTATGAGCCTTCCATATTTGCTTGAACACCTTTATATTAAGTCTGTTATTGGGTGAAAATTCTTTTGTCTGTGTCATATTTGCATTAAAACTTTTTCTAGTATTTCACTTAACTACTAACCAAGGGAAATATAATTATGAATACTTATATATTAGGGAATTATTTATTAGAGTATTATTTAGTATGTTTTTATTTCACCTAATTGAAATAGAGGACTTAAAGTCATTTGTCATGTTGTGTGTATACAAAAATAGTTCATTAAAACTCTACTAAAGTAGTTACAGGGAGAGCGTCCTGGAATTGGTTATTATAGCTGAGCCCTGCATTTAACTCTACCTTTCTTGCAGAGTGCTTATTTGCAAAAAAAAGAAAAAAGGATTTATTCAAGTTTTATTTGTCTGGTTGGATATTTTATTGTCATAGTGTGAGGAGAACAGTACTGGGTTAATTTGTATTAGTTTTTTTATTGCTGTGTAAATAATTATTCTCACAAAGAGTGGTTTAAAATAAACATTTATCTCAGTTTCTGTAGTTTAGGAATTCAAGAGTTTCTGAATTGGGTGGTTCTGGTTTAGGATTTCTCATGAGGTTATAATTGAGATTTCACCTGGGGTTGCAGTCATCTGAACACTTGGCTAGACTTGGACAATCTTCTTCCAAGATGGCTTGTTCAAAGTGGGGGGCGGGGCGATGGGAGGCACACAGGTATCTCTGGTCCATAAGATTCTAAAATCCAGCAGAGTTGAGTTTGGAAGTTCCTTGGTTAGGATTCATAGCTTGGGAATAATTCTCTATGGTTCTTGACTTTGTTCTCTGGATGCTTGGTAGCACCTTTTTCCCTAACAGATAGCACCTGCGGAGTTTCTCTGCATACTTTCTTTCAGCAAAAATTTGGGAATCCAAAACCCTGTTTTCATTTTGTGTCCTGTCTTTCCCCTTTTAGTCATAGCTGGCTGTGTTTCTTCCCATGAATTCTCAGAAATCTTTGGATTTCTTGTGAATCTTATTGGGGTTCATTCCATTAAACACTAGCTTGCCCACAATTATTTTGCAGCTAAGTTCTTCTCTGCCTTGAGTTTCTGCTGAGATGTCTAGAGATAGTTCTTGAATCTTCCTAAAAGGCCTGAGAGGATCTGAGGGAAATGTCCTTAAAATAAGACTGAGTAGTAGGTACTCGGGGGGACCACCTTTGATCTTTCTTAGGTCTTAAAAGCATTTGCTTATACCCTCAGCTTCATCTGAACAATATTTTCCTGGTAGTCCTCTAGATTAGATCTTAGCCCCGATGATTGCTTAATCTAACATTGCCAGCTTGAGAAGCTGGGAATTTTCAAAGCCTGCAAGTCTCAACTGTTGCATGCGCAATAGTCCTTTCTTTAGCTTATCTCTTTCCTCCTGCAATTTACTTTAACAGCAAGAAGCACCTTAAGATGCTAAGATGATACTTTAAACATTTTGTCTAGACATCTCCTTAGCTAGATCACCTCATTCTTTAGGTATATTTTCTACTTTCTGTGTTACTGTAAGGTTACTCAATTGACTGGTACTACATAATGGATTCTCTTTCCTCCGGTTTCTAAAGATTTTCCTTACTTTAACCTCTCACCCATAGCCTCCTCAATAGCCATTAATCTTAGAAATTGTTCCTATAAACAATTCCTTTCAGTTTCTTCAAGTTTTCACCAAACTCTCCTCAAAAGTCCTTTCAGCTTCTGCCCCCAAACAAGTTCTATAGCTCCTCCCAGAGGTTAGTTTTTTGGTATGGCAAATCCCTATTTCCAGGTACCACAATATGTATTAATTATCTCCTGTTGCATAACAAATTATCCCCACCCCAAAAGAATATTTAATAGTTAAAAACAACAAACATGTTTCTGTGGAACAGAAATATGAGAGTGGCTTAGTGAATGGTTTTGGCTCAGGATACTTCATGAAGTTGCAGTGAAGATATTGGCCAGGGCTGAAGTTACCTGAAGGCTTGGGTAAGCTCAGAGGATCACATTGCTGCTGGTGGCGGCCTCAGTTTCTTGCCACATTGGCCTCTCCATAGGGTTTCTTCTTATATCTTTACAATATAGCATCTAGATTCCTCCAGAGTTAGTGAGGCAGAGAGCAATGATGAGGCTTCAAGGACATTTATAACCTGAAGTAACAAATCTTCATTTTCATTATATTCTTTTAAAAAATGTTTTATATTTATTATTTTTAAAAAATTTTATTTTATTTTTATTTTAATCGTCGTTCAAGTAAAGTTTTCTGCCCTTTACCCCCATCCCAACCTACCCCCCAGCCCTCCCCTCCTCCCTCCCGTCTCCACCCCTCCCTTGTTATTGTCCATGTGTCCTTTATACTACTTCCTGCAAACCCTTTCCCCCTTCCCCTTTTTTAAAAATTTTTTTAGAGATTTTTTATTTGTTTATTTTAGAGAGGGAAAGAGAGGGAGAGAAAGATCAATGTGTGGTTGCCTCTCACATGTCCCCTACTGGAAACCTGGCCTGCAACCCAGACATATGCCCTGACTGGCAGTCGAACCCATGACTCTGATTCTCAGGCCCACCCTCAATCCACTGAGTTACACCAGCAGGGCTCATTATATTCTTTTTTTTTTCTTAAGAAGCAAGTGACTAAATCTGCCTGACACATGAGGGGAGAGGAGTTCTGATTCTTCTCTTAAAGGGGAGATATATGAAAGAATTTATGAACATATCTTAAAATAATGATAAAGCTCTTACAGAAGAGTTCATAAAGACACAAAGAAGCATCTTCAATCAAAATTTTATGAAAGGGCAGACTTAAAGCTTTGTTGATATACCTAAATATTTGAAGCATCTCATTTCATACATGGGGGTTTTGTTTTTAGTAATCTTTTCATTCCCCCAGATGTGTTCTAGTTGCAACATTTTAGTGTTTACCTTACCAGTGTTTAATTTTGTGTGTGGGCACAAACACATGTATATGCACATATATACTACATACATACATGCATGCATTAAGCTTTATATACATTGTTTTTAAAAAAATTTTATTTATTTATTTATTTGTTTGTTTGTTTTTTAGAGAGGAAAGGGAGGGAGAGAGAAAGAGAGAGAGAGAGAGAAACATCAATGTGCAGTTGCTAGGGGCCATGACCTGCAACCCAGGCATGTGCCCTGACTGGGAATTGAACCTGCGATGCTTTGGTTCACAGCCCGCGCTCAATCCACTGAGGTACACCAGACAGGGCTTATACATTGTTTTATAGCCTGCATTTTCATGCTTGAACTCCTTTATCTAGAAAGAGAGTAAGACACAAAGAGCAGGAAGACTATCATAGGTTTTTAGAGATAAATACTAGAACCTTTGACTAATAGAATTGTGTTTTATAATCTTCTGGCTTCTTTTCAGTTAATTTGTAAAATTGAATCTGAGTCAAATTTATGTTTATTAGCAAAAGTTATCATCTCAATTTTCTCACTGGCAATATTTTATTTTTCTGTCTCTTCTCATGCTGAGTTTTTGGCCAAACTTCTGAAAAGCTATCTTTTTTAGAGTAAGTGTTGAGATTAAAGAATTCTTATTGTACTTGTCAATAAAATAGTTGTGATATGATAAGCTTGAAGCTATTGACCAGATTCATTATTTTTAAATAAATTATAGATGAACAATTAACGAGCAATGAAAGTGAAGGTGGTGAGATTTTCCAGAGAAAGAGTAAAAAAGCAAAAGGAAATATTTTAGAATCTCCTGAGGTAAGTCATTCAGTAATCACATTAATATGATCATATAAAGACTTTTTCTTTCTTTTTATGTCTTTTTATTTTTTACCCTTTGCTTTATCTGTTTATCTAGGATCAGAAACATAGTGAAATTGATTCTCCACTTCATGCTGTCAAAAAGCGTAGGGTTCCTCCAAAGAAGGTAAGTAAACAAATAATGTATAGATAGTAGTATATAGTAACTCAAAGCCTATTTGAATAAATATTACAGAAATAATATGTGTATAGGTAAATGTAGGTAAATTTGATCTTATAGATATGTAGTAACAGAAAGATAGTAAATCCTATGTGATTGGAATTTCTACTTTAATTTTATATTTGTTTTAAAAACTATCCCTACTTTTGTTAGTACATGTCAGTGGTTCAGCATATGTTCATTAAATATCTACCTACTGTGTACAATATCTACTGTATAAGATGCTGGGGGTACTATAAAGATAATATGCTGGAACTATCTTAGGTCACCTATAATCGATTAGGAGAGAAAGATGAGTAAATGGGTAATCTTTTAAGTTAAGTGATAAGAAAAGATGACCCCTTAGCCTTGCCCTTGGGAGTTCTGGCAAGCTTCTTGAAGATAAAACCTTATTAAATGTTAAAAGCATATTTGTGGCCGTAGGCAAGAGAATGGAGAGGGGAAGGCACTGTCTGACAGAGTAGACAGCTTAAAGAATGACACACAGCTGGGACAGCATCTCTTTATTAATTCTATGTAACTACAAAGAGTGCCAAGAAGTAAAATTAGAGAAAAATCTGGGTCTGTTTTTGGAAGGCTTTATTCTGTAATGTGCTTACTGAATGGGTTTATAAGGAAGAAAGGAAGGTGTCCAATATGATTCTGGTTTTTGGCTTGGGCTGTTTGGCAGATGTGTCGCAAATCTAAAGACAAGAAAGAAAAGTTCAGTGTTGAGTGTGTTTGCATTTGAGGTTTTTGTGTGAGAGTGAAATGTTGGTTTCTGGCAGGCATTGGTGACTATGAGAATATGAAGTTTGGGTAGGAGGCAGGTCTTAAGGCTGATAATACTCATTTGTCATCAGCTTATAGCTGATAACTACATTTTGAAATTAGGATATTTTGTGTGCTTTAATTCTCTGATAAAATATAGAATCATTTGTGCAAAATTAATTAAAATTGCAACCAGTCTGAAACTAGAAAAGTTGGCATTTGTGTCGCTGAAACCGGAAAAGCCGGCAATCATGCTGCCTGACTCCTACCAGACCCAATGAGCAGAGACAGGGATTGAATCTTTATGGGCGCTTTACTCAGATGGCCTGCGAGCTGAGAAGATAGTGGGTTTGTACCCTAACAGACCATCTTGTCTTTTCCTTCCAGGCCAAGCTTTTTATAGCAGGGAATAAACAAGGTGCTGTGAGGCGTTTTGAAATTCAGGGAAGATTGGATTTAAAAAACTGCAGCATTCTTGCCCTGAGCATTTAACTGTGCCCTAGGTGGTCATCTGACTCTCCTTGGAACACAGTGGCTCGCCTGTCTCTAGCTGTGCCCCTAGTAGAGGTCTTTAGCTGTATCCTAGGAGTCAGGGTGGGCCATACCTGCAATTCCTGAAACAATAGCTTTTCACATGCATTAACTACTAAAGTTTTCCACCCTTGAGTTCCCCATCACTGTCTGGCACTACCAGAATCAATAAGTAGAGACAAGGATTGAATTTGTATGGCACTTTATTCAGATCTGACCCTAGAAACTGTCCCATCCCAAGCTGACCTTTTTATGAGGAGAAGAAAAGGGTAGCTAAGGGGTTTGGGGAAAAAAGTTAATCAAATAAGAGTTACAGTCAAGGTTGAATTGCTTGTTAACCTCCTGGAGTCATGTATTACAGTTCCTGGAACAAGAACTTTCCACATGCCTTAATCACTTAAGCCTATCACCTATAACTAAAGCTAAATCTTTAATTCTTGAGTTCCCCTATTAAGTCCATAATAACTTTGTATACTTATATAAAATGAGAAAAGTCACTTTAACTTGCTACTTTAAGTAGAATGTCTGATTGACTTATCAGAAGTGTATTAAAATATTGATAATATGATCAATCTTTTTTAAACTAAATTTTATTCCTCTTAATTGAAATTATTTTGATAAACTTATTTTGATTCTTTTGATCAGTTTTATATTCTTCTGTAAAAGATACAGTGATAGGGCTCCAAGTCAAAACTTATTTTTCTTATATTAGTTTCTTGGTTTGAAAGGACTCCTATATGTGTTTGGCCTGATCCTGATACCTATATTTACACACTTAATTATATTTGCTGAGCCCTTTAGGATCTTCTAAAGAAAACAGTTGAAAAATATAAGTTTTCATCAAATACATTTTATATAATACTAAATTGAATAAATACTATACTAGAATTATATATATTACTTATATTACATATATTACCTATTTCCCAATTCTTCCTCCTTTATCCCCTCTCTGCCCTGTACCCTGCAACTCTCCAGCATTCCCCCACCGTAGTTCATGTCCATGAACTGTGGACATATGTATATGTCCATACATATAAGTTCTTTGAATTCTCTGTTTTCTATACCATTCTTAACCTCTCCCTGTCTATGTTATGCCTACTAATTGTGCTTCTTCTTCCCTGTACCTTCTACCCCCATTCTTCCCTTTCCCCTCCCCACCAAAATCCCTCCCATGTGATGTCCATTTCTCTGATTCTGTTCCTCTTCTAGTTATTTGCTTAGTTTTTGTTTTCATTGTTTTTCTTTTCTTTAGGTTCATTTGTTGATAATTGTGAGTTTGTTATCATTTTACTGAACATATTTTTAATCTTTTTCTTAGATAAGTCCCTTTAACATTTCATAAAATAAGGGCTTGGTGATGATGAACTCTTTTAACTTGGCCTTATCTGAGAAGCACTTTATCTGCCCTTCCATTCTAAATGAAAGCTTTGCTGGATAGAGCAATCTTGGAAGTAGGTCCTTGCCTTTCATGACTTCCATTAATTCTTTCCAGTCCCTTCTTGCTTGTAAGGTTTCTTTTGAGAAATCATCTGACAGTCTTATGGGAACTCCTTTGTAGGTAACTCCTTTTCTCTTGCTGCTTTTAAGATTCTCTCTTTATCTTTAATCTTGGGTGATGTAATGATGATGTGCCTTGGTGAGTTCCTCTTTGGATCCAACTTCTTTGGGACGCTCTGGGCTTCCTGGGAGTCTATTTCCTTTGCCAGATTGGGGAAGTTTTCCTTCATTATTCGTTCAAATAAGTTTTCAATTTCTTGCTGTTGTTCTTCTCCTGGTACCCCTATAATTCAGATATTAGAACGTTTCGGGTGGTCCCAGAGGTTTGTAAGTCTCTCCTCACTTTTTTTGAATTCTTGTTTCTTCATTCTGTTCTGGTTGGATGTTTATGTTTATTTCTTCCTTTTGTTCCAAATCATTCCTTTGAGTCCTGGTTTCCTTCCTGTCATTGTTGGTTCCCTGAATATTTTGCTTTATTTCATTTTGGGTATCTTTCATTTGTTTCATCATTTTTTGACCAAGCTCAATCAGACCTGTGAGCATTTTGATTACCAGGGTTTTAAATTCTCTTTCAGATAGGTTGGCTATATCCTCATCGTATAGTTCTCCTTCTGAAGTTTTGCTCTGTTCTTTCATTTGGGCCATATTTCTTTGTCTTGGTACAGCTGATATGTTGTAAGGGGGTGGAGCCTTAGGTATTCACCCCACAGGACAATTGTCCTTGCTGCACTGGGGGGCTGCCTGTGGGGGAGGGGCCAGAGAGGGAACAATGCAGCTCGCCTGCTTATCTCTAGTGCACTTTCCAATGGACTCTCTCCTGTGATACTGGGAGTTTCTCCCACCATGGCAACTACTGTAGTCCACAGTAAGCTCTGAGTCTCAGTTTCCTCTTCAGTCAGCCTTGCCTGCCCAGTCCACCACCTTGCTTCGGTTTTTCTGAGCCGACTCTACCCGCGTGGTTCAAACTCTTGCTGTGGTTTTTCTCAGCCAGCCTCGCTATGGGTTCTTACTGGTCTGGTTGTTCTGGTTGATTTTTTTCTTTAATTCCTTGGTTGTCGGAGTTCCTTGCAGTTCGATTTTCTGGCACTTCTGGTTATTTATTGATTTTAGATTAATTGTTATCCTCCTTTTGGTTGTTCGAGGAAGCGAAGGGTTTCTACCTACACCTCTATCTTGGTTGGAGCTACCTAATTTAGTATTTTAATACTTATTATCAATTCTTATGTGTTTGTAACAGGGTTCTGGGTTGTGAGAGCATTTTATTTTTCTAATCAAGAAAACTTTATAAAATGAAAATAAAAGCAAAAACCTTTTAGAAATACATTAAGATGCAATAATCCAATTATATTTTCTTATGCAAGAAGTTTTGAATTTTTATAGTTAGAATTATCATCCAGTGACGAGAACGAGGATTTTCCTGAACAACATCCACAACTAGACAACTTCAAGGGTCATGACAGGAATGCCAAAAGAAGCACCAAAGTCCAAAAGAGACAAAGTCGCCTGAAGGTAAACTTTTTTCATTTTTTTAATTTATAGATAATGTGTGTATACTATATATGTATTAAAGAACATTAGATTTTACATGGATATAGATTTCTGTCTATAGTTTCTTTATAGGAAAAAATCCCAAGTTCAAAAATATTTTTACCCTAGTTTTCCTTTTAAAATGGAATTAGTATCTCAAGGTATTGTAGTTTTGTTTCTTTTTGTGTTTTGAAAGTATCTTGCAGTGTTGTGTTCTTTTTAATAACTAAGTGAAGAAACTAGTATACTGAGTTTAAGATTCAAATTGAAGAAAATATACAGACAGAAATCTGTGTTTTAGAATATTTGCTTTTACAATCATTGTATTGTTTTTCTTATCTCTATTCAGTATTCAAATCTTTGGAAAAGAATGCTCAATACCTTTTTTTCTGATTAGTCCTTTTGTGGTGCAGTATTTTCCTGGCAAAATTTTAAATAGCCAGAATACTTGGGAAACTTTATGCTTATTTAAAAAAAATAAGAAAAACATTCAGCAAGCTGACATGTTTCTTGAACTTATTTTACTTGTAAGAATTATCAGAAGAAGCCCTGGCTGGTGTAGCTCAGTGGATTGAGCACGGGCTGCGAACCAAAGGGTCGCAGGTTTGATTCCCAGTCAGGGTACATGCCTGGGTTGCAGGCCATGACCCCCAGCAACTGCAAATTGACGTTTCTCTCTTTCTCCCTCCCTTCCCGCTCTAAATATAAATAAATAAATAAAATCTTTAAAAAAAAGAATTATCAGAAGAAATTTGAATAGGTATGCTATTTTATCAAGTATTCCTTCAGTTTTCTGTTTTCATTTTTTGCCTTAAAAAGCATTTGCAAAAAATCCATTTTCCAGAACTATTTTCAATTATTTAAGGGAAAGAAATGATTTTTCTCATCAGTATCATCTTATTTTCTATACTTTGTTTTAGTTTGTAGCTAGAACGTTTTTAGATGATCAAGCAGAACTTTCCCAAGAAGATGCAGAATGTGTTTCATCAGATGAAAATGATGAGTCAGAAAATGAAAAAGATTCCTCATTACTTGACTTCTTAAATGATGAGACTCAACTTTCACAGGCCATAAATGGTAAATGATGTAATGATGCTTTTTCTTTTAATTTTTATGATTTTAATATGGTTGTAGTTAAGTATTTTAGTTACTTTTCAGAGACTCTTGACTTCAAAGGGAATTAAATTTGGTATTGTGAAATATTTGGTCAATTCCATTCAAATTCTGTATTATTTATCTTAGACTTGGTTGTTTATAGACTTGCTAATTTGATTATTTCTCTCCAGAACAACCTGGCTGACTCAGTGACAAATGTTTATTTAACAATTATTTAGTGCCTACTGTGTGCTTGGTACTATGTAAAGTTCTTGAGAAAGACATATCAGTGAACAAAATGGACAAAAATCTCTGCCCTTAACATTTGAATGGAAGGAGACAAACAATAAACATAGTAACTAAATTATTTAGTATATTTTAAAGATTTGTATTTATTTTTAGAGAGAGGAGGAGAAAGAGAGGGAAACATTGATTGGTTGCCTCTCCTATACCCCCCAACTGGGGACCTGGCCAGAAACCCAGGCATGTGCCCTGACTAGGAATTGAACCAGCAACCTTTTTGGTTTGCAGGCCGGCATTCAATCCACTGAGCCATACCAGCCTGAGCTATTTAGTATATTTTAAGATGAAAAATATAGAGAGAAATGAAAACATTGAGTAAGGTGAGGATTTGGAGTGGCAGGTGTTAGGGTATTAATAATGGACAAGATATAATTTCATATAAGGTATTGAGAGGTAGAACTCATTGAGAAGATGACATTTATCAAACTCCAAAAGGAGATGATGGGTTTAGCAACATGGATTGTGAAAACCAGCTGAGACACAAAGCTAAATTGATCAAATTTGCCGAGGAGGGGATATGTACTTTCAGTAAATAGTCTCTCCAAACAATGCTTGAGCAGATCTTATACACAATAATGAAGAGAAGATGATTCAGGTTGGCTGTAATAGAAATAGGAAAGATTCTGTTGGGCTTTTCAGTGTTTTGATCTTTTATAGATCTTGCCATTTATTCTGCTCTTGCAGTCCCTGATGATTTAAGACAGCAAAGTTTCCCAAGGTCTATGCCTTTAAAGAAAAAAAGTGTTAAGGACAGGTTTCAGTGCTGAGTTGTTGCTCCTGATATGGTTTGCAGAATAAGTTTTCTTAATATGATGCCCTTGATACTCATTAACAGAAGTGGCTTTTGCAAGTTTATGGTATAATCTGGTTGGAGAATGTTGATGCATGAAGATAGCCAGTACAAAGGTCCTGGGCAGGCATGTGCCTGGCATGTGCAAGGAAGGCATTGTTCCCAGAATTGAGTAAGGTAGAGGGGGTGGTAGAGAGTGAGATCAGACAGGTGACCAGCAGCCGGCTCATGGTCTGACTCACTGTAGTAGTGTCACTCTGCCTTCTGTGTTGAACAAATGGCTGCCTACAGGGGAGCAAAGGTGGACAAACAGACCATTTTGGAGGCTGTTGCAGTGATCTGATCAAGGAATGACAGTGGTTCCTGCCGAGGTGGTGGCAATGAGTGGGTGACAAGGATGGATTTTCGGGTGGATGAGAGAGAAAAAGGAGTGAGTGGGCTTGAGTGACAGGAAGACAGAGTTGCTGCTGTCTGATGTCGGGAGGCGGCCTGTGGAGCAGTGGAGATGAAGAGTGGGGAGATCCGAAACTTCATTTTAGACACAATATGTTTGAAATATGTAGGATTTCAACGTTTTTTTAATAACTGCAAAATTCACATCTGTTTTTCATGTTTCGTTTCTTAAGTACTCTTTGCTATAACTGAAAAAATGAGAGGCTTATGAATCTCACATGAATTATGCTTGGTGAAGAAAGACAGATTCGAAAGGTTACATACTGTGTATTTTGATTTATACAACATTCTGGAAAAGGTAAAACTATAGGTACAGCAGACAGATTAGTGGTTGCTATAAGAATGGATTTGTTAAGACTCGGAACTGTACCCCACAGAGGCTGAATTTTACTGCATATACATTACACCTAAAAAACAAATGTATGAAACAAATGAAAAAATCTATGAAATCTTGATTTTAAGTCCTTCTAAACAGTAAACTGGAAGTAAGGGTCCCACTAAGTTTGTAGGGATTTATGTAAGTCAGGAGGTTATCGAATAGTTGAAGCTAGCTATAGAATGAAGATAAGGGAAATACTCATCAAAGAAAAATTTATATATCTTGTACCAAGCACTATAATCATTAAATTAGCAGTTATCCCTCAAAATAATGGATGTCAATAAATTTAATCACCTCAAAAAGTATGGAAAAAATAAAGTTGCTTTCTGGTTGTAACCTTAATATATAAGCATAAATAAAAACCATGTGTTTTTTCAAATTTTTGCTTGACTGAAAATTATGAAACATGTATACTGTTGTCTGTGGCTTTTGACATTTTTGAAATTTTTTTTAGCCTGGATTTCTTACGTTTCATTGAATACTTTTTATAAATCAGGTACAGTTGTAAGGTATTTGCATATATTTATTTTGTATGAAAAGGCACTATCCTAATCTTCATTTCCAGATTAGGAAATAGGAATTCAGATTAGAGATAGCTAAAGTGGAGAGCTTAAATAAATTGTGCATGATCACCCAGCTAGATGGTCTGATTTCAAAGGCCAAACTTCAAACTTTGCATTTTGAATTAGTTTTCAGACATCTTTTTATATATTAAATAACCTTTTGTATAAAATAATTCTACAAGATTTGAATCATGTGAATTTGGAATACGTCAAAATTAAAAACTTCTAGTTTTCATTTTAATAATTTTGCTATATAAAATTCTTATTATCTTTACACAGATTCTGAAATGAGAGCTATTTACGCGAAATCTTTGCGTAGTCCATTGATGATCCGTCGGTACAAAATGGTCCACGAGAAACATAACAACGTGAACATTTTCTCACAGGTATGGACTCTAGAGACATTATAGAGAATTTCCTGATGGTAATGTTGAAATATGTTCTTGTTAATGAAACCTCCATTTTGTTTCTAAAACTGGATTTCCAGAGCTAATGGGGATGATTCCTGTCCAGTCAGGAAGGTGGACTAAATGAATTCTCAAAATCTCTTTTAGTCTTAATGTGATCAAATTGTCTTTCTTTAATTTCAGTTAAGTAGAATAGACCATTAAATTATTTTCTCATTAGGAGAATGTTTAAAGGCTATGAATAAAACTTCAGCATCTACTAGTTAAATTTTTCTTATATGTTGTCATTTCTTCTGAAAATTTATTTTTTCATAAAAATGTTAATTCTAAAAATCATAGATTATTTTACATTGTTATATTAGTTTTACATGTTTATAAATTGCCATATTCAGCTTGGTCACATGGCCATTCATAGCTCTGTACTTCCATTATCTTTATTATATAGCACTTGTAGCATTGTTTATAAATTATTGCATATTTTTGGGGTGGTTTCCTTACTAGACTGTTAATTTCTTTTTTGTTTTTGTTTTTTAAGATTTTATTTATTTATTTTTATAGAGGGAAGGGAGGGAGAAAGAGAGAGAGAGAAACATCAATGTGTGGTTGCTGGGGGTCATGGCCTGCAACCCAGGCATGTACCCTGACTGGGAATCGAACCTGCGACACTTTGGTTCGTAGCCTGCGGACTGTTAATTTCTTGAGGGTAAATTATAATTTTTTTTTTTTATCCTTAAAGTCCTCACTTTTCCCATAGAGGATATAATCGGTATATGTTAGTTGAGCAAATGACTCAAAATAAAATGAAATAAATATTCATTAAAATCTCATGTATATTAAAGAGTATGTTAATTACCCGCTGATTTTATGAAAGAAATTTGTAATATATTTTTAAAAGATTTTATTTGCTTATTTGTACAGAGAAGGGGAGGGAAGGAAAAAGAGAGGGAGAGAAATATAGATCAGCCACCTCTCGAGTGCCCCCAACCAGGGACCTGGCCCGCTACCCCGGCATGTGCCCTGCCTGGGAACTGAGCTGGCGACCCTTGGGTTTGCGGGATGACACCCAACCCACTGAACCACCCCAGTCAGGCCCTGTAATATTCTTATATGTATTTTTATTGTAGATTCCTGAGCAAGATGAAACCTACTTAGAAGACAGTTTTTGTGTTCATGAAGAAGAATCTTGCAAAAGCCAATCAAGTGAAGAAGAAGTGCGTGTTGATTTTAATTTAATAACTGAAGATTGCTTTGCAAGTGGGAGTAAAAAATATAAAACCCGGCGTGCAGTAAAGCTAAAACAAATGAAGATGAGACAGAGTGCACGTTCAAAAAAGAAATTATCCAGAATTATTTTACTGGATGATTCAAGTGAGGAGGAAAACAATGTAAATGATAAAAGAGAATCCATTCCTGTGGCTAACCCCAGCACTGTTACAGAGAGCAAACAGCAGGGCCATTGTTGGAATTCAGTGCTTTCGGGATCTTCCTTACAGCCCAAGGACCATTCTAATCCAGTTGTCACTCAAGTGCCAAAGCAGAGGCAGCAGACACTACTTAATTCAAAGGATATAGTTTCTGACATCTCGTACTCCAAACCTCAGAGCCATAATAAAATTGAATCTACATCACCATCAGTCACTGCTGTTGGTTTACAGAAGGACTGTAGCAAATTTCCAGTTCATTTGAAGGTATGGATCAAAGTAGAGGAAAAAGTCTTCATGTTTACCAATAGGTGTTTTTGTTTTGTTTTGCTTTACTGTGTGTTTTGTGTTAAATAATTAGGTCAAAGAAAAGTTAGCTAATGATGGAAGTCTTCAAATAAGAAAACAGCACACTAAATTTTATGGATAATTTACATATGAATACTTGGGTTGTAATTTGTTAAATGTGTTCATAGTTTTCTTAATAATACTGTAAGGAAACTTGCTAATTTTATTAAAAAGGCTGTAGGAAAATGGGCTTTCTGCAAGATGAAAAAAAACCCCAGAAATTACATGCTTAGAACTAGTACTCCCCCATCCCTGGCCCGCCACTCAGATTAACTTTTCTTTCCCCCTGCTGAAGGCTGCAGGTGTGTACCTCTCATCTTGTTGCTGGGGAGAGGAGGTCAGAGGCATCATCTCATTTCCTTCCTTCCAGAATAGCTGAGGAGTTCCATTTCCAGCTTCTCCATATCTTGCTATTGCTTAAATAATCCCTAAAGCCATTTTTAGTTTTTAAGAATTTATATTTACTGTAAGTAGTTTTACTAAAATAGGGATTAAATTCATAGCAATAGGAATCCTTAATTGTAAATACTCACATCCTTGATTGTCATTTTGGGGAGAGACCCAGACCTAGACTTCTTGTTCTCTTTGATTCCAGGTGTTTCTGTCCATTCTGCCCTAGCAGCATGCTCCTAGCAGCAGAACACACAGTGGGCTCTCAGATTGGCCAATTTTAAATTGTTCCCCGGCTTTTTTTACACAAAGTTACTTCAAAGTATAATGAGGATAGAGTTAACTAGATTAAGTCTCATAATAGATTGGAGATCAAGAAAGTACTTGATTTCTCTGAGCCTCAGTTTTCTCAGCTGTAATATAAGGATAGCAATCCCAAAGGTCAAGGTAGGGAATATATGCACAGAACTTTGAGACCCAGGGAGCAATATCTACATTTCTACTTTGGTATGCTTGAATTAAAAAATAGATATAGGCTAGTAATACTTTGAGGATTGTGGAAAAAGGATACACAGATTTTAGCAGAAATGTGTTTCTTTTACATCTAATACAACAATTCCATATATAGCATAATTTATTTCACTTGAAATGAGAAGGGCAAAGAATTTGAGGTAAATTTGAGAAAGAACATCTTATCAAAAACCATTAGATACTAAAAATGTTAACTTTTACTTTGTCATGTATATTGCAAACAGCATTCTTTGTCTGCTATTTACGTTTTTGTTTTGTTTGTAGTGGTTTTGCCATAGGAAGGGTTGACTTTTGCATACAGTCCCGATTTTTTTCTTTAGTTCTAAATATGACTTAAATGTCATATTTAGAAAGCCATTTTCTGCTCCAAGAAAAGTATATATTTCTAGGGTTCTTTTTAAATGTTTTTTTAGTGGTCATTTCTTCCTTCATTACATTTATTTTATTTTGGGGTTTTTGGGGGGGGTTTGAAATTGAATATTGAATATATTTTAAAGATTTCTGAGTGATTAGGACTTCCATCTTTAGCTTAGGATGTAGGAAGGTGGAAAGAGCATTGTTCCCACCCATATAACAACCACCACAAAAATCCAGATAATCTACAAAATCATAAGTTTATTTGATTTTTTCGGAGCTGTGGTTGCAGGGCAAACAAGTCTGATACCTGAGGAGACAGGTGCCTTCAGTGAGAGACTTGCTGATTTGGTAGAGTCACTGGGCACTGCACAATCTGGTAAGAAGAATTCAGCTAAAACTTTAATGAATTACAAAAGGCAATGGACTAGCATGAAAGTTTAGTAATGGACTAGCATTAGAACTCCTGTGAGTTGCAGATGGGGAACTGGCCACCCATGGACTCTCCACAGACTCACCAGGTGTTCACAGGAAAGACTGAGAATAAGAAAAAGGCTTTTTCCTGCTGTAGGCCTTGGATAAGTGAGCAGCAGTTACTGTGGGAAAGGCACCAGACCTCACCTGCTTCCATCTCCCCTCTTTTTCCTGTGGAACAGAAAGCGTTAGACCACTAGGGATAGAGCAGCAAACCCTAAAGCCCTTCGGGCCTAGGTGAAGCACCTTTGCTGATGGGGGAAGGGAACAACAACAAAAATCATTTTCTGTACCTGAGAAGGGGTCAGGACAACAACTTGAGCCTAGAACATGTGAGGCCTACAGTCATTGGGAGGCAGGGCAGGATCACAGAGAAGGCTGCACCTCTGAGACCCAGGGACATAAGTCCACACAAGTCTTGCTGAGGACTGGCTGAACTAGGACGAGAGAGAATACCCTCCCTGCAACAAGATGCTCCTAGTGGCTTCCTCCCACCAGGCTAGCGAACACTAACAAATAAAAGCAGTCTATTGATCGGAACAACAGGATGGGGAGGGAAGCTTCCTGACGTTCAGGCTCACAGAAAGGACCTAAACTGAGAGAACATTTTGAAAGGTCATCTCAGAAAACAAACCCAACTCAATTTTTACTCAATGCCGAATACCAAGGCCTAGTACGAGAAAGGCACACCTGTTTCCAGGCATAAATAATGTATTTACCTCAATTACTACTGTCTCACACGAGATGTTTGGCTTTCAAATAAAAGTTACAGAGTACATAGAGAAGGAAGAAACACATTCTTAAGAAACAGACCCAATAAGACACAGATTTTGGACCTATCAGGGAATTTAAAATAGGATTACTATGTTAAAGGCTCCAGTGGAATGAAAAGTAAAACAAAAATGCATGACTAGATAAGGGAATACCATCTAAGAAATGAAAAATATAAAGAATAACAAGGTAGAAATGTTAGAAATGGAAAACACAGTAAGTGAGATGAATGACTTCAATGGGCCCAACAGTAGACTCAACACAGCCGTGGAAAGGACCTAATAAATTTAAACCAAGATCAATAGATTTACCCAACCTGAAATACAAAGGGTGAAAAACAAATGGAGCATCCAAAAGCGGTGGGACTGTATCAGTGGTCTAAAACACATGTGTTTGAATCAAGGAAAAGAGGAAACAGGGTAAGAGATACACTTGAACAGGCAGTGGCTGAGAATTTTCCAAAGCTAATGAACATTGGTATTCAAGTATCTGAATCTCTGTTTTCACTACATTTGGGAAGGCATTCCATCTAGGAGTGGAATTACTGGCTTATGTGGTAATTCTGTGTTTAACTTTTTGAGGAATTGCCAAATTGTTTCCCACAGTGGCTACACCATTTTACATTCCCACCAGCAATGTATGTTCCAGTTTTTTCATGTTCTCATCCTTTTTCTCCCCCACGTTTTTTGGTTTTTAAATTGTAGCCATCCTAATAGGTTTGCAGTGGTGGCTTGGTCCTTCATCTACATCAGGGGTGTCAAACTCATTTTCACCAGGGGGCCACATCAGCCTCATGGTTGCCTTTATGGGGCCAAATGTAACTTTAGGACTGTGTAAATGTAACTACTCCTTAACAGTTAAGTGAGAGCTCAGCGCCGCCACCAGGTAGAAACAAGGGGGAGGGCTGGATTCGGCCCCGGGCCTGTGTTTGACACCTGTGATCTACATCGTCACTTTGGTCATGCTGAAGGAAGGAAAAGAGTACCAGTAAAGAAAATCAACTTCGGGCTTACGGCGCTAATATATATTGAACTTATTGTGATCCATGTTTTCCACTTTTTCAGGTTGGTTGTGCTCTGGAAGATTCTAGCACTTCAGTATCTTCCTGTTCTGATTCAAGACTACGTTTGGCTGGCACATGTGCTTCCCTTAGACTCCCACAGCAAGGCCAGAGAACATGTATTCTTGTAGATAGTCGTGAAATCACTTCTGGTTCAGAAGTCATTTCTTCTCTCAGAGCAATTCATGGCTTTCATGTAGAGGTTTGTCCTCTTAATGGTTGTGATTACATTGTGAGTAACCGCATGGTGGTGGAAAGGAGGTCTCGCTCTGAGATGTTAAACAGTAGTAATAAGAACAAGTTCATTGACCAGATCCAGTACCTGCAGAGCATGTTTGAAAAAATATGTGTGATTGTGGAAAAGGACAGAGAAAAAACAGGTTTGTATTTTAATGTTTTTGTTTTTAAGGTTGTAAAAGAAGTTGACTGTTGATTAGTTCATTCTTCTATCGTCAGGATGTGTGACATACCTGACTCATGAATGTCATTTTGTAGTTACGTAGTGTTTTTCAGTAGTTACTGTGTTCGAATGCAGCTTATGAGAACTGAAGAGAAATAAATTGAAGGCAGGTGAACCAATCATAAGCCTTTTTCAGGAGCCCCAGAAAGGATGTGGACCCTAAAAAAGGCAGTGGTGGGGAAAAAGGATTCAGGTGGTTTGGGAAGCAGGATTAGCAGGAATTGATGGAGTTAATCTTAGGTTGACCAATTTCTTGGTTACTGGACAGTTAGGTAGTGGTGCTGTTTATTGATATTATAAATATAAGAGAATTGGTAGATTTGAGGGCCAAGGGTGTTCAGTTTTGGACACATTAAGACTGGGTTCCAATGGGCCACTGAAATGGATGCCTAGGATGCATTTGGGAATGCAGATTGGAGCTTCATTTGGACGATTTCTACAGGGAGCGTCCGAGAAGAGTGAAAAGATTGTGGGATATGGAATCAGAAGATGCAGACTTCTGGTGTCTATGGCTATGTGACGTTGCATTGAAAAATCACTCCCTCTGAGGAGTACATATACTTGTTTTATTCATCTTGTAATATCATGAGGTTTAAATGAAATAATGTAGGTGAAAGCCGCTATGGAAGAATTCAAGAATTGTATAGTCATTAGGTGAAAGAAAATACTGTGGCCGGTTTGGTGATCCAACAATGAGCCTTTCATCCCCATTATGTCACCGATGGTCTTGGATAAGTCATTCTGTCTTTCAGTAATCCTGTTTGGGCTTTTTCTTTTAAATTTGACAAGTGAGGGCTTTAGGTGATCCTTTGAGTCCTCTTAGTGCTAACATTCTGTAATTTCATCTTCACCTACATAATTTCATCTTATTTCCTTTATAAAGAAAATAATTTGGAATAAAGAGGAAAGTAACATGGCAAGTTATGGAAGAATATCTTTTCTTTTGGAGTATGAAGCATGCCCAAAAAGAATATGGGTAGAATATGGGAAGAAAGTAAATGGGAAATTTAGGGAAGTAAATTAATAGGCAAGAGTTAAAGATGACATTAAAATGGGTCTGCAGAGTATTGAGTTACTGTTGAAATAAATACATAAAATAATTTTATACCAGTTAAACCAGTACTTACCTTTTTATCAGGGCTAGCATTATGAAGAATTACATTAGACATAAGTAGTGTGCTCTTGGCTTTTAGGAATGAATTGTCTAGGAATAGAAGTATTTTCCTGCCTACTCACTTTCCTATGTTGATTCCAATTCAACACACTCATAAAGACAGGTTTCCATGTTTTCTCTCAGATATTGGACAATTTAAATCTTTAGCGGTAGGGTTTTCATTAGCATAATAATGTGGCACTATTTTCCTTAATGGTGAAGATCTTGGGACTTTTTATATTAGTATTAATGATTCTAGTTAATATAAGTTACTAAGGTTTGCATTTTCCTAAATATGAAATACTTAGGAGACACCTCCAGGATGTTTAAGAGAACGAAGAGCTATGACAACCTGCTGACTACCTTAATTAGTGCTGGAATTCGAATTCTTTTCAGTTCCTGCCAAGAAGAAACGGCAGATTTGCTAAAGGATCTGTCTTTATTGGAACAAAGAAAGAATGTTGGTATTCAAGTTCCAGCAGTGAATAGCAATAAATGGGAAGCACTTCAATTTTATCTAAGTATTCCCAATGTAAGTTATATAACTGCATTAAATATGTGTTACCAGTTTTCATCTGTGAAAAAGATGACTAACAGGTATGTATATCTGTTTTAATGTTTTTAAGTGGCTACTTAAAAGCATTTCATATACATTTAATTTTTTTTTTTTAAAGTATATGAGTAGTCTGTTAGAGCATTTCATTCAGGAGAGACTTTTCTTTTTGCCAGCATCTAATTGTCACTGCATGAAGGAGAGGACACCAATGGAGGGAAAAAGGACAGGCATTGCCTTTGAGGAGCTTGGAGCTCTATATGGAACTAGACAGAGAGCATTTACATCAGATGTTGCATTCTAACAATTTTGTATATGTTTAGTTCTGTAACCAGAAAAATATTCAAGTTGAACATTTGCTATTTTTTAATTATTACATTGCTTGAAAAAGATTTTAGAAAATAGGCTAGAGGTTGAAATTGTTAATGATTTTAAATATAGGGAATACAACTAATGCTAAAAACATTACTGGATGTAGAATTCTTAGAAAGAGATTATTATCTTAAAGGCTTTTTATATTTGGTGGTTTTTAAGAAAGATTAAATTTTATAAGTCAAAAAGTTCTAGTGTAATGTTTTTCTTGGTCTATTTTCCAGCTCACCTGAGGAAATCTCCATGTATGCACAAGTAACTCTTCAAAAGGCCGAGGAGATCTGTAGATATATTCACCATGTTTTTGACATGCAGATGTTACCAAATGGTCTTAACCAAGGTAGACGGTAATCTGATGCATGATCAGACTGCTCAAGTGCGGTTATCCAAGAACTGTCACAACACCAAATGCACTGAAATAATCATTGCTGTGGTTTGTGGTTATCAGTTTAAAATATGTAAATAAGAGAGTATTTCCATGTTATTTTATATTGTATTTTTTATTTACATAGGTTATATATTTTTAAAAACCTGGTGTTCAATAATCATTTGATTACCTGGACTAAAAAACTGTATTTTTATTGAGGTTATTAAAAGTGTTATTAGGAAAGTAAAAAGCTAGAGTACATGATTTTGAAATTTTTCCAGATTTTTTTGTACTGTTGTCATTTTTTAGCTTAATAGGCTGATGCATCTGACTTCTGCCAACTTAATGGCCATAAACAATTTTTCCTATAATATCTAGAATATTTTACATGTCCTGAATCTACATAGACATTGGATAAGGTTTGGGTGTATTGTGAGATGAATGGCCCAGTAACTAGGAAAGTTGAAAGTGTAACTTAGTGTATTAATCTTACCAAAGGAAGCCCGATCAAGAGGTGAAATCCTATTAGCGTAGCCCTGACTGGTGTGGCTCAGCGGCTCGGCGGCTCAGCGGCCAGCCTGCGAACCAAAATGTTGCTGGTTTGGTTGCTGGTCGGCACATGCCTGGGTCGTGTGCCAGGCCCCTGACTTGGGGCATGCGACCACCAATCAATGTTTCTTGCACATCAATGATTCTCTCCTTCTCTTCCCCTCTCCCTAAAAAAATAAAATCTTTAAGATACCATATTCAAAGAAGTGATATATGGGTTTGGACTTGGAAAATTTCTTTTTTGTAGATGAGCTACTGAATGTGTACTTTCATTGTGACCCACCACTGTTTGTGGGGCTATTCCTGTTTGAAGACGGCACCATATTCTTCTTACCTGTAACAGCGGGGCCCTTCTAGTCATTCTAGTGCTGAAGCAGCCTTTCATGGTGGACATTTCCCTGCATTTATGTCCCTTCATTCTCTGGTTGCCTTTTTTTGTTACACTGTTGGGTTTTCAAGCCAGTCACAGCAGAGCACTTTCTTACCTTAAACTTGGCAGCACTTCAGAGCTTAACTAATTCAAATTGTTTTTCTCTTTCCTTTGTTATCAGATGATAAAAGTGAGGCCCAGAAACATGTGATTTATGGAACTCTAGAACCAGAACACAGGAACTAGATACTAGATGTTAAAATGTTACTATAATTGTATATTTAGCTCCTTTGGGACAGTATAAATTCCAATATATTATCCCTCAGGTTCAGTTCACCCTTCAGTACCCTCTGCCATAATGGAGTGGACTTCTGAAGCATTTTTACCTATAGTGAGAATGGTTTAAGTTTTGTCAGAAGGAAGCAGGGTCTCTTTCTGGTTTCAGTTTGCTGTTTCGCTTTCCTGCTCCTGATGTAGCGTCAGCAGTGCGTGTGGGTGGGGGGACATCTGGTAGTGTTCTGCCCAGCTGTTTGCAGCAAACCTGCAGTTAGTTCCTCAACAACCTCACACTGACCTGGGCTAATGACCACCTCGCAGCATCTCCCGTGCAGACTCTATGTGTCAAGATTCTATGTCCACCCATCAGGCAAAATATGTCCTGAATTAACATGGTGTGAGGAATATAAACTAGAGGATTTATTTATGCTTGTTGTGTAAAGAGCTTTATTCATATTTAAGCTGCAGTAGGTCTCATTGGTAGCACTTAACTATCAAACTATTGATTACCACTCCATCTTAACTATTTTTCTCTCTGAGCCCTTAAAGCCTTTCTTTTCTACTTTTAAGTCTTCTTTGGAGGTTACCTTAAACCCTGCCAGCTTACCTTATGGCCTCATGGAAAGAAATGGGACTAACCTGGAACTTGGCAGGTGGGATACAATAAAATTAGACTAGGAAGGACTTACAAGTAGTTCTGACAGGACACAGGAACTATGGTGAGTGTGGGGGCAGGAAGTGGTCACACTTTGGTTTGTATCAAGTCTATGCTATTTCAAAATTACTTTTTGTTGCCCAATAAGCAATTTAACTACCTTCTAACTCCTAAAACACTATATTAATATCAAGCAGCATTGTGTTATACTAAATATAATGGCAACTACTAAATATACTGGCAACTTAACTTCTACAACTCTTTATTTTTTACAGCCACTCTAAAATAACCTTAATTTGTTCCATACTACATCTATGCATCAAGTCCCTGTGGCAGAAAAAAAGCATGGGAATTTAAAGGAGAGTGATCTCAGTCTAATTGCATCATTCTTTTTAAATCCCGTGTTTCTCTGAACCCTATATTATGTAACTGCTGATTATTAGACTAAATTCTTAAGACACAAGAAAATTTGTAATTGTTGTTCAAGTACAATTGTTTCCATTCCTCCCTTGCCTCCCATCCCCATCTCCCACCCTGAATCCTCCCCCGTTTTGGCTTTGTCCATGTGTCCTTTATACATGTTCCTTGATGGCCCTTACCCTATTTTCCCCTGTTTTCGCCTTCTCCCCTCCCCTCTGGTTACCATCAGTTCTTTATTAACAAGTTCTGAGGAAAAAAAAACAAACAACCAAAACGCAAATATTATAAAAGCAAACTAATTTTATTTGAACAACCTAACTGGAGAGAAGGGTAGGTGAACGTGTACTGTAACCACAGAGGAACATTCTGTGTCAAATTTTAAAACATAATGGCAGAATAAGCTAAAATAAGTTTTTTTCTCCCCTAAAAGAGCTATCTGAAAGGAAAACAATGTTTACTGTGACATGTTAACTTGACTCCTTACAATAGCAGACCTACTACTTGAACGTCTGTCTCATCTAGTCTTTTTAATACTGAGACCAAATTTAAGCTGTTTGCATATGTAAATAAGGCTTCAGAATGCAACAAAATCTGTTCTCTGATCCTATCTAATACAATAATGAGAAAGCAATAAATTAAAATTTACATAGGTTCAATAGATATACCAATTGCAAGTTTTAAGAAAAACAATCTGGAGAAAAGAAAGCATATCAAATAGTTTCAACAACATGTAAACATCATATCAACTCTGGCCTATATATGCAGTACTGGAAAATGTTAGTTTTACTCAGTAGCTACCAGTACAATCTATCTTTTATTCTTCCCCACCTCCTCCCTTAAAGATAGCAACATTTTCTTGAAAGCTTTTAAACAATTCAGTTTGGAACATGATTTTCTTAAACTTAGATGCTTATGAGAGACCATTTACATATACATATATTTTAACATAGCAAAAACAGAAATTTAGAAATATCTACAAGCAATCAATTTTCCTTATAATTTTAGTAAGCTGCAGCAATGACAAATATTCTATAGAAGGATCTTTAGTTTTGAATACAAACATGTACAATCTTTGAAAAGGAGCCCACAATTTCAAAATAAGTTATAGAAAATATATGTACTCCAAGTGAAGGTACAAAGAGCTGTCTGCTTCTTGATAAAAATACTGGAAATGTTTTCTCATTTTTACTATGCAGAATCAGAGTTTGAAAAATAATAATCTTGCTCTTCTTCATCCAAAGACTCCATAGCATTAGTGAAAAGTTTTCCAATATTAGAGTTTTCTCCTAAGTTTAATAAAAAAAGAACAATACATTTCTAAAAGTAATTTCAATTTTAACAAAAATAACTAAAATAAACCAAATGGTAGGCCTGCCCACTTGAGCAGTCAATTTTAGTACCATGTTAATAAAGAGACTACCCTATAATAGAACTGAAATACAAAAAGAAAGATATAAGTGTATTACCTTTGTTAAATGGGGTTTTTCTTCTTGATGTTGGAGTTGAAAAGTCACTTTCAACCTGTAAGACATTTCATATTAACAGCAAAATGGCACTTCCTGTGAAGCCTGTCTCAAACCTAGACAAAAGTAAGCATGGTTTATCCCCACAGTACTTACAACACCTAGTCCCATTATAATTATCTGTGAAATGTCTAATTTTCTTTTATGTTGAATTTATCTGGGGCAAGAACCATGACTTACTCAGTGTTGTTTCCCACATTACAAACTAATGCAGCAGCAGTTAAAAGATGTCTGTGGGCCCCGAAAGTTGCCAAAATCTACTGAGTACTTATTCTATGACATTACTTTAGGAATATTATAAAGTTCTCTATACTTTATTATTTTTTAATTTATTTGTTTAAATCCTCACTTGAGGGTATGTTTATTGATGAGGCAGAGACATCAATTGGTTGCCTCCCATATACCCCTCAACTGAGGACTGAACCTGCAACCTAGGTATGTGCCTTACCAGGTTTCAAACCTGCAACCCTTTGGTGCACGGGACAATGCGCCAACCAACTGAGCCACCAGCTGGAGCAAATTCTCTGTACTTTATAAAATCTTGGCTACAGTGGGTAGGTTGCATGTACTGCAACCACTGGGGAATACTCTATGTCAATTTTTAAACCATAATGGTAGAATAAATTAAAAGTTTTTAAAAAAAATTTTGTAAGCTTTTAGATGTATATAATACATGCTTACATCAATGAGTGCTTTCTAAACTATTGGCCATAGCTGATTATCTTTAATGAATTAAAAGAAATAGAAAAGAAAACATGACAGTATAACCACTATTCTAAGGGAAGTTTGGGGTTTTTTTTGAAAGAAAACTTGAGATACAAACTCGTGTTCAGAAAATGGGATGTAAATATATTTTTTCCTGTGAAATAAGTCAAAACAGGGTTATATTTCTTAGCTCTCAAAGTCATGTGGAGAGAGAAACCAATTATTATCATGACCCCCAGGTCATCAAATGAAAAATGAGATTAGAAAGCTCAAGTAGCCTCCTTTGTTACAAAGCTGGTATGGGGGAGTCAGACCTCCACACCAGAACTTTCAACATTAAATCCTTTGCTCTTTTCCTTACACACTGGCCACTGATAGTAGTCTATGAAAAAATGGGGCTAAATCACAAAGATGCTATAGTTTGGTGGCTCAAATTATAACCCATTAAGAAAAACAGAAGTAAACAAGCAGTTAAAATGATGCCAGAAATACAGAGATAAGTTTTTAATAGGAAGGGCTCGTATATAAACTTCTCATTAAAATTTTTTTAAAATTTATTTTTATAGAGACAAGATGAGAGGGAGACGTAGAGGGAGAGAAACATCAATTGTTTGCCCCTTGTATATGCCCCAACTGGGGATTGAACCCACAACCCAGGCATGTGTCCCCATTGGGAATTGAACCAGTGACCTTTGCTTTGCAGAACAACACCCAACCAACTGAGCCATATAGGCCAGGGCAGAACTTATCATTTTTAAGAGAACAGTGGATGAGGGTCTTGCCACTACTCAGTATAGTCTGTGGGTGAGTTGCAGGGGCATCAATGGGAGGTTGTTAGAAATGCAGAATCAAATCTAGTGGATCAGATCCTAGGGTTTAACAAGATTCTTAGGCGACTTTCATGCACATTCAAGTTTGAGAAACACTTGTCAAGGCAAACCAACTTCTACTGGCAAAACAGGGACTAGAAGGCAAGTCTCACTATGCTATAGTGATTCCTGGTCCTTTGCAACAAACCAAAATTTCATTTTCGTAAGGAATGTGGGGCTGGAAAAGGGGAACCTAAACACCAAGAGAGGAGTCTGTCTACATCTTCGATTATGGAGTAGAGATTTCTTTTGAAGAATTTAGTGTCCAGGCTGATTTTAACCCAAGGTTCCTATAGGTATCATTTTTTGTGGACAAGTGATACCCATAAAGATTGGATATGATTTAAGTAATCCCAATGTTTAGTTTAGAGACTGATGGAATTTTACTCTGGCAAGTGTGCAATATATTTCAACATGGGTGAGGGAGGAAAAGATGGCCATAACCTGGTCAGAGGGAATATACCTTCAGGGGATGAGGCATCATTCCCCATTCTACTACCTCCATAAACTCTCATTCTCTAAAATTAGCTATTCACTTTGAAGAAATTTGAGGTGAATTAGCTTTTTCAGAATACTTGCACATTTATCTGGATATCCAAAATAAAAGCAAACTAAATATTTAAAAATTAATTCAAAAGGATAAAGGATTCTCCCAATATTTTTATCAAAGGGATAAGGCAACTCTGAGTTAAATTTTTTTCTGTAATTACATTTTAAATCTTGATCTGTGGATATAAATCATGTAGCTGAATGTGAAACCATCCTAAAGCTGAATGGGATTTGGTGGAGTTTCTGATTCTATGACAATCATAACTCAATTAGTCTGGATCATTCCCTTATCATTGAACAGATGTTATGCTTTTGTGTCTTGCCTGAAATATCCTTCCCTGGTCTATACATACTTTCCCCACTGGGCATCTCTGAATGAAATGTTTTACTATTCACTTTCCTCAAATGCTTTAGTCTATCAATTGCCATTTGTAACCCTATAGCACTTATGTACCGTGCTTACCTCATTCATAGCCTTGTATTCTCATTTACTTGTGTTAGTCTGTAAGCACCTTGAGGGTAAGGTATGTTACATAACTTATGACTCCCACAATTTGCCATGTATTATATAGCTGTTTACTAGATATGCATTGAATAAATCTGGTGTGAAGGATAAAAATACTTACTGTTTTTTTCTTGAGATTGCCCCAGACAATGCCACCTTTACTTTTATGTTTTTTTTGCATATGAAAAACATATTTATCACAATCATTCCTGTTTGAATACAAAATAATTACAAGTCCATATCAACTACCATACTTTTATCCACAAATTAAACAGCAGTTGGCAAAATTAATTTAAGATGTGTTTCAATCTTTAAAAAGTGTTTTCTTTTCCATTTGTAAAAAGACAATGGTGGATACCCAGAGAGATAGATGGACAAAAAGCTTCAAACATTTAAAGGAAACAAATATCAAATAAAAATATTCTAGGAAATTATGGTTTTGCTTATTGTTCATTGTTCTATCTGTGCTCTTTCCCATCTCTATCTTGCTGCTGCCTCATTCCCAAAACTGACCACGACTTCTCATCCCTGGGCTCCCTTTTGTTACATCTTTTACTTCTTCCTTGTCACTTCCTTCACTGTCCAGATGGAATCGTGAAGTTGGTAACTTAAAGGATACACCTGCTGATGAAAACTCTTAATTTATAGCTTTCAACAAGCCTTTTATTTACAGTTACATCTTTCTTACATTCCCCAATACCAACTATGAAGTTTTTTACATTTCTATTTACCTTAGTTCTTTCCCCTCTCATTTTTAGCAAATAGTCTTGACTATTAATTTAGAGATGAAAATTGTTGGCAAACAGAATTGTTTTTTGTTTTAAAATTTTATTTTAGAGAAAAGGGAGAGAGGTTGAGAAATAACAATGTGTGGTTGCCTCTTGCACGCCCCCAACTGGGGACCTGGCCCATAAGACAGGCATGTGCCCTGACTGGTAATTGAACCGGCAACCCTTTGGTTCGCAGGCTGGTGCTCAATCCACTGAGCCACACGAGCCAGAGCTTGCTTTTTTCTAACAGTAACTACCAGCTCAACACCTATTCTAATTCTTTCTGTTGGCTCCAAGGTCTTATATGATTATGCTTTGCTTTATAACTATTATGGAGCAACTTTAAAAGTTTGACATGTAGAAATTTATAAATGTGTGACTGTATCAAGGTATAATGTATACCACACACACTGTTGCATATTACTCAAAGCAATATACAGATTTCATGTAATCTTCATCAAAAGCTCAGTGACATTATTTGTGTGGAACAACAAAAGACCCTCAATAGTCAAAGCAGTCCTGAGAAAAAAAGAGCAAAGTTGGAGGTATCACATTCCCTGACTTCAATGAAAATCAAAACAACATGGTATTGGCAGAAAAACAGATACACAGACCAAGTGTAACAGAACTGAGAGCCCAGAAATAAATCTACATATATATGGGCAAATAATTTTTGACAAAGGAGCCAAAAACATGATGGACAAAAGAAAGCCTTTTCAATAAATGATGCTGGGAAAATTGGAAAGCCACATGCAAAACAAGGAAACTAGACTACAGTTTGTCCCATGTACAAAAGTTAAATGGATCAAAGACTCAAATGTAAGCTCTGAAACAATAAATTACATAGAAGGAAACATAGGTACTAAACTATGGACTTTGGCCATGGAGAATATTTTAATGAATTTGATCCCAAAAGCAAGAGAAGTAAAGTAAAGGCAAAAACAAATGAATGGGACTATATCAAACTAAAAAAGCTTCTGAACAGCGAACTGCTAACAAAATAAGAAGGTATTAGTCAAAACATATGAATGACCCACTGACATGGACAACAATGTGGGAATTAACTGTGGGAGTTTGGGGTGGGCTGGGTGTAGGGGAGCAAAGGGGAAAAAGTGGGACAACTATAATAGCATCAATAGTAGAATACTTAATAAAACAATAAAGATTCAATCAAAACAAAATGGCAACCAACTGAATGGGATATGATCTCTGCAACCAAACATCTCCAATAGGGTGTTAATATCCAGAATTTCGATAAAAAACTCATACAACTCAACACCAAGCAAACAATCCAATTTAAAAAAATGGGCAGAGGACTTAAACACCTCTCCCAAGTCACACAAATTGCCAAATTGCAGATATATGAAAAGATGTTCAACTTCACTAGGTATAGGGAAATGCAAATCAAAAACTACAATGAGATACCATCTCACACCTGTTAGAATGGCTATCATCAACAACACAGGTAATAACAAGTGTTGGAGAGGTTGTCGAGAAAAAGGAACCCCTGTTCAGTTTGGTGGGAATGTTAACTGGTACAGCCACTATGGGAAACAGTATGGAAGTTTCCCTCAAAATTTAAGAATAGAGCTACCATATGACCCAGCAATCTTTCTGGGGGGAACAAATGAAAACATTTATTTGCAAAGATGTATGTGCCCCTATGTACAATGCAGCATTATTCATGGCGGCCTAGACATGGAAACAACTTAAGAAATGTCTTTCAATAGATGATTGGATATAGAATATATGGTACATGTACTATGGAATATTGCTCAGTTATAAGAAAAAATGAAATACTGCCACTTGCAACAACATGGATGGACCTTGAGAATACTATGCTAAGCAAAGTCTGCCAGAAAGAGCTAAGAACCATGGTTTTCCTCATGTGGGGGATATAAAGCAAACTCAGACACAGACAACATGGTGGTTATCAGAGGTAAGGGAGATGTGAGTGGTTGTAAAAAGGGAGCCAAATAAATGGTGACGGAAGATGATTTGACAGTATGATGTACAGATCATGTATCATGGAAATGTACACTTGAAACATATATAATCTCAGTAACCAATGTCGCCATGATAAATTTAATTAAGAGTCTGTTGTCAGGTACAATGAGATCACTTCTGAAGTGACAGAAACTTTCATTATTTAAAACTGTTATAAAAAGGAAGTCAACTAGAGCTGGTGTGAGTGAAGAGACAGTAAAGGAGGCCTAGGAAACTTATTTTTTAAAATAAAAGTTTTAGAAAATGTATTCATTATATAAGTCCATCATATGCTTTAAGAAAGTCTTTTTTCCTTAATTGTAAAAATAATAATAAAAAGCCCCCCCCACGCCACAAGCCACATCAGTGTAATTCTAGAACTTTGAGGTAATAGCTGATAATGTTTTTGGTCAAGAAACTTCCTTTCTCTTATGTACATGTGTTATGTAAATTGGGATCATATTGTATATAGTTTTACTTGTTAGCTTTAAAACTCTTATCCACTGGACATTATTGTCATTAAAAATTTTTGAAGGCATGATTTTTATTCCTACATATTCTATTATATGGACAAATCCTAATTCTCATTTGAGTTTAAATGCCTTTTATCTTTTTTTTTTCCTTAAAAAGTCTTTTTTTTTTTTTCCCAAGATTTTATTTATTTATTTTTAGGGAGGGAAGGGAGGGAGAGGGAGAGAGAGAGAGAGAAACATCAATGTGCGGTTGCTGGGGGTTATGGCCTGCAACCCAGGAATGTACCCTGGCTGGGAATCGAACCTGGGACACTTTGGTTCCCAGCCCGCGCTCAATCCACTGAGCTATGCCAGCCAGGGCTGCATTTTATCTTTTAAAAATTACATGACTTTATTTTTTTTCTACTGTAAATAATTTTTATTTGTCAATTACAGTGGACACACAATAGTTTGTTTCAGGTGTACAAATTATGAGTTCTAAAGATAAATTCCTAGTTCTATAGATACATTTATAGTGCCAAAGAATGAATTCTTAGATCTGAAAGTAAATTTCTATTGTACTTCTAAAGATAAATTCTTAGATCTAAAGATGAATATCTAGTACTAAAGATACATTCTTAGTTCTACAGATAAATTCCTAGTCCCCAAAACTGAATTGCTATGTCTAAGGATAAATTTCTTGTTTTAAAGATAAACTCCTAGATATGAAGTTAAATTTTAACTTTTTTAACTTTATTTTTTCTTTTTCAGTTATAGTGACATGCAATATTATATTGTTTCAGGTGTAAAAAATCTTAATTCTACAATGAATTCATAGTTCTATAATACATTCCTTGTCCTTAAAACTGAATTTCTAGATCTAAAAATAAATAGAAAATTACATGACACAAAAAAATCAACAAAAAAACAATGCCTCCACTCCGAATCAAGGTCAAATAAATGGAGCGCGCAAAAGAATGTTAAGTGCCATTTGTTCTAGTCCTGGCATGTAGATGAAAAGCAGCAGCCAGTTACGATGTTAAATGATAGACCCAAACTGCCAAATTTGTTAACATTTTTCCATTTCTAAACCATCCTTAAAGAGAATCATATGTGGATAGCACCCTTCTCTGTAGTCCAGCAGAGCAATCATACGTCTGGATTCATTGTGTTCACCCATCACAAAGTGGTAGTTTTTCATATTAGCAAGGATGTGCTTGATTGTTCTGCAACCCCTGTTATAAAAAGCTCACTCTTTCAGGTCCCTATTCCTCAAAGCTTCCCTTTGACTGGTTTCATGTCATCTTTGATGTACTTTCTGTGGGCTTCTTTTGTGAATCTGGTTTCCTGTACATGATGGCTTAGGACAATACCAACTCCAGTGATGAAGCTGCTTTGGCCTTGGGGCATTCAGTAGAGGCATTTCCATCAACGAGCAAGTCATCCCTGTTACCCTCTGTCCTACTGACCATCTTACCCTGCACCTCTAAGGCACAGCTCCTCTGCTTCTCCCGATTCATATTGGAGGATGTCTCATCATGGCTGAAGAGGTCCCTGTAGATACTCATGATGGTGGCCAGACGGAGATGCAGAGGCGCTGGCTTAGCGGGAGCCGGGAGCACAGAGTGGTGCCCAGGGAAAGGGAGGAGGGAGTGCAGAAGGCCCCAAATCCTAATTTCTTAACTTTTCTTGTTATTGGATATTTGGGTCAATTCCGAATTTTCAGTGTTAGGTTTTATGATGAACATTTTTGCTGCTACAAATGTATATATGTACCTGCCCAAACCTATCATTTTAGAACTAATTAAATTAAAAAATAAACAAAAATAATTTGTGACTTGCTAGGGAAAAATGTTTTTGCCAAATAAATGCAAATTAAAATTCTACCAGGATTCATGAGAGTACTGAATACTGTTTTTTGAGTCATTATTGTCTGGCTTCTCCTTCTCACATCCATGGAAATTATTCTTACTAGGTGATCATTGTCCTGCTTAAACGCAAGATGGAATGTCCTATTTTTAGGCCTTCTTATTACTCTCTATCTCTTCTCTGTGATATTTTACTGTTGGCCACTCTATTTTTCTTGATTTTATTTATATTTCAAACAGTTCCTATATTCACATAGCTCAAAATTCAAAGTCTCCCAAGATATCTTAGTTCCCCTCCCTAGGAATCCAACAGTGTTTTCAATTTCTTATGTATCTTTTCAGAGGTCTTTAATTAAATAAAGCAATTATGTACATATACTATAATACACATTATATTATAATATACATACACTCACATATATTACCCCTATATACATAAATGGCAACCAATTAATTCATTGTATGTAACTTTTTCCACTTACTACATTGTGGACATTTTATCATAATAGTACATAAAAAACTTCATTAGTTTCTATAGCTACACAATGTACCAGAATGAGTCTCTTTGATAAGATATTTGAGTTGTTTTCAGTATTCTGCCATTATAAACAATACAACAAGGAATCAGTTGAACATTCACAATTTTAAAAGTAGGATTGCGTATGTACATTTATAATTGTGATATATATTGACAAAATGCTGCCTTTAGAGACTGAACTAATTTACCTTCTTGCTGCCAATTCATGAGAATGGCTTTCCTAATTTGTAGGAGTGCTGTATCAGGGAAATAGCTTTATTCCTGTGATGAATTTGACAGTCTTTCCGCAAACTGTTATTTGTCTTTTATAGGGATAATACTGATCAAAAAGGTTATATACGAGTAGGTTTCAAGTGTACAGTGTAAGACATCATCATATATTGCATTGTGTTTATCACCCAAAGTTTAGTCTCCTCCCATTACCATATATTTGACCTTCCTACTCCTCTGACAACAACCAACTATTCCGTGTCTATGAGTTGTTATTCATTCATTTGTTGGTTTGTTTTATATCCCACATATGCATGAAGTCATGATTCTTGTACTTTTCTATTTGACATATTTTGTTGAGCATGATACTCATCCCTGCATTTTGTTGCAAATGGCAGTATTTCATCTGCTCTTATGGCTGAGTAGTATTCCATTGTATGTGTGCACCTCATCTTTGTTCAATCACCTACCAAAGGCCCCTTGGGTTGTTTCCATGTCCTGGCTACCATGAATAATGATGCAGTAAATATACAGGCACCTATATGTTTATGAATAAATATTTTCAAATTTGGGGGGTAGATACCCCAAAGAGGGATTGCTGGGTCAAATGGTAACTTGATTCTTAATTTTTTGAGGAACCTCCATATTGTTTTCTATAATGGTTGTCCTAATTTACTTTCACACTAGCAGTGTATGAGGGTTCCTTTCCCTCTACATCCTCTCCAACCATTGTTATTTGTCATCTTTTGATTACTTACAGTTGCTGGGTAGCAGGTAAGATTTTTAAAATATAGATGACAACATTCTTTTTGCTAGTTATAATGAACTTCACTAATCTAGATTATAAAATAATTCTCCAAAGTTATTTTAGGTATATTTTATAGTTTAAACTTTGATTCACTTGGAATTTATCCTCATAAAGTGTATCCCAACATTATTGAATAACTCCTCTGCTTGCTCAAACTGTCTATCCTTGACTTCTAGGAACTATTCTTAATTTTTTTAAACTAACAATGACTTTTCTCATTATTGACATCTACTCTCTTCAACTCATAAAGTGATAAATGCTGATGCAGAGAATTATAGTATCATAAATATTTACCTGTTTATAGGGGCTAGCATTCCAGGACTGACATGCTGACACTGAGGAGTTTTTGCCAATGGAAAGATAACTGATGACGGAGTTGTTGGATTTCTGTCCATATTTGGCAGAATATCCTCCTCTTCTTGACTGTACTGGAAATTCGGCAGCTAGAAAGCAAATATTCATTATTAGCAAGAAGCCTTAAAAATAAAATTGTTGATTGTCACAAAATGGTTTTGGTGGGCTGATAACTTTTTTCTGTCTTATAATTTTCTGAGATAATGAAAAATATTAGTAGGCAGAGATATAGCACTGAGGAACTTCCAGTCAAGATGGGGCATAAACATGACTCAACTCCTCACACAACCACATCAAAATCACAACTAAATTATACAACAGCCATTATCAGAACATCAGAAATTGAGTTGAATGGAAGTCTGACAACTACGGAATTAAAGAAACCATACCCATCCAGACTGGTAGAAGGGGCGCAGACATGGAACAGGGTGGTCCCACATCCATGAGCAGTGGATAAAAATTCAGGAGGGATAACTCAGGAGTAAGGAGTTCCAGCCCCACACCAGGCCCTCCAGCCACGTGTTCTAATGCCAAGAAGATAAGTCCCCATAACTTCTGGCTGCAGGGACTGAGTTGGTTTAAGAAACTTCAGGAGTCCCAAGCAGTTCCTCTTAAAGAACCCACAAATGGACTTACTCAGACTCGTTCCCTCTGAGCTTCAGCACCAGGGTAGCAACTTGAAAGGCACTAGTGGCATATGGGGGGGGGAACTGAAGTGTCTGGCTTCAGGCAGGAACTAGGGGACAGCTTTCTCCCAGACAGAAAGGCAGGTCATTGTTCCTTTTTCAACCTGATCCCACAGAGCTACAGAGCTGGCAGGCAGGTGCCATATCTGAGACTCCATTAACCTAACACTTTTTTCTCTGCTCTGGAGATCCTCTGAGACTGTCTTGCCCAGCTTACAGGGACACCAAGTTGTTACCAGAGACTTTCCCATATGAATGACTGGTCTTGTCTCATACTTCACAACTTCCTAAATCCTATCAAACAATCCTAGCAGGCCTCAGTAAGCCCTCAGTCCCCATATCTCTTGTTGTGGCCCTAGACCTAGTACTAGCAACAACCAGCCTAGATTTACAGCTTGGTTTCCCCTGGGAATCTCCAAGTCCAACATAAGTATCAATCATCTCAGATTGCTTTATAACTCAGGCAGGGTGTCCCCAGGGAAAACAAAAATGGTGCTGACCTTGTTGGCCTGCGCACTCAGCGGTCAGCTGCAAACCACATCAGAGCACTACCACCCTGCCCCTGCATGGCTGATTCTCCACAGAAGGAGGTTAGTATTCAGTGGTCACAGCCAGTCCTTACAGCCAGCTGGCTTGGGTAAATCCCTCCCATTGACCGGCCAACAGCAATCAAGTCTCAACTACAAGAGGAGGGTGTACTCAGCCCACAGAAGGACATACCTTGAGTACCCAGCTTGGGTGATAAGGGAGGCTGTGCCACTGGACCCTACAGGACACCTACTATATTAGGCCACACTACCAAGACAGGGAGTCATAGCAGCTCTACCTAATACACAGAAACAAACAGGGAGGCTGCTAAAACTAGGAGACAAAGAACTGTGTCCCAAATGAGAGAACAGATCAAAACTCCAGAAAAATAGCTAAATGAAATGGAGATGAACAACCTATCAGATGCAGAGTTTAAAACACTGGTTGTAAGGATGCTCAAGGAACTTAGTGAGGACCTCAGCAGCATAAAAAAGATCCAGTCAGAAATGAAGGATACAATAATTGAAATAAAGAACAATTTACAGGGAAACAACAGTAGAGTGAATGAAATCAAGAATCAAGTCAGTAATTTGGAATGTAAGGAACCAAAAACAACCAATCAGAACAAGAAAAAAGAATATAAAAAAAGGAGGATAGTACAAGCAGCCTCTGGGAAAACTCCAACCATTCCAACATTCAAATCATAGGATGCTAGAAGGAGAACAGAGGTAACAAGAAATTGGAAATCTATTTGAAAAAATAATGAAAGAAAATTTCTCTAATTTGGTGAAGGAAATAGACATGCAAGTCCAGGAAGCACAGAGTCCCAAACAAGATGGATGCAAAGAGGCCCGTTCTAAGACACATGATAATTAAAATGCCAAAGGTGAAAGGTAGAGAATCTTAAAAGCATTTTAAGAGGAATGCAACAGAAAAGCAGTTGGTTTCTTATAGGGGAGTTCCCATAAGACTATCACCTGATTTCTTAAAAGATTCTCTCAGGCTAGAAGGGACTGGCAAATATTCAAAGTTATGAAGAGCAAGGACCTACAGCTAAGATTGCTTTACTGAGCAAATATATCATTTAGAATCAAAGGGCAGATAAAGAGCTTCCCAGACAAGAAAAAACTAAAGGAGTTCATGATTACCAAATGATTATTATATGAAATGTTAAAGGACTTATTTAAGAAAAAGATATAAAAAATATGAGCAATGAAATGGCAATAAATATGTATCTATTAACAACTGAATCTAAAAAACAAATTAAACAGGAGAGACAGAATCCGGGATATGGAGAGTGTTCTGATGGTTACCAGATGGGAGGGGCATGTAGGGCCATGGGTGAAGAGGTGAGGGGATTAGGAAGTAAAAAATAAGTAGTTACAGAATAGCTATGGGATGTAAAGTGCAGTATAGGAAATGAAGCAGCCAAAAAACTTATATGCATGACCCATGGACATGAACATTGGTGGGGGGATTGTCTGTGGGAGGAGGGGGTGCTGGGTGGATGGGAGCCCGGGGGAAAAACTGGCACAACTGTAATAGCATAATCAATAAAATATAATTAAAAAATAAAATAGAATAAAATTTTAAAACTCTCTAAAAAAATTAGTAGGCTTCTCCTCTAAAAAAACTTAGTTTCTGTTGTGTAAAGATGTAAAGAGTAACATCTATTTCTAAAAGCTTGTAGACCAGGGTCAGCGGATGTTTTCTTTGAAGATTCAGATAGTAAGTATCAATATTTTGGTTTTGTGGTCCACACATACAGTCTCAACAAGGCAACTAACTCTGCTGTTGTAGTTGGAAAGCAGCCACAGCCAGCATGTAAACACTGGGCTCATCTGTGTTCCAATAAAATTTTGCTTACAAAAAAAGGTGGTATGCTGAATTTGGCCCATGGGGACAGTTTGCTGACTTCTTGTGTAGACCATACAGAACAAAACTGTAATTTATTTACTATTATGCATGGTACTTAATATGAACTCAAGCAGTGTTAAACTTTTGTGTGTATAAATGTGCAATAAGCAATTCAATCTTTAATTAATATTTCACTTACCTTTATATTAAAACCTTAGAGAAAGTAGACTTAAGTATGCCAGAGAAAATGAATTAATTGCTACTTTCTCTATTTATTATTACCTTTGCTTTTGAAATGTTGAGACTACTGCATTTAGTCCAAAACATATATAGAACCTGAAATGCTGGTGGACTAATATAATGGGTACAATTCCCAAAGGTTGTTGTGCAGAGAACAGATTAAGAGCCTCAATGGCTACCTTAAAATGCCTTAAAATACCCGTGTAGGCAAAGGAGCCCCAGATAATGTTACTAAATTATTAAAGCATTGCTTAGCCTTTTAAAATTTAATAATATTTTTAAAAGGGGTAAATGAAACAAGTATCCCTAAGTCTAGCTCACTAAAAAAAATTCTTTCAGTGTTTACACTTAATAGTCCAGGTGTCTAGATCCATCTCTCTTTGTACTACTTTGACCCTAATATTCTTAACATTTGTATTTAGATTCAAGAAACAGTCTCAAATCTGCAGTTAATATTTGTACTGTATTTCACCATGTTTATGAAGAACATGCTTAGTGCGTAAATGCATTGATTCCAGTTTTTTTCTTTTTTTTGCTGTAAAGATAAACCTGCAATGAGTTTCTCTGTGAAGATTTTTGTCTTCTTTTCAATTTCTTAGGATAAATTCCCATAGTAAAATTAATGTTTATAGTTGTCATATGTTGCCATAATGCTTTCAAATGGTATGCTTCAACTCTGCATCCACTGACGTATAACTGTATCAACATCTCCATAGCTTTTTGTTAGTGGATATTTTAACTTACTTTTTAAAATGATTCTGTAATTTAGAAGATATACTTACATATAAGTTACTTTGTCTTCCTTTGATCACAAATAAAATGGCCAGTTTGTTCAGACTTTTTCTTTTTCTGGTTTACATAGATTTTATTATTATTGAGCCTAAAATGCTTTACATTACAAGCAAAGGTGAAATTACTAATTCATTAGCCTGTGAATATCATTTTTTAAAACTTTTTCTGTGATCTTGACATTTTTTATATACCAGTAACATATGAGTGAGTTCTTCATATTACAAATACTATAGGCTTTGTTTTATTTTTTGCAAATATTTTATTCTAATCATGAAGTTTTTAGTTATATGATTTTTCATACTACAAAAATTGTTTTAGACATTCAAATTGGTCAACTTGTGCTATCACTTAATCCTTTCCCTGAATATACTATACAATAGGTACCATCTTTTCTTGTCACTTTTTTCTTTAAAAAATTTTGCCTCATTGCATTTGAATTTTAAATATATGTTTGGACTATTTCTGGGTTTTCTATTTGATTCTATAAACATTATCTGTGAACCCCACTGAAGGATGGACTCTGGACACTCATGAGAATGGCATGTACTGGTAGACTGCTTCCTGTACTACACTTAGTCATGTCTGTGGAGACTATCAATCCGTGAACTAAATGTTAGGGATGAATACTAACCATGTATAATAATAAGAGATATAAAAGTCAATATAAAGAAAACAGTGATTTCTGCATTCAAAATTCTTACCAGTACTCTTTGATTCTTCAAAGGTGTTGTACTGAAAAAATCATCATGGTCATCTTTTGGCAACTGTTCCAGAAAATCCCTCATCTGCTGCTTCCTTTTAAGAGTTCCCACTTTGGCTGTTATCTTAATAGTTTGCTCCTGATCCGTATCATCTCTCTTTCTCTTGCCTTAAGAGTCAGCAAAACATTTTGGTAAGAACTTGGTCATTTAGACTAAGTGTTCTAAAGTTAACAAACTTGGTAAAATCTAAATTGTATGTTCAAATTAAGTAAACTTATCCTCTCTTATTAACATTTATAAGTTTCCTATATAACAAATGATCCTTTCTATACTGTGCTTGGTATAATATGATTGGCCTGTAAGATACCCATGAAGACAATACATATAAGATTAAGCAGGGTACAGTTGAAAAGGTCTTTATCTCATGAGAAAGGTTACCTCCCACACTCCTCTTACTGATGACAAATTTGTTGATTTTGCTAAAATATAAACCTCATTGAATTAGAATAGGGATACTGGATACTCCCTAAAGCTTAGTATAGGACTTCTCTGGCATAAACTTTGGGTAGAAGTGTATACTCCTCCCATGAAAACTAAATTTCTTCTGAGTTTTCTTATGAATTACTAGGGGACCCTACCCAAGCACCCAAAAATCAGACCTTGAGGACAATAATCCAGATACTATAATCTCTGGATCCAAATGCAGAATTCCTAGAACAAACTCAAAGCACAAGGTTGCTAAAGGTAACTGATGGAATTAGCTAGATAAGATTTCAAAAGTAAACAGCTGACCTTTGGAGTTCTTTCTAGCTTTAAAACTGTAAAAAAACAGCTATTATAAGACGCATAGGTAAACATAAAACATGTCTAATGAGTGATTAGAAATTGATACTGAGAATTAGGAAAAATTATTTACTATAAAGCTTACCATTTTTTTTGCTTTTGGGATTGGCTGGCTTTTTCTTAGTCACATGTGTCTGGGATCCATTTCCTTGGGAATCTTCCATGTATTTCCTCTGGCATTCTTCAGCAGACCAAGAACCTACAGCCATAGCTACATCTGACCAGAAACCAGGTTTTTGCTTAGGAAGAGATGCATAAGCACTATGGAAGACCAAAACCAGTTAAGGAATAAGAAATTCAAATAAATAAAAATAACCTCCTGAATGTATATCACTAAATCAATGAGATTTACTGAGTTAAAAGAATCTTACCAAAATCATTCTATAGGTAACTATTTGGAAAGAAGGTATCACTCCCTATACTCAGTAACTTATACTAGTGCTTAAAATATGAAGATGTAATTTAACATATTTAGTAGATGCATTCTAATTTGCTGCATTCTAACCTGAAAAATCATCCCCAGACTTAAGACATTTGTTCCTAAGTCCAACTAATCAATGATTTGATCTTTTGGGGTACTCTAGCATGACTACGTTTTGTACATTGTTGCTCAAATGTCACCGGTGCTAAAATGTATTGGAAGATGAGTTCTTAGGTTATATGTATTCCAGGTTATAAACTCAATCAAAAGTATTATGCTTGCTTTCATTATAGTATTATATTTTACAGAACAGAGTATTTTAGACATAATACTTTAGGGAAATGAAAATTGAAATAGGAGAAAGCTAAGTCAACATCAGGTATTTCTTCATTTAAACAAATGAGTTACATTCTGAAAGTTCATTTGTAAATGATTATTTAGAATTTGGTACACATATTATTGTACTACACCATCACTCTCCCGAAATAGATTTTATACATTGTGGTTAGTCTGACAGTTCAGCCTGTAGAGATCTATTTAACTCACCAATTAATGTATAGTGTTATACTGATAAATTTTTAACAAACAGCTCTCTGGGATTAAAAATTCCTTCTTTGCAGTGTTTGAAAATTTCCATATTGTAGATACCAGTAAGGTGGCTGATTTCAAGCTATCAATGTGATGTCACTAAATGAGAAATAAGAAATGTGCCATGGTGGACTTCTGGTCCAGATAGCAGCACAGGCAGATATGGCTTGCCTATTCACACAACCACATCAAAATTACAACTAAAATATAAAAAAAATACCACTCAGGAACATCAGAAATCAAGATGAATGGAAGTCTGAAAACTATGGAATTAAAGAAACCACATCTATTCAGACTGGGAGGAGGGGCACAGATGCAGAAGGGGTTGGTCCAAGCAGCCAGGGCAGAAAGGACACATGGCAAGGTGGCAGCTGGAGGACTAGGTGGGTGAGGCAGAGACTGGCGGTCCCACATTTGTGTGTGGATAAACTGGGAGGAACAAGTACAGAGCATGACAGATTGTACAACCCTGGGTTCTAGTGCAGTAAAAGAAAACCCCAAAACTTCTAACTGTAAAATCCTGTGGGGGTTGAGGCGGCAGGAGAAACTCCTAGCTCACAGGAAATTCCTTTGGAGGGAACCACAGGGTCCTAGAATGTACACAAACCCACCCACCTGGGAATCAGCACCAGAAGGGCCCAATTTGCTTGTAGGTACCAGGGGAAGGCACTGAAAGAGCTGCGAGCCGAGCAAGTGGCATTTTTCTTTCTCTGACCACCCCCTCCCCCACATACATCCACAATACAGTAATGTGGGTTGCTCCACTCTGGCATTGTAAGGCTCCGCCCTTTATAATATAACAGGTGCGCCAAGACAACAAAAAAATAGTCCAAATGAAAGAACAGATCAAAGTACCAGAAAAAACACATCTAAGCAATGAAGAGATAGCCAACCTATCAGATGCAGAGTTCAAAACACTGGTAATGAGTGAGGATGCTCCCAGAAATGGTTAAATATGGTTGCAAAAAAAAAAAAGAGGAAAAAGTGAAGGCTATGAAAAGTGAAATAAAGGAAAATGTACAAGGAACCAACAGTGACAGGAAGAAAACTGGTACTCAGATCAATGGTTTGGAGTAGAAGGAAGAAATAAACATTCACCCAGAACAGAATGAAGAAACAAGAATTCAAAAAAAATGAAAAGAGGCTTAGGAACCTCTGGGACAAGTTTAAACATTCCAACATTCAAATCATAGAAGTGCCAGAAAGAAAAGAACAAGAGCAAGAAATTTAAAACTTATTTGAAAACATGATGAAGGAGAACTTCTCTAATCTGGCAAATGAAATAGACTTCCAGGAAGTCCAGGAAGCCCAGAGAATGCCATACAAGTTGGACCCAAGAAAGCACATGCCAAGGCACATCAGAATTCCATTACCCAAGATTAAAGAGAAGGAAAGAATCTTTTTTTTTTTTTTAAAGATTTTATTTATTTATTTTTAGCGGCGGGGAGAGAGAGAGAGAGAGAGAAACATCAATGTGCGGTTGCTGGGGGTTATGGCCTGCAACCCAGGAATGTACCCTAGCTGGGAATCGAACCTGGGACACTTTGGTTCCCAGCCCTCGCTCAATCCACTGAGCTACGCCAGCCAGGGCTAGAGGAAAGAATCTTAAAAGCAGCAAGAGAAAAGGAGACAGTTACCTACAAAGGGGCTCCCATAAGACTATCAGCTGATTTCTCAAAAGAAGCATGCAAGAAGGGGCTGGAAAGAAATATTCAAAGTCATGAAAGGCAAGGACCTACCTATATCTATGATTACCCTATCCAGCAAACCTATCATGTAGAATGGAAAATAGAGTGCTTCCCAGATAAGGTCAAGTTAAAGGAGTTCATTGTCACCAAGCCCTTATATGAAAAGTTAATGGGACTTATCTATGAAAAAGATAAAAAATATGACCAGTAAAATGATAACACACACACACAACTATCAACAACTGAACCTAAAAAACAAAAACAAAAACTAAGCAAACAATTAGAACAGTAACAGAATCACAGAAATGGAGATCACATGGAGGGTTATCAGCAGGGAGGGGAAGGGGGAAGAATGGGGAAAAGGTACAGGAAATAAGAAACATAAATGGTAGGTGCAAAATAGGGGGAGGTTAAGAATAGTATAGGAAATGGAGAAACCAAAGAACCTATATGATTGACCCACGGACATAACAAAGAGGGGGAATGCTGGTTTGAGAATGTGTGCAGGGTGGAAGGAAATAAAGGGGAGAAAAAAATGGGACAACTGTAATAGCATAATCAATAAAATATACTAAAAAAAAATAAATAAATGTGCCATGACACACCATTATGTAGAATTTCTATCACACACGTACAATAGATGTCAAGAACCTTAAGTATATATATATGTATATAATAGTAAAATGTACTAAAATAATTAGGAAGTGATGAGTTTAGAGTATAGTTATTTTTAATATTCAATGACTGTTAAACAATAAATTTATAGGATTCCTGAAAATTTAAGAAACCAGCTCTTGTGAACAGGTAACAGCTAACTACATAATACCATTCACTCCATGTAGAAAAGGAGAAAAAGTACTTATGGTTATTATATACTGTTAATGATCTACTCTTTTTCATAACTAATCAACCCACATTTGATCTAAAGTGGAACAATAGATTTGGGGGCTCAAGCTTACTTAGATGTGTATATAGCTAATTTTCAAGTGTAGACCAGCCTAAAAGGTCTCTTTTGTCATAATAAAAACACTCAATGCATTTAATAAGAAACTAGTCCATAATTAACATGTCTCCTCCCAGATAATTTTAAAAGACAAATTTAATCTAATCACTCCATTCCTACTTAAAACTCATTTCATTATTCTTAACATAAAAACCAAAACACTTAATATAACCTCCATTATTCCTTGCCTGGTTGTCCAGTCTACCCTCACTTTCTATACTCGTTATTTTGGCCCGCTTTTAATATTTCTAAATATGCTTTCTTTGTACTTTTACATACTATTCTTATCAAAATGTACTCATGAATCTTGGGCTTAAATAATTGTTTATCCTTTAGATCTTAGTTCAAATATCTGTCTGAGCTAAGTCAGATTTCCCTGAAACATTCTCATAAACTTCTTACAGTGACTATGCACTATGTGGCACACAAAGCAGTAGGCTGCAACTAAGAATCACTTGTGGAGCTCGTAGCAAAAACACAAAGAAACAAAAGCAAACCAGTAAAATAAATTCATAGGCTTTATCCCTGACAATTTAGTGGGTCAGGGGTGGCAATATGTTGCATTTTTGAGAAAGAGGCATTATATCTGAGTGGGTGGTAGAAATAGATGATGACAAGGAAATATTACAAGGAGGTAATGTGAGATAATTTGATGGATTAAAAATATAATGGATGAAAAAGAGGCAACTATATTGGCAAAGAAATGAAGATGAGGAAACAACATATAATTAAGGAATTAAAAATATTATAGTTTATATTTATTGTATGGTAAATTACAAAGGAATTGCTGCAGGTCTGAGTTTTGAAAAAAATCCCTAGTGCTACCTACCCATTTGTTGTCACCCACCACTATATTAACTGCCGATCCCTGATGTTTTCTTTTTAGTTGTCTCTTCCAGGACTTCATATAAATGGGACCATATAAAATTTTTTCACTCAGCTTAATGACTTTGAAACTTATTCAAGTCATTACAAGTATCAACAGTTCTGTTTCATTACTCAATAGCCCATTCATCAAAAATGCTCCAAATTAATTTATGCAGGAAGTACCATGGGAATCAGGAAGAGAACTCAGTAAAACCACCAGATAAAGTTACGAACTTCTGGACTTACACTGCAAATTTTGATATATTTTCATTTTTGTTCAGTTTAGAATATTTTCCCTTAAAACTTCCTCTTTGACCCATAGGTTTTTACAGTGTGCTATTTAATTTTCAAGCACTTGGAAGATTTCCTGTTATCTTTCATTGATTTGTAGTTTAATTCAATTATGGCCATACAACACACTTTGTCAGCTATTTTGTGTATTTATTTAAATCCTCACCCAAGGATATGTTTATTGATTTTAGAGAGAGAAGGCGGTGGGTGGGGAGGAGAGAAAGAAACATCGATGTGAGAAACATTGATTGGTGACTGGGGATCAAATTTGAAACCTAGGTTTGTGCCCTGACCAGGAACTGAATCACAACCTTTTGGTGCATGGGACAACACTCCAACCAACTGAACCGCCTAGCCAGGGTGATGTCAGTTACTATTTTATGATTTGTTTTATCATCTAGTA